ATATTAGAAATGGAAATTAATGAAGAAGCAATACATTTTTTTGACACCAATCAAGACACCACATCTATCAAACCTAAACATAATATAATTAAATAAACCAAGCTCATTGCTATACATATTATCACGCAGGCAAGACTCAGTTAAAAATTTAAAAAGTATAACCTATATAACAGTTCAAGGTGAAAAGTTTAGTTCTTAAGCCACGACAATTTTGGTAGAAGCCAGTTACTGGTTTACTGCCTTCTGCCGAATGTGGTTCCGGTTTGGAGGGTGCTGCTGATGGGTATTACCGTTTTTTATTGAGTGCAGATGACCTTAGCAAGACCATTGAAGAATCGGATGCACAAGTCCTTTTCGGCAATACCGCACATACTGTCAAGTTCTAGGTGACAGGACTTAAGCTGCTGATAGTGAAGCTGACTCTTGTCTCGAGCAAATCGAAAATCAGGAGGGAGAGGTGAGCCAGTACGTTTAAGCTTGCCAAAGGCAAATAGCAGTTAGAGAGCAACTTCCTTACTACCGCAAAAAAATTTGAGAGGGTGTACACCATTTTGTCCAAGTCTACCCAGACGCACTAACCTCGGAGATTATGGTATAGTACAGTTAAAGTGAAGCAAACTACTTTCAAGAGTGCTTCTATCATCAGTGATACGTTGGGAGGCGGATATAGAAGGAGACTCCGGGACACCGTATGCTTGTACATTCTATGCGTATATTTTGTACTCATACGTTTCATGAAGTAGTTGTGCACAAATTGAGGCAAGCTGATCAGAAGGCTCCTTAAGTACAAGAGTGGTAACTCTATTTGTGAAATCCTCAACATCTTGACGAAGTTTGGTATTCTCGGCTTTTAGTCCACAAATTTTTGGACAGATAACCGTTCAAAGTTTAAATATAGGGAATATAAGAAAGGAAAATTACCAATTCTGCTTCTTGTCATCTCAATTGAGTTTTTCTGCTGATGAGATTTATGGTAGGATCTATGGTATTCAACTGTGGGGTTGCGCCAGTAATTCTAATATCGAACTCATCCAACGTTGCCAGAACATCGCTCTTCGTACCATTGTTTCAGCATATCGGTATGATAAGAACGACATCATCCACCGCTATCTAAAAAATAACATCCGTGCAGGATGAAATTACCCGGTTTGCCCGCAAACACGCAAAAAAACTGGAGCTTCACTCAAATACAGCTGCCATACAACTCCTCGACAACTCGCAAGACATCAGACGACTCAAACGACTGAAGCCATTCGACTTAGTCTAATTATTAGATTAAGAATGGGACTAGTGGAAGTAGAACCCCACACATGTTTTGTATTTGTATATATATATTTTACTCATATGTATGTATTAATACTCTTTTGATTTATATTTATAAAGATTTTTAATCGTTTAAATAAAAATGCCCTTAGGCACTTAAAAAAAAAAAAAAAAAAATGAGATTTATGAAGCACCTGGTTACTTTATCTAATGTTCACGTTGTAGAACCTGCTGGTACCTATTTCCCTACACAATAGAGTCGGTACGCCCTTATGTCCCTCTTTGAAATATTAGTAGTGGTACTTTTTTAGCAGTTTTGCGTCAGTTATATTATTCCAATATAAAAGTCGAGAGCTCCTACGTATGTTTTTAATTATAGACCGATATCTATACTCTGTTCACAATAAGAACGAACCTCGGTAGCTACCTGAAAACGGGTTTTTTACGTGGCATTCAGATAGCCGCCGAGGTTCATTCTTATTGTGAACAGAATATAGTCAACCAATTTTTTTGTAAACTTTTTTGATATACATCGTTCTTAAGTGAATTGAGTGTGTTTTTTTGTCAACACTTTCTTTGTTTCATGTTGTTCGACGACGAAGAATACAATTGTCTTTCCTGAATTTGTTCACGTTGCTTTTGAAGATCATAAGAAGATACTGTGTACACAGATTTTTCTAAGGCGTTTGATACAATAGATTCACGGTTATTTCGTTGTTGCTGAGCCTGTTTTATCATGGCTGGTTCGTATATTATTGACAGGAGATTTGTAAATCTATTCTTTATGTCCTATGATCTCTGAACTGCTCTACATGACATCTAGTGTACCTCAACGTGGTCACTTATTTTATTTATTGTTTAACTATATTTATGATTATATATAAGATGTTTTGCACGTGTTTAATATCAAGATGTGACTGCACTGAGCTAAAAAGTGTTTTAGTAATTGAACAGCTGAATGGAAAAATGGATAATATTCCTCAACACCAAACTTTCGAAAAATGAAAGAACATTGTTATTTCCTTTATAACTCCTGTTATAATTTATAAGTTAAGTTTCAATGGAATATTATCATTCATACGCTAATATATGAAATAATTACCTTTCAGCTACAAAATGGCTATTTATTGTTTATTTTTAGAATTGTATCCTTTTTCCACTCGGGCTTCGACTGTTCAATTGGTGCAGTGCTATCTTAATCCTGAGAAGTGTAACATTATTTCCTTTAACCTTAATCTTGGACTGCAAACGAATTTACTTATTATTTGAATGGTCTACCACTATTACTGTTTTTTGAAGTCATAATCTAAGCGTTATTTTTACAACCATTGTTGCATTTTAGATCGCATTTAGACTGGGTCGTTTGTAAACGACTACGCATTCTTCGATTTTTGTACCACATTAAATTGCATTTTAATTTCCTATCTTATTGTGGGCATTATATTTTCATTAATACGTTCAGTACTTGAATATGGATCTGTGGTTTGGAGTCCAAACCTGTTATGTAAAATTAATTTAATTGTAAGTGTAAAAATAGATTATTAGCCTGTCTGGTTTTTTATAGAAAATAGATCACCTTCAACAAAGCCATGACCCTAAAATTAAATGTTTTAACTTATGTCCGTTAGTAACCAGAATACAAAACACTGACCTCCCATTTTTATAAGCTTAGGTACTTAGGGCAAAATTGATTCTCCATGTCTCATTGAGTGTATTGGTAATTGGGCACCTTGTATTTTTACCAAATCTCATGAAATCACCACATCACAACCTTCTGGTGCACATTTGTTCAGTGATGACCTTTTTTAGGGTTATGCGATTAATAAATACGCGTATTAGTGCCAAACTTTCACAGCATGGTTATGCTGTAAAAGTTTGGAACTAATCTAACCTACGGATTTGGTTGGTAATCACTGATCATATTTTGTACCTAGTTTGTGTCTTAAACGTCCCATAAAACAATACTAGAAGACATTTGTGAGAAGTTAAAATATACAAAAAATGTCTAAAAGTGTAAATATTTCCGCTAATAGAATTAGTTCATTGATTACGAAGGAAATAAGTCAAACTAGCTAAGTTTATTAAAATACAAATTTCAATGACTACGTTTTTGGTTCTTTTGACTGGATGTTGGTTTTTAGTTTTAGCTTTAATGACGTAGAACCGGCAGTATTAAATAATTATAACATGGCCACATGAATTTCCGTCGATACTCATTTGCTTATGCAAGGTGAAAAGAATACTAGGGGGCGAAGACAATTAGATAAATATATCAGATATCACGTTGATTACCAAGTCTAATTTTCAAAAACTTCCCAGGAGCATCATGATAATACTCGAGTTCTCTTACAGTCTTTTGTTCTGTAGCATGAGTGTTTTCGCAGTACATATTATTATGTTTGTCAAGGACACTTAAGCCATCTAGTTTTATGTAATTGTACCAAATATCAATAAAATCCTCAAAAACATGTTATTTATCTGTTTGTTTATCCTATTTATCTGTAATACCTGTGGTAGCCATTCGGTTTCTCTTAAAAATTAAGGCCATTCGGTCATAGGTCATAACAGCTACTAAACGATAGCGGAACAAATCTAGTTTAGCGCCCACGCGTTTTTTTAGATTTCTTTTTTAAAATGTGTTTTTATACGTATATTTGGTCGGTCGGACTTTCTTTTGAAGTATTAAGCAAAAACATCGTTTACTTCATTGTTTTAAAGTGCAATAACTTCGTGAATTATAACTTCTTATTAACGTAGAAGTTGTGGACGTAATGTCACAAAAAAAAACATTTTATTATAATACCTATTGAGTAAAATTTGTTTTTTTCATCTACGAACACGTTTTTTAAAAAACTTGATTTTTCCTGATAATCATACTATTAAAAATTGATACAAAATACATTTTGTACAATTAAATCTTGAAAAAATCAAACTGTTATGCTTACGGGGATTGAAAGCGGATGCTTTTTAAGGAGATTTATGTAGGTAATATTTAAAAAGAATAGGTTTTAATAAATTTCGACCATATTAATTTGTTTTCAGGTTAATTTGTATAAGCATCAGATTATTAGTTTTAACATATACAATGTTTTTTATGAGTTTAAGTTATTTTGGTGGTACAAGAAACTAATTTAGACCTAAAAGCATGACAAAATTACGTCTACTTAAAATGATCGGATTTCAATGCTGTAAAATATTTGAGATTTCGGGCTTTTTTCAGGCTATTGTGGAAGTTGATTTTTAAATAAATGTTTCATTTAATTAAAAAAGACTAGGAGGTGAATACTAAAAATTTGATAAATTTAAATAAAATGTAATACTAAATATAATAAAATTTGTATAAACAATTTTAATTAAAAGATTTTTAAATCTTAAACGTAAAAAAACAGACCACTTCCAATCCCCTTAAAAAAAGTGCCTTAAATCACGGTTCACATATTTTGGTCTTGATTTACACATGAGAGCCAGAGGGAAATTTTTTATTTTGTTGCAAGAAAATTTTAAAGTACGATACTGATAGGACTAAATGACTGAACTAGCGAGTTGTGACTACTTCGGACGTTTTTTTAGATAATAAATACGTTTTAGTTAGAATACCTATTGTGATTCATTATTATATTAAAATTTTAGCGAGGAAATGAAGGTATTTAAATTTTAAACTGTTTAAGTACTATATGATTTTGTTTACTAAACATTTATAAAGATGAAAATACAAGTTAAAACTCTATATTGCACTTATAATTACGATATGGTATTATTTCACAACATAAACTTTGATGTTATTTTCATAATATCACAGTTATAGTTTATACTTTATAAAAATGGAAGGAAATAACATTATTTTAAATGATAATGGTAATTAAAATTATTATAAAATTTGTTGAGTTATCGGTCTAATAAGACCTACATGCTCGGCTCCTTTGGCTGGGAGCTTATTCAATGTATAATGACGAATAAGTTCAGGTATCGTATTGAATGATCTATCCGATTGACCTAAATAATTTTTGCCATTTGTAGAAGTGATCTTCATATGAATGATACCTTTTGCACTCCTATAAAAAAAATCAAGTTGGCTTATAAATATAATTTGTCTAAAATTAATTTCTCGGTATAGTAAAAATTTATTAGAAAACTACTTACTTAATTGATAACGCATATGATCCTTTAGTTTCTCTTATTAAATAGCTTCCTTCTCCTTGATTTTGAAGAATTTTTTCAGATTCAATTCTTTTCAAAGGTCCATGATACCAACTAAAATGAATTGAATAAATTACTAAGATATACTTAAATTATCCTTTTTATCTTTTTCTAATTCTCTAACAGGAAGAAAATTGTCTTACATTATTTTAAATGAATATCTAGTTTCAGTTATTTTATTAATTATTAAAGGGTAATATTATAAAATATATATTATTTAGATATTATGTAACAAGTAAAAAATATTAACTAGTTTTGCGTGTACACACGTAATAAAAATCAACGATGACGCAATTTTTTAATGGCGGACACTGCTGGGAAAATTTTAGCTTTTTCACAATGGACATCCTCTTGTGTTATTACATTGTCACTTGAATTTAACTGAAACCACTTTTAAAGAAAATCGGAATTTAAAAACTCATCAACTTTAAAATATTTGTTATATAAGTTTTTTTTTACATGGTATGTATGTGTCGTACTTAAAATTGATTTGGGAATAATGATTTAAACCACCTAAAAATACATAGGGAATAATTTGAAGTTAATAAATTTTTTTTTCATGAAATTTGGAGTTTTTGTAGTTTTAAGAAAACGCTTCGGTGCGAATTTACGGACATGTAATGTGATTGGCTGAATTCAGTGTCGTACTTATAGTAAATACGCTACTGGCTGCATTTAATGAGTACTTAGATTTTTAGCTTCTTAACTTTCCTAACTTTTTACTGTGCTTGGTTTATCTCAGCTGAATTTTTGTTATCGAGATGCATAATAACTTTTTAGCTGCACAATCGATATACCATTATTATGTAGTGCGGTTGATAAGACAATGAATTATTTTCTAATCAATCGTAAATGCAATAGAAGATATAATATTATGTGAAATGCGTAAAACATCAAAGTTATAACAATAAATACTTACTGTTGCTGGTCCAAAGGCAACGTTACATCAATGTCTTCCACGAAATTCAATGGTTTAATATTTGATAAACTCAATGCAGGACGGTTGGACTGATCTACAACAAAATATGAACCTTAGAATAAATTAAAAAATTACAAAATGTAATTACAATTAGCCATACATTTGAAACAACAAATACTTAAAGATATTGAGTTAATTAATTACTAAATAATTGTTTATCAATTTTTTAAAGATGTGAAATCATTTATTTTACGACGTACGTCATTGCTGTAACTTTTTGTTGACTCGTTTGTTAAAGAATTCAGACAGCAATTATAAATTAAATTTCTTGGTTTCTTCATATTGTCTTATCTTATATACAAACGGTTACTCTAGTCCCTAACGCTTTTTTTACTTATTTCCGCCATTGTGTATTATACCTACACATACTTATTTACACAAAATAAAAATAAAAAAGTTAAATAAATTAGTAAAAAAAACCATTACTACATTATATTATACAAAAAAAATATATGGGAGATACATCTGATGTAAGACACTTATATTCTCATAAAATTTGAATATTTTTTAATTATTTTTTTACCTATACTTGTATGTACATTTTTTATTACATCTTTCAATACATATTTTTATCTTCACCTCTTATACGGAATAAGACCATCAAGTTTGTTTTTTCAAATGTAAACACATATGTTAAAGTTGATAACTGTGTAGTAAAAAATTAAATTTTGAAATTGTCTTTTTAATTTTTAATTTTCAATACTCGGTTCGTCACTTATGACTTTGTAAAGATTTTAATTTAAGATTAATATTTGTTGGGTTTTTAAAGACAATAGATCGTCGAGTTCCCATTAAATAATAATACTGAACCGATTGATAATCGCACAATAAATAACACTCGTTTCACTTTTTTACGGCTACTAGTCTTAGTAATAACGAAATAATATCGACAACAGTTTAAAGAAAGTGAAAATATTTACAAGTCATAGTTTACAAAAATCAAAATCAAAAATTCAAACGCTAACATTTTTTATCATTTTTATTGCATTTTGCCAATTGTGCAAAGACGTTTTGTATCAAGTAGTATCGAAATCTCATTTTTTTATTTTTTGGGATGGATGCTTTCTGCATATGCCATTGAATTCACCTAGATCCTGGCAAATCGTAGTTTTGGCCCTGCTACAGATTATACTTCTGCACCCTTACTTCTTTTGGTATGTTGCCAAACACACTTTTCCAAAGCTATAAAAACCATTCTAAAATTTTCCTTTTTCTCCCTATAAGCTATATTTGTCAATTAATTATCTAACGTAAAACAAGTGAATTGTTCACTGTTTTGGCATAAATCCAAATTGAATATCTAACACCACTGCTTCACTGCTTTATATGACGTGTATATATACCCCTATTTATTAAGGAGTTGGGTTAAGAAATTTATTTCAAAAATCTTAATTAAAAACCTAAACTGTAATGTGTAATTATTAATTTAGTAATTATAACTCTTTTTAAGAGTATCACAGCATCTTTGTCAGCGATTTTGATAAACCAAATATTTAGCTTAAGTTTTAACATTTAAAATAACATTGTTTTACTTTTTTTTAAATATCTATATAATTTTTTTACGTTATTATTTTCAAAATCAGATATGACGTTGTCTCCAAAATATTGTAAATATATTTCAATTTTATAATAGGTGTTGTTGTTCTAATGGACCAAGTAAAACGCATTCTGCGTGGCTATGTACGATAAAAAAATATTTAAAACTGCTGTCAAGAATGCTGCGATAGCCCGTAAAATAAATTAACTATCAAAAAAGAGTCTTAATTACTAAACTAATAATTACACATTACAGTTTAAGTTTTAGATTAAGATTTTACAAACAATTTGTCTATGCCTAACTCCTATATAAATAGGGGGGTATTCCGTCCTCTTAACCGGTTCTCAAATGTTCATTGTAAATTTAAGAATACAATTTACCTATAGTTAAACTTTTTTAAATGTAGTAAAGACATTATTATTTATTTGTGTATTTTAATATTAATAATAGAAATCATAAAAATAGTTACTTAAATTTTAATAATAAATGAGTGAAAATTACTAGAAAAATCGAATTACAAAACATGCAAACGTGTAACTCGTATGCTAGATAAATTACTTTGCCTACTAATTGATATTAATTTTCATATATTTACAACTATAGTCTATACCGATGTTATTAAAATTAAAATAATTTATAACAATATAATAAATGGCTTCAGTGGCGCCGACTGTCCACTAACTTCTGAGAGAAAACATAATTAACACCCACCCACAAAAAAAAAAAATCACTCGTATCATACAATTAATATTATCAATATTAGTATAGAATATAGATCAGGCACCCGTGTTCTTCGCCACTGTATGGCATGTAATCTATCACTATTCTGTCCATTTTTTTGTACGTAAATTAATTTATATTATAACAATATATATTGTACTATAATTAAATACAACTAACTGTGATTAATGAATTAAAGGCGATAAATATTATTTTAATAAATGTATCAAAATACTGATAAACCTGATAGTTGTTATCTAACCGGTAATGTTTTCTCCAGTACAAAAAAAAATAAAAAATATTTGTTGATAATAATTATTAAATTATGAACTATTTAATACTTTTAATGTACTTACTTTTGTTTTGTAAAGTTCTTTCGGTCAGCGTTTTACTCGTGTCGTCAATCATAGAACTGCTGGGTCGTACGTTCAAAAATAGGCTATTCCTGTCCGGTTTTCTTCCCGGTTCGTTATTGGTATTAATTTTTTTCAGTTTGGGCATATCGAAAGGAAGATGATTAAATTCAACGTCTTCGTTTCTATCAGTCTTTTTGTCAACATTGTTTTTTTCAGGACTAAAACAAGTGGTGGCTGCGTCGTGACCTATTTCAAAATTCAAAGATATTACCCGCGCGCAACTTTCCATTTGTTTCCTCCTCAGCTTTGACATGTCGAATGCCGGCATAGCGTCAGAGTTGAGGTTTGTTTGTTTTCTTCTGAGTTTTGGCATGTCAAAAGGAAGTTCTGCGAGTTCTCCGGTGCCAGCGGATAACGCCGGTTTAACGGTTTCGTGGAAGACTTCGGAATTTCGTTGTTTTCGTCTCAGTTTGGGCATGTCGAACGGCAAGTCCAGCAGTTCCTGATAGCTGTTGTCGCCGGGCTTCGAACCCACCGATATGCCGCTGTCGGACCCGTGGTGCTGGTGGTCTCTGTTGAGCTTGAGCAAACCCAACGACTGCGGCGGTTTCGTCTTGACCGTAACCGGTTTCCGCCGTTCCTGGTCCAAAAGCTCGGCGGCATCCAACGAAGACTTATCTGAAATAGGCGACAAAACGTGCGGTTCCGGGTACGGTTTGCAATACGGCGATTCTGAGCTGTGCGAGCTGAGAGAGTCGCTGGTGATGGACTCGAGGCTCAGGCTGCTGCTGGTCACCATGCTGTCCGAGCTGCGGTACTTTTGGCCAACGCGCCGCTTCAGGAACCCGAACAGACGATTTTTGGGTCGCGGCGCGTGACATTTGTGCGGGACGGAACACGTGCTGGCCGACAGCTGCAGACGGTCGATGAGCTTGTGCGCTATGGCCGCGTCGTGTTGTTCTGAAGACAGAAGGTCATCGTCGGACTTGCTGATTTTCGAATCGAACGCGGTCTCGTAAATTCGTCGATACTTTTTCGTGGACATGGTATGTAATTATGATATGACAGTTCTACTACACTACAACACGGACATTCCGCAAACGCCGCACGCCGCCGTCATTAAACAACATCGCGAGTATGATGTGTTCGATTGGCGTACAAAATACAAGTAATATACGTTACACGATAAATGTTGTTATTGTTATTGTCAATGTTGTTGTTGCAGTACGTCCACCCAAACATTTTCGCGGACCGAAGTAAACTGATTGCCTTGTACGTGGGACTTGGGAGTAGCGCACGGTGTATACACCTGCACGGAGGGTTGCACTGCACCGACGCGAGCGTGTTCCGTGAGAGGAAGCTCCAGTAAAGGCAAGCGCGCGCGCGTCTCGCCAATCGATGCTAAGCGGCCGCGCGATGACTCATGATTTGGGAACTCTGTCGGCTGTCCATTGATCCGAGTGTGCTTGTACTACAGGATACCGACGCGACGATGAGCTTTATTGCCGCCATTACGAAAAGTCGAGAGGGTGTCCCTAAGTTAAGTTATCCCCAAGATAAAACGATTTTTACTAAATCATGTTCTGTTCCCAGTACCGAATGGAGTTCCCTCTTTAAATATAGTGTAACGATCATGCGAAAAGTAACGGCCAGGTGAAATATGATCGTTACAATAGTACATACAACTTTTTATTATATTAAAAAAAAATGTAGTATAATATATTTTACTAATATTTAAGTATTCAGCTAAAAAAATGATATAATATATATGTAGTATGTTAATTATTCTTAGCCCAATTTAATTTATTTATTATTCTATCGCAATCTAACTACTTATTGTGTACAATTTTTGTACACTCTATTGCTCTGTAAATGGGCATCAATAAACAAAATATTGTTATTATTATTGTAAATAAAACGTATTTTATATTATGTGTAAAAAAAGAGGCTATACAGCGTACATATTTTTCATATTTAAAGGTTTAGATACATACTGTAATTTTTAAGAAGTGTTATGTTGATAATGACAAACAACAGCTGTAAACAAGCTCTCCTTTGAATTAGCTATTAGATCTATATTTTTCTTTATTAAATAAAAAAACATAATGTATAAGTACATCCATTTATTGAGCTGGTTAAAATTAATAATTAGTAAACAATGTGTTTACAACTAAAGCATAAGTGGGATTTTTTTTGTTATGCTGATTTCTAATATTATGAATACCTGATAAATCTAAAATCAGGTTGTTAATCGCTGGCCGAAATTTTGTTTTCGCTATATTATTGGCGATATTTTCGTTATTCTATATTTTACTAGAGAGTAGAGTTATTATGTTCTTAAATGGTAATTCATCATGAATTTGATTATTATTATTATTTTAATATTTTTGCGTATGACTTGTATTGCCGGGAGTAAGTTTTAAGGCCTATATTATAGTTCGGTCGCCTATGTAGAGAATGGTAGTCTCTCTCCCTCTAGATAGTTGCCTGCACAAAGAGAGACCAAACCTATACGAATGTCGAAGCAGCAACAGTGCTAACACTCTGCCACCTTACTCACTAGTGTTATTAAAAATTTATAATGATAAATATTAGCAATTTTAGCATAAATATCATCACTTGAATCCCTATAGTCGATACTATAGTTATCAGGATTTCAAGTTATTAACTTTTTATAGTTTAATTATATTATAGATTAAATTACAAAAAAACAAAAAATTAATTAAAAATGAACGCAAGCATACACCTAGTTTAACGATTGGTTAGATAGATTTATTTTTTATAATTTAATAGAGTGGAGTATTATTCTAGTTTTCACTTTGACGTAGGCCCACGCCCGTTATAGCTTATCACTTTCACGGTTTCACTGTTATCACTTTACTATCAGCGGTTATCACTTTTGATTATTTAAAAAATAACCAATAAGTATTAATTTGCATTATTAGTAATGTTGCAGTTATAGTTCAGTAACCAAGGAAGCAAAATGAAAATCAATTTGTTTTCGAGAAATTACTGATCGATCGAGTGATTATTTTGTCTTAACAAATTTTTATAAACGCTAATGTTCATATTTCAAAATCTCCATATTAAACTATCAGTAGGAAGTTCTCTTTTTCATGGATTCCATATTTTTCTTTGTTCAGTTTGTTGTTGATTTTACTTAATTTGTTCATTAGAGTTGTAATTAAGTCTATTAAAAGTAAAAATAAAATATACAACTAGATCTGGTTATCGAATTTGTTTTTTTCATATTAACATGGCGTGTTAACAAGTACAATGTGGAAAATTACATTTTGTTTCACTGTTTGCTTACCTTTATTTGTATGGTGCAACCCTCAAATTGTAGAGAATTATAACAATTTTAAGTCGGATTTAATACCGATTGTTATAAATAACAACAACTACTCGGAACCATATTTAAAAGAAATAAATGCATCCATTTCATATTTGTTCTTGTATAATTATACTAAGGTAATGTATTGTTTTATTTTTTTAATATGTTCTCTTTTTTTTTTATTTTAAATATATTTACTGAGTATTTTTCTAGGACTTTGCTTTTAAACCCCCAAGAGTGAAGGTAGAATTGTTAGAAACTGACTATGACGTGATTGATCCACTAATAGTAGTTGTGAGGTATCGCTCAGGAGTTATGTCGTGGCAACTTCCATACGTAGAAAAATCTCAGCAAATGAGGTTGGTATCATAAAAACATAGTGTTTTACTTAAACATATATGTTTAACTAAACATTATTTTTTATAGTTATAATAAAGCAGCTCATATGTTATGTCCATCTATAAATACACTTAACAACGAGAGTCAAATAGTTGTTAGTATATCGACAAATAGCAAAGCAAATATGACTTTTATTTTAAAATTGGACATTGAAGAAAATTTTAATGTTGTGTATGAATTATATATTTGAGTTTTTTCTTAAATAACTATTCAGTATGTATTATTATCATTTAGCTTATCTTTTCAGATTGGATCAAGAAGTATCATTTAACATAACACCATCTGAACCTGTATTTTACTATTATAATTTTTTACAAAATTCTTCTATGGTGCTTCTTCATGTAAAATCTGAAGATAGCTTATGCATGACACTTTCCATACAAAATGCAACAGTATGTAAAAAAAAAATCACAATTAAGCTTTTCAAATAAACATTTGTTATATTTCTTAAAATTATAAAAGTAAATATGATTTGACACAAGTCAAATACAATTTTATTTTTAATAGTCATAGCATAGATTTTATTTTAAAGTTTTTAAAGTAAGATATAACGTGTATGACTTTCAGATATATATCTGTGTCAATAGTTGTTGGCTAACAATATAAGTAACGATTATAACATTATCTTTGTTTGCATGTTGGTGTTCGTATAAACTTCAACCCTCTGACTTTTTATGATTCTTAGAAAAATTAAAATATTAATTTGTTAATAAAATGAAAAATAATGCTATCAAGAAAAACCAACATACAAACATACATAATATTTTAATCTTTATGCTAAAAAACTTGGTTTTTGTCTGCCTACTGTAGTCTAAATGAGAGCGATTCTCCCGACACAAGTTTTTAGGCCAAACAATTGTAATTTTGCCTATAGAAATTAATGTGATAGTAAAAAAAAAAATAACTAAAAAATTCTCATTACTGTATTACGAAGTATAAACTACAGTTTAAACTTTAAATTAAGATTTTATAAAAAATTACCTATACCGAACCCCTTAACCCTAGAACGCTAACCATTTGTCTATTTGACGAATACTGATAATTTTAAACTGACTATTTTTAGCATGTTTGTCATATGAGCTTCTACCTTCCATCTATCTCTCATACATATTGTTGAGTATATTTAATGATAAAATAAAAAGCCCTATTGTTATCAGTTAGTCGTTGACCTTCGATTGCGCAAAATCCACATCGTCGAATTGACGAATAGTTAGTAATACACGTAAAGTTGTACAAAATGCATGCTGTTTTAGTTCTTCGATACGACGAAGGTTAATTTCTAAGGGATGATTTCAAATAACACAAAATATATTATACTTATTATTTATTTATACTATTATATTTATTTTATAATAAGTAAAGAAAACAATCGGAGTAATTTTATTTATTTATGTACATTTCGTCAAATCGACGAATGGTTAGCAATAAAAGGGTAAAAAAAAGACTAGTATTCTAGGGTTAACCCTTAATAAATAGGAGTGTAGCGTACAAGGGCGCCCACAGGCGAAAATTCAGAGGGGGGAATGCCTTTGATTTTGTAATAGATTTTACAAATTTGGGATATTGGATACACATTTTTATACTTGCAGAGAAGTTAAGGGGGGGGGGGAGTTGTATCTCCCAGTGAGCGCCCTTGGTAGTGTTCTCTTAAATTAAAATAACTGTAGTTAACATTTTTCTTTAATACTTAAAAAAAATGCATTGATTTTTAGTGTCCTGTTTTTGATTCTTTGGAAACTGTACAATATGATGGACTGAGACAAACTGTCAGTAAAAGTGGTGGTATTATTATATCGGTAAGTTTTAAAATATGTTGTATTTTTATTAATTAGTTGTATTTAATCAATTTCAATATTATTGTATTATTTTTCAGAGAGAAGAATATCCTTTGGGCTTATTTATAGTATTTGTTGTACATAGTGATAATTCAGCATGTATTCAAGGAGACTATCAAGTACAAAGACAACATTTGAGAACAAAATATGTTAGTTTTATCATTAAAACTACAGTGGATTTTAATTACCAAATTCTTGACTGTGTAGTGGTCGTTTGTTTATTTATTTTGATTTTTATTTTGACCGCTTGGTTGTACAATGGGAAGAGGTCAGTATTTAATTTTTAAACATAAACAGCTGTATAAGAAATAGTTTGTTTTAGTATTTTTACATACTTAAAAATTTCAGTAATTCTTTGAAGTTGCAAATTCCAGTATTAGAAGAACCTACAACTAGTTCATATGGGGCTTCAGTAGATGGTAAATATTTATTTGCAAACACTATTGATTTTAACTTAACAATTTGAAGTAATAGCATAATAATTAACATTTGGTTATAAAATAGCTGATGAATTTATTATTGATATCTATCTACTATGTTGTTTGGCATTAATTAACTAGTTATTAACTATTATATTTTTTTAATTTAAAGCTTAGTCTTAAACTAAAAAAAAAAGTAACAGTTACCATTTCAACATTTAGTCTTAAACAAGCTAAAAATATAGTTAATGCCAAGAAAATAGCGTCAACCGTTAACATTGTAGTTTGTAAACAACAATGATTAGACATACAAAGATAGACTACATAGTATACTTTTTTAGCAATCAATTTAAATAAGTATTTTTTCCAACAAATTTATGGATCAATAAATTATTGATCAAGCCTAAAACAGCGCTATTTAAAAATCATGTGTCTTACTATTCATGTTTGGATTTTAAATATTTATTTATACGTCACAGAGTTTTACATAGAAATATTGATTGAAGTTTTCTTTCAGCTCAACCGGATAATGTTAGCTATGATTCATCATTAGACGAGACCGATGTTGACATTTTGAAATCACCGGAATCTTGGAAAGATTTAATCAGGTAATCAAGTGTTTACTATTTTAAATAATTTAACAAGAACTTTACTTAAAGAATTTCTTTTAGGACCAAATCGTGTTTGTACGTTAGTGATTTAGCAAAAAAAGATTATAGAATCTTGAAAGCAAAATCTAGATTATATTTGTGGAATTTGATCACCGTTGCCGTTTTCTATTCACTGCCAGTAATCCAACTAGTATTTACGTATCAAAAGGTAATATATAAAATAAAATAAAATGTTATTCTTACAAAATAAATTTAAACAAAAAAACTTTCTTATTCTAAATAGGTGTTAAATGAAAGTGGAAATCAAGATTTGTGTTATTATAATTTTTTGTGTTCCCATAGTTTAAAATTGGGCCCATGGAAGTTCAGTGATTTTAATCATATTTTTTCAAATATCGGATATGTATTTTTTGGTCTTCTATTTATGTTAATAACTTTTAAACGAGAATATTATAACGTACAAGATAAGGTAAGTAAAATATGTACATAATTATATTACACATTAATTTTTCCAGCACAAAAACTTGGCTTTTACAAAATAGCATTTATTCTATCTGTTAAAGTTTTTAGATAAAAAACACCTATTTTTTATTTATAATAAATTATAATTTTACGGGACAAGTCTAAAAATACATCACATAACATAATACTGAACACAAGATTTTGAGTTGTGAGTAGCTATTGGGCCATTCTATTTATGTTTTACTAATATTTTTAGTCAGTAAAACCAATCTGTCTAGATCAGTTTTCAAAAATAGAATGAATATTCTTAGGAATACGTTTTTGACATTAGCAAAAAAGAACATGTAACTGGCAATTGACTAGAACTGATTTCACTTGAACATTTTAAATTGCAAACAGAGATGGCCATACGTATTCCTCTCGTGAAACACTTATAAGAATAGTTAAAATATTAGATTTTAAATCAAATAAATATCAATTCTACTTTGTTATGTTTATGCTAGAAAAATAATAAAAATGCTAATATCCTTTTTATCCTTAATATATTATGTCTAACGTCCTTATAAACAAGCAACATTTATATTTTTCTTCTTTCACACGTCTTATAAAGTTAATACAAATATTTCAGAATTGTGGAATTCCTAATCACTGTGGGTTGTACTATGCAATGGGATCTGCCTTGGCAATGGAAGGTATTATGAGTGCTTGTTACCATGTGTGCCCTAATCATTCCAACTTTCAATTTGGTAATTATTTATTTGTCTTAGCTTAATAAATTTGTATAAAACAATTTTTTTTTTTAGATACTAGTTTTATGTATATCATATGTATGTTAAGCATGATTAAAATCTATCAAACCAGGCATCCAGATATTAATGCTAATGCATACATAGTGTATGGCGTCTTAGCTATTGTGATTATACTCGGTCTAACTGGTATTATGTACGAAGGCCCAGTGCTTTTTATTTTGTTTACTTGCTTACATTTATCAATGTGTTTGTGGTTGTCGGCACAAATATATTACATGGGCAGGTGGAAATTAGGTATGTTTGTTTTTATTAAAAGTAAAAATATTATAACACAATGATACAAGGTAAATACAAATTTTTGCAGATCGGAAAACACCCAAAAGAGTTTTTAATCATTTAATGACTGCTCCAAATCCAATAATACCAAAATATCCTAATAGAATGGTTTTGTTATCCATAGGTATGACACTTTATTGATAATTTTTTACTAATTTAAATTTTAGTAGAAAGGATGTGTTGCACTGTTTTGGCATATACATACAATTAAGTTTCTATGTAAATATGCCATAATACACACAGACCATATGTTTTAGTTGCACACATTTTTTTAGGTATTTTAATCAATTTGGGGCTAGCTGTTAGTCATTGGTTTATTCCATTTGGTAACTTTGGGAACTATCTTTTGACATTATTCATGGTCAATTTGATTTTATACCTATCATTTTATATTTGTATGAAATTGATATCCAAGGAAAAATTATTACTTTGGCCGATGTTATTCATCTTACTGGCTATTATTTGTTGGTCAGCGTCAATGTACTTTTATGAACATAAGTCTAGTTCGTGGACTGTAAGTAACTACATATTTTCATATTGTTTAAACAATAAACTAAATAATTTGATTAAAATTATTATTAGCTAAGTGCTGCCGAATCAAGAACGTATAACACACCTTGCACATTTATGGATTTTTACGACAATCATGATGTGTGGCATTTCTTATCAGCCGCTAGTTTATTTTTGTCATTTATGGTGCTGCTAACATTGGATGACGATGTAGCCAACAAACCGAGATCTACAATTCCAGTTTTTTAAAATATTATTTGAGATACATTATTTGTGTTGTTTTGGTGATTGTCAAATATTATAACAAACCCAAGTACGGTTATTAATTATTTATTAAAAGTTTAATATGTGATATAATGTATTTCTATAAAACATTCTAATAAACAATGTAAATACTTACCAATAAAATTGGTAATATCATTTTATAAGAAAGCACACATATTTATTTTCAAGAGAACATTATCATTTTTATTATTTTTATTTTTACACTGATAATACCCTTAATTTGTAAAAATATGTGTTATACTATTTATACCTTGATTATTGTAGACCGTTTGTCTTGATCCTCATTAGCTATCTTATCTGTATATATTAGCAGCAATACGTTTGCTTTTGTTTTTAATTGTATTAAAACATATTCATTACTAAAACTTAACAAGGTTATTTTGATTTGAATTAAACTATTTTTGTACATGAATTGCTTTATATTATTTATTTTTAATAATTATTGAAAAAGCAAACCATTTTTAACAGATTACCAAACTTTGGGAAAATATCTAGTAATTACGGTTTATGTATTTGAAACAAAAAATTAGGAGTAAAGAGTATTGTGTTAAATTCTCTCGTCTTTTGTTAACTACATAGTAATACTGTAAAACATGCTTAAAAAGAAACACCATTAAATGAGTATGATTTTCTAGAAGGACAGAAGGCGATTGACTAAGTGGGTAAGGCTTCACTGTTGCTGGTTTGAAACTCGGTCGGTGTCCCATATACCGGGCACGAAATTGTCTTGTGAAAAGAGGTCACCAACCTCTCGGCGACGGACTAACCAACCATTCTGGATGTTTTCTGACAGAAATAACTGAAAGGGCTTTAAAATTAATTATTTGATCTAAGTTCAATGTGAAATTCCTCAAAATAGATATCTATTATAGATATTAGTAATAGTTATCTCAATAATATCTAAAATTTGGCATGGCCTATGAACTTAAGTTACCAAATAGTTGTATATATATTTTTTTTAGTAATTTTAGATTAGACAAAAAAGTACTCAAATCATCTGGTTGTCAAATAAATGTATTTACCAATTTAGGTTTTATTATTTTGTAGTTAATAATACAACTGAAACGTTTAATTATTAAACTATGTATGTTTTTATAAACATTAACATTATTAAACAAAATTTGATTGTGTTTTTTTTACATGAAGACACATTAGACTTTGAATTTATTTATACACTAACACAATAAGTAAACTAGATATTGGGACTAAAAAGATAAATATACAAATTTTGGGATATAACATATTTTTTTTGGGGAGGGGCAAGTCTACTAATTACTCTAATTGTATCCATTGGCGTATTTAGGATTTTATAAAGGGGTGATATGAATTTGCAAACATTTCATTGCCCCAGGGGCTTCGCTCCCACACCACCGTCTCTCAACCGGTAGTTTTTAAAAAACATTTTAAAATTTACCTATGAAACTAGAAAACAGGTTGAGATAAAAGCAATATCATATAAAGTATTATGGAAAACTGTGTAAAGAAAACTACTCAATGAAGATCAAACCCTCATTTCCTCCCCGTAAATGTCACCGACCTTTTTTAGTAGTTTTAAGAAAAAATGTAAATACTACATTTACTGTATTAGTCATTAGATACCTTGACTTGTGGAGGGGGAGCTTTATAGATATACCTTAAGTTTTTAAGTCTCTTAGCTCTACTTTTTTAACGAATTTCATCCACACCACAATGTTTATTATTAATCATTATAATAATATTATTATCAACCAACATTTTGCTCCTGGGCACGAATCCATTGGTGTCTCCCCTTCCAAAATACGGCCTTTGATAAATATAATTTAATCAAATTAAAGACAAGTTATTTTAACTGCGTTTTCATTTAAACAATTAAGGTATTTAAAAAAAAAATTACTGTTGTAAAAGTGTGTTTTATTTCTACATTTTAAGTTTTTCTCCAATACATTTCAGTTAATGTCCGCTAGTTGCAGTTGAACGACTTTATCGTGAACAGTTTTTTTAAAAGTATTATGTTTCTTAGAGATTAATGTTAAAGATGATGCTTAAATATAGAACAATAAACATAGTTATAATGGAAATAGATGCCAAAATTATAAACGCTCTAATATTTTTGGCTCATTTGGAGTTCGGCCTAAAAATAGTACCTGTGATTTACTTGTAAGAAGTATATATATAAATATATATATATGTATACATATATTTTCAAGTCGATAAAGCATAATAAAGGAAGTACGAGATTACATTTGGCAAACACATAAGACAATCGCGATCATTATAGTCCGAAGCATGCTGAAGTGCGAAATCGCCGGGACAATTATTTCTCAGGTTCGACAACACTGTAATTACCTTTTTTTTTTTTCGTTTTACGGATTTCGTGTTTTTCACTGATAATAACCATCGTTTAGCAGCAGCTACAGTAAGTAACAGTAGCAGCAGTTATAGTGTTAGTGTTCTGTGTTTCTCGTATTTGTGTCAAATGTTAGGCAAGTGAAACACAAATGTAACCATTATTTTACGGTTTATTCCAATAAAATCGAATGATTCAGCGTGCTAAGTGTGGACCGGGCACCGTTTGTTGTGTGTGAAATGTTCGCGAAACTCATATGGAGCCGACTAGACACTTTTACTATACTTTTTAATCCTACTTAGCGACTGGCTAATCAATTCTATCTGCGAATACTCCGAAATTCGTTTCGGGGTGCTAACTGTTACAATGTCGGCGCTGTTTAAACGAGCTGAACAGTTAAAACGATGGGAAGAGTCTGATACCAACCAACAATCTCCTGTACGAAAGAATATTAAAACCGTATCGTTTCCGATAGACTGTGCGTTCTTAGCATCCGTTGCATCGGGCGATAAGAATGAGGTGAACAGTCTCTTATACTTGACTGCCGACATTAATGCAGCTAACGCTGATGGTCTGACTGCTTTACATCAAGTAAGTACATTCACTAAGTAAACTGATGTACAAAAAATACAAAACTTTCTGCTTCTATCAACATATTCTTGAATAAAATTATAGAGTTATCTATAGATTTTCTTTTGAATTATCGAGGTTTTCAGAAGAGAACGGCAATATTTGGACTTATCAAGGTTCACGCCTTATTGAGGTTCTACTGTAGTCTTATTCAAATATGTACTAACTAGTAGTTTATATATGCTACATTGGGATGGCTATTGATGTCAGAAATTCGAATAGTATCTTATAACTTTTCCCATTTTTTGTAGGTAGGTATAGGAAATTACTACATTGCATAATATAGTAGTTAACATAGTTTAACATATTTAACGTAATAAGTTATTTTTTAATAAATACAATCAACTGATATATTGATAGTACATTGAAGTTTCTATATTTTAACAATTGTAACTAAATAACAAATTATTAGCTTTTATATAATCTCAGATCTCTAATTTAATCTATAATCCATAGTGCAATTTATAATAATTCTTATTTTATGTACTAAATTATTCAATTTTAGTATTCACTATCATGCATTATATTAAATGCTGATTTTAATATTATTATCTTATGAAAATATTATGTACTATAGGTGCTGGTATATTATTGTAATCATGTTTTGTTTACATTGTTATAAATACTTTTTTTTATAATTTAAATCATTTTATATCTTAATACAATTGTATAACTAGTATTAGTAAATTTATTATGTAAACTAATGTTTAAATACCTATGAATCATAGTTATGCTTAGATATTTTTTTTTATGTATACCTGATACTGTGCATATCCATTAATGTAGGGAATCTAAAATAATAGTTGTAAAAAGTAAGGATAAAAAAAAATGAAGAGTACAAAATACATTTTTACCAATTTGAAACTTAAATCTAGTCTTATGTAAACAATGGCAAATGGCAAAAACCAATACAAATTTGGAAGTTGAAATGTAAAAAGCTAAATTATTATAATAACAATTAGGAAATAACCTTAAAACACAAAATACAATTTAAACATTTTTTTAGTCGTAAATTATGAAGTATAATAGTATAGTAAAGTAGTATAGCTTGAGTTAAATAACTTAAATAAAGTATATTTATTAATTATTAGTTATATATTCTATTACCTATTTCAATTTTTTATTATGTTGGTTTCAAATAGGCAAATTGAACTTGATTTAATTATAAATGAAAGATTTGTTTTTTAAATGATGACTTATTAAAAAAATACATATAAAGTCCAAGGAGTTGTCTGTAAATATATTTAAAATGAGTTTAAAAGAAATAACAATAAACAACTGTCATGACTGGCATTAATTATGTGTTAACAGTGTTAGCTGTTATTAATAATGTCTAACAACAATTTTTGAAAACTGATTATTAGTAAGGAAATTTTATTAATGTGTTCAACGCACATTAAACCAATTAAGGAAACAATATTGCCATTATAAGTAAATAGCTCTGATTTTACTAAATTTGTTTGCTGATTATGGATTTGCTTTAACTAAATATCATAATATGTCTACATCAAAAACTACATGTACATGTACACATATAAAAATGTATACATTTATAATCAATATCTATTTTGTTTATTATTCCTTAAATAATAAATTGAAATTTTATTCATTTATACCCAAGTATAATTTTCCCTGAGGATTAATAAAAACTAATTTTACTATGATAATAATAAAATGTTTTCTTACAATTGTTATTCATTTTCACTATATTCCATATAAATTTATGATTTTATAATCTTATTTATTATTTATTAATCAATCCCTAAATTTGATAGCCTATATTTCACAAAAAATATTAATAATTATTAATATTTTTACCTTCATATTTTATTTCTTTTATCATTTATTTAACTACATAGTATAAGCTACCTATTTATTTTTATATTATTATATCTTATCTTGTATTACTTTACCCATTTATGGACACAACATGACCTACACCTACTTAATTAGGTTTTCAGTCTTGCTCTATTTGGTGATGTCAACTGACTTTGGAAACTATTGAGTATTACATATTATAGGTTATTATATATTTTAAAAATTTGCCCTTGATCTTGTAATTGGGTTTGATACCCGATAGACATTTATATTTTGTTTTTAATATTCGTTAAGATTTCAGTTAAGCATGGTTACCTCTTAATAGATTAAAATAAGCTGTAGATAAAGAAAGTAGCAACGTATTAGTAACAGTTTTTTGCTTAAAAAAGTGTCTAGTAATATGATATTTATATTACTTTAATTTTAAGTAAACTAAATATTATGTATAATACGATGTTATTTATAGCATTTATTTTCATGATATAGATTTTGACTATTATAGGTTGATTTTTAATAACTCAAAATATTAACTAGGTTTTGGAAAATTACAGTAGTTACAATTTTAAGCTCAAATATTTTCTTATGTTCATGTTATATTTCTACTAAATTCATCTGTTGTTTATAATTATCAGTTTTTTTAAGTATTTCAAATTCAACTTTTAGTTAAACTTTATTTAACAACCTATTTTTCTAAATTGAATTATTCTTTATTGTTTTTAGGCTTGTATTGATGATAACCTTGATATGGTTGAATTTTTGGTCGAACATGGCGCTGATGTTAATAGAGGTGATAAAGAAGGATGGACGCCACTTCACGCAACAGCATCTTGTGGTTTTTTAAGCATAGCAAAGTTTGTATTTGATTTCATTGTGCTTAATAAATTACTATTTTCTTTTAAAAATTAAATAAATAATAGTTTTTTTATATTGGTACCTATAACATTAGCCATATATTATTATTATTTTTAATAATATTACGGGACACAAATATATTTAAGGTATCTAAATATTTTATTCTTTACACCATTTGAATTGTAGTTTTTCAATACTTGAATTGTAAATTTACTGCTCATAGACCATCAGTCATAGCTATTTTTAGAGTTCTTCACAATCCATTTTTAAAAATGGGGTTGTTGCTTCTGCTAGTGCTCTCTGTGTAGTTTGTAGACCTTGCCAGTTGGCTCATGTACTATTCTACTCAACTCTTTTTTTTTTTTTTTTTTAATGTTTTTAGCGAAAAAAGTATATGGTATGTCTCATGATGGTTTATATTAGCTTCAATGTAAAACAAAGGTGATATTAGTTTTACGGCTTTATTGTGTCCATTGAATATATATTTTTAACTTTATTTCTCTTAAATATTTGAATTACAATAAAGCTAATTTATCCCTTAAATAGATAAAATGTATTTTATATAATTAATTAAATTTTATGACACCAAAATCATCATTTTGAAAAAGTGCCTTTTTCATTTTTTCAATGTATACTTCAAATATTTGTGTATATTAAAATGGATTTCAGGAAAGGAGTAGGGTTGATTGTAGATTACTCCTTTTTGTAAAGTCAAGACTTTTAAAAAGTCAACTAAAAGATATATTAATTGAAAATCATTATTTTTCTTCTTCTTATATAGAGTTAAAAGTAACAGTTTTTGATAGTTCACTGCGCTTCTAAAAAATGTCTACTTATGAAACAAAAAGCATGGGCGTACTTGGGTGTTCTTACTAATTAATAATCTATAAATTAAAAAAAAAAACAATTAGTTAAGCAAAGTTGTTCAACAGTGCATTAAATATGTGCTGGAATTTAAATTCAATGATTTGAATTTATTATTTCTGGATTCTGTAATTAAATACACTTTACTATTTATATTATATTAAAAATGTGGACAATTTATAGGCACATTAACTGTCAATGAATTGTTTGTAAATGATACTTATTAGTTGTAGTCTATTCAATTGATAATTTCCTTTGAAATTTCAAAATTTTAATTCTCTATAAATAAATAAAAAATAAAACTTAGATAGGTTTTTAAAACTATTTTATTTAACAATTAATATTGTCAATACAATTTTTTTTTATCTAGCTTAAAATAAAAAATAAAATGACAGGTACAAGGTAAATATTAAGCAAATACTGACTTAAGTCTTTTTAAAATTCTTACTGTTTAATAATACTGTATACAATATTAAACCAAGCCAATCCTACTAAGCTATTAGAAGCTATTAAAACACGCATAACTTTATGTAAATGATCATAAAAACTGCAAAATAAACAAAAAAGCTTAGAATCATTATATAACTAGTGCGCATTACGATAGTTAATTTAAATGTCTACAATTGAGGAGGTTTTTTATGGTTGTTAAATTTTATATTAAGTTTGTGAGTTAGTAATAATACATGCATTTGTATATATAATATGTGCAATTATAATATGAAATAAATTGATTATAAAATTATATGTAATTACACAGATATCTATTGGAAAATGGTGCAGAAGTGTCTGCTATTAATTGTGATCAAGAACTACCTATTGATATTGCAGAATCTGAAGAAATGAGGCAACTTCTACATCAGTATCTAAGAGAAGCAGGTAAAATCAATATTTTACTGAAATTGAGATCTTTTTTTTTTATTGAAATATCAGCTTATAACTATTTTTGATATAAAACTAGTTTACCGGGCACCTTTTTTTTTTAATTGATAGTATTTTTAATGCTGATTACGAATATGCAAAAAAAATTCCCGGACGTACTTTTTGGACATTTGAAGATCACCAATATCGACATACGTGGGCACCCGGCGGTGCACGACTACCTGTACTGCCAACGGGTCTACTTTCCCGGGCCCGTCGTGGTCCTTTTTTTTGCCGTAATACCTTTGTCCAATAACGGTTATATAAAATCGAAAAATAAACTGTAGATGTGCACCAGCGGGCGCCTGCATATGTCGATATCGTCGATCTTCAAATGTCTAAAAACTCCCAAACTAAGTTAGTCGGGCAAAAATTTCTTGCAGATTCATAATCAGCACTAAAAGTACTATGGATTTCAATAAAGAAAAGATGCCCAGTAAAGTCTATTATTACTAGGATCTTAAAATTAACTTATCTAAAACTTAATCAGAAGATCTTTTTAAAAGAAAATTAAACTTTAAGGTGTTGACTGTGATGACGCCAGAAACAAGGAAGAAAGACTGATGCTCAAAGATGCACGTGAATGGATAAGTTCTAATCAGTTTGGAGACTCACCTCATGCTACCACTGGAGCAATGGCCATACATGTAGCTGCAGCTAAAGGATACATTAAAGTTTTAGAGTAAAAACACAAATATTTTCATGTCATTTGCCTTTAAAAATGTTTTTCAGTTTTAGAATGATAATACTTATGTGTTCCTCTTAGGCTTCTTATCCAAGCAGGTGCTGATGTTAATTGTCATGATTATGATGGCTGGACACCATTACATGCTGCTGCTTATTGGGGTCAAAAAGAGGCTTGTGAAATACTAGTTGAACATTTCTGTGATATAAAAAAGAAAAATTTTGTGGTATGTTTTAGTGTAACACTATGATTATTGATTAAATCTAAATTTATATTTTTTTTATTATGTAGGGTCAAACAGCATATGATGTATCCGATGAAGAAATGAAAGATTTATTAGATGAATTAAAAAAAAAACAAGCGTCTCAAAACAAAGACGTATCAGATAAAAATTATCTTGTTAATAATAAATTACCCAATGCTCAAAAGAGAAGGTCAGTCCAGTATATGGTAGTTATATGTAAAATGTGTTCTATTGTGTAGTTAAAATGGATGTATGTGAAATACTTACACTTTCAAAAAGATTGCTTTTTTATTAGTGGTGCAACTGAGATTTATTTTCTGGAAAGGGTGAAAATGTTTAATGTAGTATCCTTCAAATTATAAAAAAAATCTAAGGAATTTCGTTATTTTCTTTTCAAAAAAAAAAAAAAAAATCAGAAGGGTTTATTACCTTTAAGTTTTAATATTAGTTACTTGCTATTTTATATAAATTTAAACTGTATTATTTATATAGTGGTAAAATAACAGTTAATACCTGTTATTTTTTCAAATAGTAGTATGGACTACTAGAACATTTTCTTATGGGTCCCCAACTATTAAGTAGCTTTTTAGGTAGGCGGATGTGTAGGTTATTTTTATGATCAGTAGTTATATTGGTCAGTTGCTTGTTTGTTGCTGTATAATTTCTCTCTTATAGATCAAGCCTAATTCATTTTAGCTTTGTTGTGGAAAAGAATGTGTTATGCAAGTCTTCGTAATGAGTTCCAGCCAAAATTTACATTTGTGCTTTAATAATTTATACTAACATAAAATTTTAATGGTATATTTAATAATTTGTTTGTTAACGCAACAAATGTAAATGTTGGCCAGAATGTGTTCCAAGCCTCTGGCTAGCGTTGAGATTTAAAAATATTTAATATAGATATAAATTGAATGAACTATAGATGGACAAGGTTAATGTAACAATTATATCAGCTTGTCTGAATTTGTTGTCACAGTGTGCAAATCATTATGATTTAAAAAAAAAAATGTCTTATCAAAATATAGGCATTGCCCATCTATACTATATCTAATCTATGATTTAAATAAATATTTACATTCAACAGTTCCATTGTATCCTAGTAATCAATATTTATTTTCATATCCAAAATAAGTTAAAAAACAAATAATTCTCAAATTTTCTTTGCTTTTTTTTTTTTTTTTTTTTTTGTGTTATTGGGTTTTAAAAAATGTATGTATTTATGTTTACTTTACTCTAATATTTTCTTTTCTTTTATTTGAAAAACTTAAAAAAAAAAATCTTATACCTATGTCAAATACTCTACCTAATTCTTGAGTTATAGATAGTTTTTCTTAAGTTAAATTAAATAACCGACAAGGCGTTATTATATTGTTTAGGAAATAGATAGTGTTATCTTCTTAGCTTAATGTATTGCTTATTATTCTTTGCTTGTTTGCATGTTTGTGTGTGTGTTCTGCTTCTGTTGTGGATGCTCTGTATCACAAACCAATATAGATCTTCAATCAGCAGGCTATCTGGAAATGATAAATCAACATTGAAAAAAGATAAAGAGATAGTTTTAGATAGTAATCGAATTATTAAAGAAGAGGAAGATGAAATTAAAATTAAAGATGATTTACCAAAAGATAAAAGAGTGGAAATTGAATTAACTCCTATTGAACAACCTAAACCCGATGCCAACATAATTGGTAAGTATTGTATAATAACTTTTTTTATTATCACATAAGTACTGTATGTAAATACATATATATATATATATATATATATATATATATATATATATAATTAGGTAATTTTTTAAATAAGTAATAACATTTTAAGAGATATGTATTAGTTATTAAAAGAAAACAATGTGTAAAACAAATATGTATTTGCAGGTATAAAAGATATCAAGCAGCCTACTCCATTAGACAATAATGAACTAAAACCTCCAGAAGTTGTTTTACGTAGAACTCAAAGTTTTGAATCTGATGAAAAGTATGTATCTTAAATTGCTGTATCATGTTTGGTTTTTATTATGTGTTTGCGCATGAAAAAAGTTAATAATTTTTAAATCTGGAATTTTTTATTTTTCTATTAATTATTAAATGTAATAAGTAACTAATTCTAGATTCTAAATATCATCTAAAAATACAACCTTCTAAATTTAAATTTAAATTTTATCTTACATTTAATAAAAAAATTTAAAAACGTTGATAAATAATAATGCATGATTACTATAGTCTATTCAGTGTAAGGTTAAACAGCTTCGCGCATGCAGACTGAACTGCCAAACACCGTTAGCCCCTTCAGCGGTTGCTATACGTTCTGTGATTGGTCGTTAATAATCTACCTAAACCTAGGCCTAGGCGCGAGGAGTCTAGAGGCAGAGGGATGCGCAGTGTTGATGAGTTTTCGTCAACTGAGCGGTATAATCTTAAACTGAATAGACTGTAGTACTATATTTCAAAAATTTCATACAATTTATGTTTAACCCATTTCTGGCCAATTTCCACCATAAAATTGTAATTTTATTTCAAGGATAAAATCACCATGAAATCATTTTGTGATCTTAGCATGGGACGTCCTGGTAGAGAAGGATCATGTTCTGATATGTGGTGTCCATTTGCACCCAGAATGTTTTAAAGGATTTCATGCGAAGTGATATCGTTTTGCGCCAATGGTACTTCACCAGATTTTTTTTTGTGTTGATATTTTATGTTCATTTGAGGTTAAATAAAGGGGGGTTTTCATGAAAAATTGGTCAATTTCACTTTTTTTGAACCCTTGGCAGGAAATGGGTTAAATAAAATAAGTAAAGATATTTAGATAAAATACTTTGCATGTTTAAAATCTCTCTCTCCCTCTCATAAAAAATAAAAAAATGCTAAATTGTTTTCAACAGATTAGTATAGTTTGAATAATTAGTTAATCAAATTAAAATAACAATTTAGAAAAGTAGTATTTTTCATTTGTATTTATAGAATAAATAAGTGTTTTTTTTTTAGTTACTAAAGAGTTCTTAATTGATTTTTTTTATTTTGTACTAAAACTAATTTATATTATAATAATTATAATATAGAATGTGTGAATTAACATTTTTATTTTGTTTGCACGCTTTGTGTCTTGTGTTTGCAATCAGATTCTATCGACGTTATTGTGAGTTACGTGCTAAAATTAAAGGTAATTTATGGGGAGTTATACATGCGTCTCCTTCTTCAGCAAGTGCTTCGCCACCAATGAGAACAGCTTCTTTGAAAGAAAAGCCTCAATCAAGGTATGATGAAAACTAATAACTTTGTAAACTAAGTTTTAATAAATCACCAATATGTATTTACTAATATTTTTAGGCATTTGTAACTATTATTTTCGTGAAGATAATTTATTAAAAACTAATGTTATAATAATTTCTATTTTTAGGCGAAATAAAAGTAATTTCAGAGATGAGCAAACTAACTCACAAACTGTTGTTCAAAGCAACTCAAATACAAGTGATACGTCTCACTCCACAAATCCTCAACAGAATATTCGCAGGTATTTTAAATGGCTTCAAAATTGTTTCATTTATGAACATACTCAGGCCTGGATTACATAGTTTTTGTTACATATATATTATACAGAACACAAATGAAAATTGAATGTGATATAAAAATGTCTAAAACTTTATAATTTTAACTTTCATTTGTCTTTCTTTTTTCCATTTGTTTTTTAATAACCACAGAAACATTTATGAGTTTGCTTTTTGCTTAGCGCGGTGATATATAGTACTGATGAACAAGGTGTTACCTTGCTTTGACCCAGTTATTACTTTCAGACCGGGATTGATCTATCCTCATTTGATATTTAATTTTATTGGTGTACATTTTCGTTTGGAAATTGCGATTCTAATAATTTTTGGTAAAGTTAAACTGTTTAACCTGTTTTTCTCAAAAGCATCTAATGTTAAAATTTGCATAATTTAATATATGTATTATTATATTCCAGCTTTTTTATTTGAATTTTATGCCTTATATACAGTGCCCAATACAATCATGATTTAGTTGTTATAAATATATGTTTTATTATCTCCTATTAATCAATTATCCAGTTAACAATAAATTATAGTATTTTATTTTAAATTTGAATAACAATCAACTGCATAATCATATTTATATACATCACACATTTTTTGACCGCTATTGCATATATTACTGTTATGTAATCCAGGCCTGAAGTTTATATATTTATAAATATATATTATATGACTCGTTCATTAGTAATTAAAAATGTATGTAATAAACAATTACATTTTTGAGAGTAGCTGTATATGTTTCATATTATTAGTGGTGTCAAAGCATTTATCAGTGGCCTCCAAATGCAACAGAAACAATCAGAAACTACTCATAAGATAGTCCCTGGGAACATCTTTAAAAACTTTTTCAAGTTGGTCCTTGAAACTGTAATAGTTGTTTTGGTTAAAGCAATAATATTTTTCAATGAAAAATGCTTGTTTGTGTGTTTTTTAAAAGTATGAACAATGTTGCTTGAATTGCTTGTATGAACTAATAGTTGTTTTCACACCAAAAAATAATAATTTTTTTTGGTAAAATTTTTGAGCTTGAGGACGGCGCAATCACATATTTTGAGTACTAAAACACCACTTTGGACTTCCAGTAGTACTTAAAAAATTATTAATCGTATAATAAATCTGAGGATACCCAAAAAAAGCTTAGAAAGTCTACTAAAAAATTGTTTACTCATAGTATTTTAATAAGAATTTTCACTTTTTTCAATATTGTATAGAACAAACTTCAATAAAGTTATTAAAAAAAATTCTATAAGCACGTAGATGAAGTTCTGATCTTTCATTTGATACTATAAATGATTTTCTACAACTAGTAGCATTCGAGTACTATTGAAAGGGCAAAAGGAATAAAAACAAGCTTAAATCACAGTCAAGGATGCTGTGATAGTCTGAAAAATATATTTACTACCAAAAAATAGCCCTTATTACTGAACTAATAATTGCACATCACAGTTTAACTTTTAAATCAAGATTTCGCAAAAAATTGTCTATACCTAACTTCTTATTAAATGGGGGTATGATGTCTTCTTAAAAATATGTTATAAAAAAGTTACATAAGGTTTTTTTTTCTATAATTTATCATTCAAGTGGATATTGTGGTTTTTTTTAATTGGTATTATTATCTAAGTTAAAAAAAAATACTACATTTAATTTTTAGCAATTCCAATACCTTAATATAATGTTAATACCAAATTGTATTTGTTTTTTTAATATTTAATTTTTGTGACATTTATTTTTACCTAACATTATACTCAATATAAATACTGTCGAGTTTCTTTTGTGAATTAGAATAATAATAATGGAAAGGACTTACGTTATTTGTGTTTAACCGTTTCAAAATTGAAATTAAATTGTTGTTTACATTATGTTTAACTAATTTCATATTAATGTAATGTATGTGTTTTTTTTTAAGTATTTTATTTTATAATTATGTTATAGGTCATTTGTTCCTCCAGTTAGAGATGATGAATCAGAAACTCAGCGCAAAGCACATGCTAAGCGCGTAAGAGAAACTAGAAGATCTACTCAAGGTGTTACATTAGAAGAACTAAAATCTGCCGAACAAATATTTAAACAAAAAAATCAAGATACTGGGAAAAGCAAATTTAACAATTCAACCCAACTGGAAACAAATAATAACTCAACAAACAATATTGGACCACCACAAGTTAGTAAACTAGTAATTATTTTATTAAAAATGAATATGTGTAAGGTTTTTTTTCTTTTCCTTATTTAACTTGCATTTTTTATTTTCCTGTAACATAGTTTTAATTGTTTTAAATAATCTTTATTTTCATAATAATTGATTTTTTGATATAAACATATATTGGTAAAATAGCCATACATTTTAATTTAATTGTTTGGTAGGATAATATTTGAACATTTTTTTAATAAAAACTTCAAACTAATTTTATGTAGAGGTTAAGCTCTACTACATTTGTTTCAATATCTATCAATAATTCTACAATTTTTTCATTAATTCATTACTTTTGCTGTTTCAACTAAATAGTATTCTAAAATTTCGGTGCTGCTGATACAAGAATTATACTATAGTCTTTAAAAATATACTATAAGATGGAATAAAATATTCTCTATAACTGATCCAAAATACAAGTTGCTGCTACTTTATTTCTTTATGTTAAACAGTTAAATTAAAAAGTAGAATGATTCATATGTTAAACATTTTTGTGCTTCATGTTTTTTAGTAATTCAAAAAACATAACAAGCTCATCACATTTTTTTTAATCAAATAATTTTAGTAGTTAATATTTTGCAAATATAAATTACATAAATGGTATGAATTTTGCAATAAGCTTTGAATTAAAAGAAAGTAGTTAATGCACTTCAATTATTAGTTTAATAATTTATTAGGCTAAAACAGAAGAGCATGTAACTGTAACAGCTACAATTACTCCATTGTCCAGAAATATTCCATCTAATATGCCAGATAACAGTGTGGAGCGAAGGCCTTCTTGGAGACTAAGGGTCGAAAATGGCAGCAAGGTTTGTGGTTATTAAGTGTGATGGCATTTTAAGTCCTGTTTGAGTTATTGTGATTTTTGTTGGGTTTATTGTTTTTTTTTTAATTTGCTTTTGTGATATTACTTTTATTTTATGATGTATATAATAATTAAAAATAATAATAAAAATCATAGTAACCGCCGTATCTTTTTTTTTAATATAGTTTTTACTTGAGGATGCGAGGTCTAATGATGCAACCCCCAAAACACCAACTAAATCCCCTCACATTCCTTCATCTCTCGATACAAGTGCAGACACGACAGTGACATTGCCACTCAGACGTCCTTTATCCAAACAACAAGAAGACGAAAAAGGTAAATTTGAAGCATTGACTTGTTTTTTTCTAATTTTTTAATAAACAATATTAATAGTGTAAATAATTTTTAATGTATATACTGGCTGCTGTCCAACACATCTCTAGTTCTTAAAAATAACTTTTTAAAATTAAACACAAAGAAAAATATTTATGTGGAATTAGTTGTGATAGTTAATTTTGAATAGTGAAATTTGTCTTTTATATTATAAAAAACTACTACTTAACTAAAAGACTATAATGCCAGAAAACATATGATGAAGTTATTTTAAATTGCAAAAATAACTGAGAAAAAAAAATATTAGTAAAACAAAATAAATAAAAGAACAAAAAAAAAATTCCAATGTGTCTGAAGTTTCTTTATTTGTTTGTATTATAAATAAACACACAGTTCCAAAGTACAAATTAATTTGTCAAGTCATGTTTTTTTAAAGAAGGATATTGTTTCCTTGATGTATGCAGGGTCAGGGCCTAGAATTTCTGTTTACTGATTAGACTTGGGTGATGTGTTTGGGTTTTTATTTTTCCTTGGTTGTACATTGTTTTTGACTGTGCATTTTTGTTTTGCTATCTAGTCATTTCTTTTGTCATTTGGATATTCCAGCCTTGTTGATTTTCGATCTAACAGCCGTCTCAGTGTAAAAATTAATTGTTTTAGCTGATTTTTAGCTTGATTTAAGCCTCTTTGGTTACATTATCAGGTATACCCGAGTGACATTGTGAACTCTTATAATAATTACTGTGTTACCAATATTTTGTAGGTAGCTGTTCTTTTCTCTGGTTACTATGTTGGGGGTTGATATAGTTATTTATACTTGAGAGTCGCTTAATATTAATTTATTTTTTATTCTGTTAGTTTCAAAACTTTTAAGAGCTTTATATATTGCTAATGCTTTAGCCATATAAATTTAATAAGTGACTTACTTGATATCCTAAGAGCAACTAATTTCACCTCAAATTTACTGATATTGGCTGCTTTGTGTTACATATTTTGGATGATAATTACAGTCCGTCGCCGTAAAGGGAGATTGCAGCTCCTTTTCACAGACAACTTCTTGATAGTGACTGAGAGTCGAATCATGAGTTTTGTTCTATAATAATAGTCAGTGGAGGTACTCGAAATATTTTGTATATGCTGATAACTAGAATTGACTGAAAAGCTTCAGGTGCTATTTTAATAACTAAGGACTTGCAGAGTGAAATATGAATAAAAAGTACTCCAATTTAGTCAAAATTGGTGCTTTGTTTATTGAAATGGGTGATTAAGTTTTAGACCACCATGTTGCAACCACTAGGTATCTGAAATTTAGATCAGTGATTATTTTAATAATTAATACAGTTAAAAACAAAATAACAATACAAACTGTTTTATTATGATTTGTTTTAATTTTTTTCTTTATCTAAACTCAAATATACAAACTTTTATGTTTTTTTCCATAATAGCATATTAAGCAATGTTTAAAAAAAATATTAACATATTTTTTAAGCCCATTAGTTTTTCATTATTATTTAGAACAAGATAAAGAAAATGATTGTCGTAATCACCAAACCACCCAAGCAGTAATTCAAAGAAGAAAAAGGCCTAAACGAAGATCTACAGGAGTTGTTCATGTTGATTTGGATGAAATTGATCCTGATAGGCAAGATACATCGTCATGTGGTGGCACTGATGAAAGCATTGGCGAAGTGAGTTTTATAATCCTTTAAACTTAAAACTGTACTAAGTTAAAATTGCTTGGGTCGAGTTGTATTTTTTATGAAAGATATAGTTTTAGCTATTATTCTACACTACACCTCCATAATTTCGTGCTAAAGCTTCATTAGCTCATTTTATGTTGTTTGTAGTAATTGTAAAATTTAAAATGTTAAAAACCTTTACAAAAATTGTATAATTACACTGTAATACATTGTATAATTACAATAATACACTGTGTATTTTATTGATTTTTGCTGAAGTCTTAAATAACTATAGTTTATAAATTCCATCATATGTAAAAATAATATCACTATTCCTTTAGATTGTAAATATTTTTCCACTAGTGACTAAAAAATAAATCTAAAAAAATTATTGTCTTCAGACAAAAAAAAAAAAGAACATCCTTAAAAAATTAATACCTTTTCAGCTCTGTATCATAGCTGAAATTGTTTAAAAGTGCTACCAGCATATTATATATTATTTAGTACAAACAAAATCTTTTTTTACTGACCAAAAATAATGAAGAAACGTAGTTGTATAAAATGCTATAATAATCTGATGAAAAAAATTAATTAACATGTATAGGCGCGCAATTTAGATTGGAGGGGAAGTGAAGTTGCGCCCTTGTTAATACCGACTTACAATTGTAGTTTAAGTTTTAAAAATTGCCTATCCGGAACCTTTTAATAAATTTTAAATGAGGCGTCCTGTTAAAAAAATTTGAACGGAGCGCAAAAAAAGGTGGCGAAATTCCAAATATTGTTTTGAGTTTATAGTGAAAATCTGGATGGATACGTTGTTTGATATTTTTGGCAAACTTTTAAGTTTTCTTCCAATAATTTATTTAAAACAGCTACAATAAGTCCTACGTCAAATAACACGCCTTCTCTATTGCATATATGCAATTCTATTTTCGACTTATGTTCTTCGTAGTAATAACCTATTTATAAACGACAGTTGGCTACTTTTTTTTTTTTTTATTGAATATTGTACTAACATGTAAAAAAAAACAATATATAACTTGTACGAGTATGTTTTTTTTTAATCACAAAATATGTCCCGATTCCACTCTTGTTTCTGTACATTTTTAATATTTGTATTAAGGCAATGTTTTTTAATCAGTAATCAGGGCAACTACTATACCAAAAATAGATCACGGTCACCATGACTACAACAGCTATGAACTGTCCACGCGACACTCGTCACCTTCTTCTTTCCGAGATTTCGCATCAGTTCTTTATAGTCATTGCTCGTGTGTGAACTTGTGTTCATGATGAGTTCTTATAGTTCTAATATTCGAAAGTCGCGTCCGTCGTCGTCGTCGTACGCAAGGCCAAGAAGTGTTTACAGTTCTCCCTCTCGGTCTGGTTCCATGTACTCATCTCTGGGTTTATCGGCGCCTTATTTGAACACATCGACATATAGCTCGAGCATTCCTTCATATTCACCGTCCACTTATGGCGGGACTGCATCCGGTTATGGGGGTTTGACAATAACTCCATCGTCCCCAAGCTATTCCGGTGGCTATTCTGGCAGAAACGTGTCATCGTCTCCGTCTAGACAATCGCGTGCCCATAATACACCTCTCAAAAGAAGTTATTACCAAAGCCCGTTATCGAGATTTGATTCATCCACTTCGTTGGCTTCCAATAAAAGTTACGGATCTGAAGGTTATGTGGTAAGATAATAATGAATACAGTGGCGATTGGCAACTGCCTAAAACCTATTAAGGAATTCTCGATTGTGATTAATAGAATTTTAAAAACTCGGCGAAATTAAAATAATAATAAACAATGTTCAGGCACAAGTTAAAATTTAATTACAACGTGTATTGGTTAGAAGTTTGATTGAGAATTGTTTTAGAGCGGTGGAGATACTAAATCAAGTCCAACGTCAAGACTAAGTTCAGTGTCATCTCAGAACAGTAAATTAAGTAGCGCACCAACATCTCCTGTACCATGTTTGGAAAATGGAGAACTAGATTACAAAGTGGTAGGTTAATTTTAATTTAAAACTGTTAACTGTAGACTACATAGTTTTGTTGTTTTAGTTATACGAAGAAGCAGTTTTAGACAACGAAAGGTTACGAAGACAGTTACAAAAGACTGAAGAAGAATTATTAGAATCTAAAATAACTATAGAAAAACAGTCATCCAATGTTCGTATTTTTTATTTAAAGAAGTTTAAAAAAATAAATAAGATATTTTATTTATAGATCGGCAAGAGCACACTATCTGAAACTGAAAAACGGGAAAGGCGAGCTATGGAAAGAAAACTATCGGAAATGGAAGAAGAACTTAAGGTAATTAATTAATAAATAAAAAATGATATTTCCAACTAGGTATTTTGTTTAAACAAAATTATTCAAGTTGCTATGCTGGAATGTAGAGCTTATAAGTGAGTTTATGTTCTTTAGCAATTGCAAAAGTTGAAAGCGGAAAATGAACGACTCCGAACTGAGAACAGAGCTCTTACCAGAGTAGTTTCTAAACTCACTCATACCTGATTCTGTGAATTCTTCATCTTTTTATGTATGTAAATGTGACATAAACAGTGTTGCGTGATGTTGCATTTGTGTTGAATCCTTCATTTTTGTGTTGTAGTTTACTGATCAACTACATTTAAAAAAAATTATATTTATTTTGTTATAAATATAATTAATACATTTATTTGAAATTTTTAAATAAATAGTAAATAATAATAATACAGCAGAAATTAAAAATGTTATACTACATCTATATTTTTTAATTAAAATTGTATTTATTTGTATTCTTAACATTTTACTAATTTAATTTAATTTGCTTAAATCTATTAAAACAATCTTTTATTTTATACTTTTTTTTTCTATCATTAAAAAATCAACCACAATATTCTAAAAATCTATGATTAAAAATGAAAACTTTTAAGGGTTGTACATTTTTAAAACTAAAAAACACTTCCGTTCTAATGAAAATTATGTTTCTTAGGTTCTGATATCCATTCAGTTCTTAGTAATTTGTAGACCTAACTTAAAATAAATGATGTATTTTTATTATTATAATTATTTAACATACAAATTTAAAATACACACACCATTTACCTTATTAGTTCATTTGATTTTTGCTAAGACTACATTCTTTGTGTTATAATACGAAAGCTTACCTTTTTTTTTGTCAATAACATTTTATATGCGTTTATTTTATATTTATTATAATTCCGTTTTTTTTATTTCAGCAAATGGAACAATTACGACAAGAAAGTCAGAGGCTAAAAGACGAGAATGGTGCATTGATCCGAGTTATAAGTAAACTTTCGAAATAGTGATAACTTTTAGGCTATTTTAATTAAATTAAAACAATTACCTACAAAAAATAACTGCTTTTATTCATATAGTATTCAGTATTAATTCTTTTTGACTAGTAAATATTTTTTATATCATAAACGTATGTATGTAATATTGTAATTTAATTTGTATTGTTTTTTTATTCATCCAACAAATGTGCATCATATTTTCTATTTGACCATTATTTATTTAAATCAATGATAAAAAATAGTGATTTTCATACAATTAACCCAAATTTATATTATACTAGATTATTATTACTTTTAAATTATATATAAAAACAAATTTATTAATATTTTTGTACATTAGTACTATTTATTCTCATGTATACCATTTTGTATAATTATTGCATTTTGTTGTCCTGTTTTAATGTGGATGTTTATTCGGTATATTTTGAAAATTAAAAAAGAATATTGATTGAATTTTAAATCAAGCGAATCGTTTTCAACACTGCCTACTCGGTAATTTTTTTTAAAAATTGTAAAATACAACTCCATTAGAGCCGTCTAATCCTGCCCTTGAATTTTTGCATTATATCAAGGAATCTTGTTTTGAGCCTTTCAACATGTAACATCAGTTCTGCAACTCGTGGTTTCAAAATTACAAAACAATAATGATCATAATGTCAATCATGGAATATTATTAGCCTTTAACGCCAATAATATTTTAATACTAACATTCAATTGTAGTGTTCAGTGTTAATGCGAGAACACAACGGAGCCCGCTTGTTATTATTTCTTTGGTGTGATCGATGGAGACGACTGGCGCCAGCGATCACTATCGACTAGTCGTTGATTCAATTTTCAACGCCTTCGTCTAGTATTAACATTTTGCTTAAGTTAACTGATAAAATACTATCAGCATACAAGGTTCTAAGAGTCATTCATGAAAAATTAAATGTCCTAGACGACATGTTACACTATCACGTAAACCACAGTCATGATAGAAGTTGGCGCACGGTCGCATGTTGAGTAACAAAAAACAAATTATTTGTTTTGTAGGCTTCCTTTTTTACATTTCTTATTTAAAGACAACAGTACCTACAATACAATTATTTACATATTTTGTAAATAAAATGATGTTATACACATTACAGTATTATATGCATCAATTTATGTAGGGTGTTAACACACAACTTGCACACCTAGAGAAAAGGCCACTGAATTTAAATTTAGTTGTGGTGAAAACGCCAATGCAACCTTCATCATTTTTAGAATACCATTTGCTTGCATATTTAATATTATTATTAAATTTGGATATAATTGATCAGTAACAACGTGATTTCAAATGTCAATAAAAAATATGTATATTTGTTTATTATTGGGTACCTATCCAAAAATAAAGAAAATGGCCAATTTCTTTTATAATAATTTAAAATTGCCAAGATTATAAAAAGATAATCCATTTTTAATTTTTCAAAATTACTCGCTGGTAAAAATCCTACATATTTCCAAAATTCTTCATAACATTTTCAAGGCATCGAACATGGCATAATTTAAAATTGATTTTTTGTTAATTAATTATTTCAGTTTAAAAAAGTTAAAAAATTCAGTATTTTACATGGAATTAATTAATTAACTAAAAATAATTTTAAAACTGTACCACGATCGATGCCTTAATACTCCGATTTTTAGGTAAGTTTAGTTTGAAGTAGAAACATAAGTTTTTGTACAAAAATATCTTTATGCGTTATTTAAGTTGAAATATGTATTATTAAAATAGTAATATGTACGTTTAAAAATGTTTAGCTTAATGTTAAGTTTTAGCAAAAATTTGTCTATACAATGCGCCCTAATAAATGCTAGTGCAGAGGCCCCTTAATAGTGGTTTGCTTGATACATTATGACATCAAATGCAAAACGTTCACTACTATGATTATTAATTTAGGCTTACTTAAACATGGGGTACAGTTGTCAGAACTACGCTAATTTTGTTTTCAATAGATTCTACTCTAATAGAAAATATTAAAGATCATTGAAATACGTCGGTCATTAAAATACGATGACAGTCATTAGAGAAAGTGCACTCTGCGGAAAAACATTTTTTCATTAATTCTCTTTATAAATATAATAAACATATTTATTAATTAATCAATTATAATTTATATATTGCAAAATTAGGTTTTAATTTATTAACATTACTTATTAAGTAGAAGTAATTTCATTGTAAACAAGTGTAATACATTCATAATTATTATTTTGTGTAAGTTTTAGACCCAATAATTTTTATGAGACATATATTTTATAAGGTAGTTCCATATTATCTTAAACTTTAAAAGCAAGTTAGTAAGAGATCAGTACCGATCATTTTGATATGTATAGAATCTATAACTGAAGAATAGAATACCAATATAAATCTATTAGTAGTTAACTAATACAAAAATATATATATATATTTCTATTAAATATTTTTTAGCCATAGTTTTTTTAACAACAACTTACAATATCACAAATTGGAACTCTCCAAGCTTAAAAGGGTTAAAATAACAATTTTAATGATATAGCTATCACCCACTAATACAGCACCATCCTGAAGATCCTTCTACTGGTGCTTCTTCATCATCAATTATTATAGTTCTTCTGGTGCTTCCTGAACGATTTAAAGTAGCCACATTATGAGCTATTTGTTTATCTGCTTTATCTATCATCATCTGGCATAAATTTAAAAATAAATCTTCGATGCCCGTGTTCAATTTTGCTGATGTATGAAAATGGACTGCACCGACTGAATGTGCATAGCTAAAAGTTGAAATATTATTTGATATTAAAAGTGAAAAAATTATTCATGTTTACATTACTTTTCTGCATCTTCAACCAACACTGTACGGTCTTTTTCTAAGTCAATTTTGTTTCCAGCAATAACTAGACAAATTTCATTACCCAACATTTTTTTCAGTTCTTTTACCCAATTTTTAACCTACATCATAACATAGTATTAATATGTAATCAATAATAATGCTATTCAGAAAAATGTACTTTAATTAACAGCCAGTTAACATGAAGCAAATTGTTTAATTACACATACAACAAATACATTTTTTATTTTAGTTACATTATTTCATATAATAATAAAATTTAACTTGATATTCTAACAATAAGGTTCATTTTCCTTAAGCAGAAATTAATATAACTTAGAAGACATGTAAACCAACAACAAATTTATTTTAAATCTTTTTTTTTTACATCTTTATTTACACATTGAATTGAAAGTATAATTTTCAACATTTGGAGCCTTCCAACATAAAATATAACTGAATATTTATGTATTAAAAAGTATGCTGGGTGTTACATAACTTAAATGGCATATTTATAATCAATTAACTTGTAGCTTAAATTTATAAATAAATACCTTTTGGAATGAATCTTCATCTGTTATGTCATAAACAAGTATAGCTCCATTAGACATTCGATAATATATTGGACCTAAAGCATGAAATCGTTCCTGCCCTGCAGTATCCCATATTGCTAAATGTATACGCCGACCATTTATATTTAGTTTTTTTTTTACAAATGAAGCCTAAAATTGTTATAAAATTGATTAATAATGCATTAATTATGCAAATACTGTATCCACTTACCTGTAGAGTGCTAACATGTTTGTCACTAAATTTATCTTCGGTGTATCGTAATACTAATGAAGTTTTTCCAACACATCCTTCTCCAAGCAAGACAACTTTAAAGCTCTGAGCTGTTCTATTATTGCTTGGACCTTCAGTTGTGTCTTCCATAGTACTATTGTAATAATTTAAAAACTTAAAAGTGAATTCGCAGTTTAGGCATTTATAGCTTTTTAATAATAATTAGTATAATTTAATATAAACAATTATTATTTACATTATAATCGAGAAAATGATTACTTTAATATGATTATATGCGGATTCACATCATTTATACGTATAAGAATCCTATGAGTTATGATGTAATTAGGTTGTTACACAATAATATTAAATTATGAATATAGGACTACAAGTGTAAAACTTCTTCGTTATTATCACTCACATATATAATATATATTACAATATATAATATATTGTAATCACGAACTAATCTTAGTTCCTGATTGTTATATGCTTGTTATCACTTCACACTTGAGAATAATTATGTAGCTGACTAAACAGAATAACCAGAAGAGAATCCTAGGCCCGGACTGATAAGTGTCCGACATTTTGTTTTTGTGGATTATGTACAATTATCACACCTTTTCTTGGAATTATCTATAGGCAATCTATTATAGTCTGGGACCTGGGTCCTAGCCTCAAATAATAATAATAATAATAATAACAGTAATAATGTCAGTCGGCCTTTTCCGGCGGCTCATAAGAACCCATGTAATTTTTTCAAAGTCTCTCTTCTGGTTATTCTGTGCTGACTTCTAGTCTTCATGTTATCAATAATCATATGTCTATTATCATTATTAATCAGTATATAACGCATGAAAATTGTAAACAAAATATACTATTTTCTTGTTTCTAGAAATCAAGGACACATGCCTGTTTTGCATGATAAATTACAGCATGTTTTTCTGCGATTAAATTGTGTAGCTTGTCTGGGCTAACGTCAAATTCATATACAATTGTTTTTTTTCATGATAGTTTTTTGGAAAAGTCGTTTTTATAATATATATTATACTACTGGTAAATTTCCAATTAGCGAATTCTCAGAAAAACAACCAATGGCTCGCCATAGAAATATTAGGAAGGAAACGCAATATTCTGACGGTAACAATTCATTTGTTATTAAAAACATTAGGCATTCTAGTTAATATTATTTTTCTTACATTGTATTATTTTATTAAAGATACTATTTGTGATTAACCAAGAGTGGTTAATTATGCAACAGTATTGGCATCATTTATTTAAAGACAGGTTTTATATTCCTCCACAAAAATCAACTGTTCTCTGGAAATAGTTTTTTTAATAAGTTATTTTTTATTACCTTATTCTGCATTAATTACATACCTATTTTTACTGTTTTGTTTTCTCAACTTGCTACTCACCAAAAGAGTTTTTAGTTTCTCTTGGAGATTTTCTGTTTCATTATACTTAACACATTTTCTTCTCTATCTATTCTTCCATAGTTTTTCATTTCTTGGAAATTCTATTCCCAAGTATACAACAATATTTATAAACACATTTTTATAATATAATGTTAGAATGTACCTGCAAACTACATAATAATATGTTGAATATTCAACTTTAATGCATTCATATTCATATAAATTAGTAAACTTATAAAACCCTAACAAAATCTAAAATAGAAAAATTGTTGACATATATATCGTTTATGAGACATTGATAAGTATTAGAATCTTAACTAAATCTGTAATTTGTGTTACTATTGTTTTAGATGAATATTACGATGATGATGATTATTCACATTCATTTGAAGATGACTGTATCTCACCAAGTGATGGTATTATGTGTTTTTATTATTATTGGTATAATAACTATCTACATTTTAAAATAATACATCCTAATTATAATTCTAGCAATCTATTTATTAAACCATAAATCCAAATTTGATTCTGATCAAGAACTAACAGATGCTAAAGTGAATTCTTGTCTTCAAAAAATAACAGAACTATTGGGCTTTGAAGTTGCTAAAGATGTTGTAGCAGAGTACTTGATTAATAATGATTTTAGTATAGAAAAAACTGTAGATCAAATTCTAAATTCAAAAATTGGTAAATCATAAATGTAATTTACCATTTTTGTATATTTTACATATAATAATCTTGTTGTGATGTTAGTAGATACTTCTAAGACTAAAGATTTGTTCGGAAGTGACGGAAGAATTAGCAGACCTCCTTCTATAGTTGTTGCTTCATCATCAAAAAATAAAGATAGTATTACAGTCGGGTTTGGAAATATATCTGTTTCTGGTAAATTCTCTCAAGTGTTTAAATTTATTTTCAGTAAATAATATTCAATTTATTTTAGGTCCTAAAAACAAAACTATTACTGCTACACCTAAACAAACTCCATTTAGTACACCATATTGTTCGCCTGCTGTAACTCCTCGAAATCGATCTCCTCAAAATGTTCGTATAGGATCGCCTCGAGTTGATCGAAAATTACAATCACCCAAGTAATACATTTTAGACAATAAAATTAAACATTTTAGTTATAAAACTTATGGAATTTATTAAATAGAAGTAATAAAGATCTAAACCGAGGATTATCACCAGTTACCCAACATAAAGATCAGCTTTACTTAATCATTATTGGTCATGTAGATGCTGGCAAAAGTACATTAATGGGTCATTTGTTGTATAAACTGGGCCACGTGCAACAACGAACTATACAAAAATTTGAACATGAAAGTAAAAAATTAGGCAAACAAAGTTTTGTTTATGCTTGGGTGCTAGATGAAACAGATGAAGAAAGGTAATTAAAAAAATTTTTTTTGTTGATATTGCACATTTTAAACAGTATATTTATTATGTTTCTTGTATGTTGTGTAAATAGAAATCGCGGTATAACAATGGACATTGGTCATTTAAAATTTGAAACTCAGACAAAAGATGTTACTTTATTAGATGCTCCAGGTCATAAAGATTTTATACCAAATATGATAACAGGTACAGTTTTAATTTACAATAACTTCATATATTGTTGAAATGTAGTATTTTATTTTCATCAAGCAATTCTCAGTAAACAAGTAAAATAAATTTTAACCTTGCGGGTATTATTTCAATAATTACTAAAAAATTAGTTGTTAGAGTACTGACAACATACTTGTTTAAATCATATGTTTTTTTTAAGATCAATCACCTAAATTAAGTAAAAAAAATTAAGCCACAAGAGATCTGATTTTAATTTTAGTAAAAGTCATTAACTTTCGAATACAATTTGTTTTTTTTTTTTAAATTATTTATTTATTAATTATAGGTGCTTCTCAGGCTGATGCAGCTATTTTAGTAGTGGATTCCACAAAAGGAGAATTTGAAACGGGTTTTGATAGCGGTGGACAAACAAGAGAACACGCTCTTCTAATTCGATCTTTAGGTAAAGTTTATTGTAAAAATACAATTTTTCTGTTAAACATATTTGTTTAGTATTAACATATTACAAACATGTATGGAAACAATAAGGCACCCATCCATAGTTACAAGTAAAAGCCAACATCGGGCAATTTGCTTTCTCCTTAAATTTCTATATTCATCATAATTTTGTCTGGTTTCTCGTTGTAGCATTTTCAGCCTTGCTTGGATTTTTGGGTTTTTTTATAGAAAATTTCAATGTATTTTTCATTGTTCCATTCTACGTTTCTAGCATGTTTAGCGACACCTTTTTTTTTGGTGTTTTGTGTTTATACTTTCCAAGTTGCATAATCTTGTGTTTAGGGCTTCTTAATATTTTTTTAGGGCTTTGTTAGGTTAGGTTATAGGATTTTGTTTGTAACATGTTGTATTATAAACACCTAATATTATGAATGCATATTTTGTTGATTATATTTTTATCATATTTTAACATCCCTCCAAACAAGGATATTTGTGTGGAGTGGTGGCGAACGATGTCCGTTTCAACAACCAACAGTTTCAAGGAAACCCGATATTTTTTGTATAATGTTCAAGGTCTTATACCACTGTGACACCCATTATCGAATAATTTAGTTATTAAAGGAATATACTATGTTTTTGTTTGTTTTTTAGGTATAACTCAACTAGGTGTGGCTGTAAATAAAATGGATACTGTTCATTGGTCAGAAAATCGATTCGAGGAAATTAAAATAAAACTTGGTCATTTTTTAAAACAAGCTGGTTATAAAGAAACGGATGTTAAGTTTGTACCTTGTTCAGGGTTAAGCGGAGAAAACCTTGCTACAAAAGCAAATGAACCATCACTTATTAGTTGGTATAATGGTCCATGCTTGATGGACGTCATTGGTAATATTTTTATATCATATATTATAGATATAATAATTGATAATATGCATCTATATCGTTATATCCTATATTAGAATTGGCTGTGTATTTGTGTGTGTCATGCTTAAATGGCTGAACCGATTTAGACTCTGTTCTTGTCTATCCTGCATTTTCGTATCGGGATATAAATTTAAAAAAATTAATTTACTTAGTCTTCTTTCATTTACCCAACTAAAAATAACCTAATTTTGTTTAAATTTGTAATATACTGAATAATATGTTCAGTTTACGTAGGCAATAATAAAAATAAGTTAATGATAATATATAGTTAAGTAATATAGTATAAAATAGTTTGAATGTCGTCTGCATTTCTTTCATTTACTATTGTGGATCATTTCAATATATGGTAAAATAGGTTGTAAATGCGTATTCAAATAAATTGAGAGAACACTTAAAAATAAATGGGAGGTGGCATGTTAACTTTTGTAAAAAATTGATTTTTATTAGGGTTGTCCTGAAAAACTTGATTTTCGAATTTTAACCTGAAGCCTCCTAAAAAGTTTCTAAGTGTAAAAATGAGATTTAAAAACATGTATTTTCCATTAAATTTTCATATTTTCGTAGCAATTTTGACAGGTGTAAAATGTTGGGTATGGTGTATGTGTTCAGCAGACTCTAACCCATAGGCGGAACTACGGTGTTCCTTGGCCTAATTTAAAAAAAAAAGAAAAGCTAAATAATATAATTTTAAATATTTGATTATTATTCCTGAAATCCATGTTTTAAATTTTTTGAAATAATATCACTTCTAAGGGCCCCGTGGCTGGGTGGCCGATTACAAAAGTAAACCATCACTGTTTTAATAAATAAGACGTGTCACGTGTATAATATGAACACCTATAAAGGTATAAAATTATTTCTACTCTCGTCGGTTGTTACCAAGCAGCGTGCAGAAAGATAAATGTCACCAATTGGGGCCTAACTTTTGTTTTTATCAATACATTTCGAGTGTTTCTGCAATTGGTTTTTAATACCCCGTAACCCATGTATTTATGTGTTTAGGAATATATATTTACGTGTGAGTGTGTTTTTTTCTTCAAAAATACTGTGTTTATTGACAGATTGTTTTGGTTTAACGGAATGTAGGTATAATGCGTTAACGATAATCCCCACTGACTGGTTATTGGAGCGCAGCTGTTTTATAAGCCTTCATTTTTACTTCAACTTTCATAGAGTACAATCAGAATTAATTGACAGGTAATAAATTTAAGTTATACCATATTATAGTAATTATGTAGAATATGGAATTGAGTAGATGTGCCACTTTTAGCCACTGTCTATTGGCACAGTGAGGGGTTAAAATAGTTAAATGTATATATTTTTATTCTTTAGATGAATGATATGAAAAAACTGTATATGATGACACTTTATTATCTGCTAATGCCTTTTACAACCATTTTAAAGCAATTATTATTGTTTTTATTTTTTTTTAAATAGGTACCTTTATTTATATAGCATATTTTTGATATGTATATATTTTAATTTTGTAATTTAATTGTTTTATTTTGAATAAAGACGTATGGACAAATGTATAGTTAAGTTTAGCAAAAATGCATAGTGTTAAACATTTTTATATATAACAGTGGTAACAAAAAAAGGTAATAATTGAAATGGCACACTAAAATGTAAAACTCTAGTTCCACCTATGCTCTGATCTAAATATACGAGTATCTCAAAGTTTCAGTTCAAACTATAAAGTAGAAAAGATATGCATTGATTTATGCACAAGTGTCGAAAACCTATGTTAAATCCTGTTTAAACTACAACCCTTTTGGAGCAAGAGTTAAAATTCATATTTTTTGAATTTATATTTTATCTCATTTTTATTATATTTAGAAACTTTTTAGGGGGCGTCGAGGTAAAAATTTGATAGTCGACTTTTTAAGGACCATCCTAATACCTACATTTTGCAAATTATTATGGAGCAATTTGCACCTACAATTTCATTAGTTGGGCATGACAATATTAATTTTATTTTAACTTATGTATCCTATGAAATATATAATAGGATATATTTTGTGAAATTGGAAATAGAAGTAAGTGGTAATAATGAAAGTGATATTGGCTGGATGTTGAAAGTGATTAGTAATAATTATAAGGGTTTAAAGTAACAATATGTTTGACCGAGTGCCTAACAGATGTTTTTGTCATTAGCAAAATATACACACAGCTTTTTTTTCTGGACCTCGTCTTGATGTACAATTTTTATCACTTTAATAATAGTAGCAGTAATAATAATGTTAAATTTTTTTTCTATTCCAGATAATTTTAAACCACCAGAGCGTGCAATTTTTAAACCTCTTAGGTTATGTGTTAGTGATGTATTTAAGAGTTCTGGCTCTGGATTTTCAATTGTTGGTCGAGTAGAAACTGGTCAGTTAAGAGTTGGAGATAAAGTGTTGGTGCAACCACAGGGGGAAACAGCTCAAATTAAATGTAAGTAATATACTAATTTTACCTGGCTAAATATTTAATAATATAAGTTATATTTGAAACTTTTAAGTATATTTTTTAGTTTAAATTAATACAATACAAATTTGTATTTTTTAAATGTTTGTTCTTAATTTTAGCTTATATAACCTCAAGAAGTTAGTACGTAGGCGATTTTTTTTTATATAATGTACCGGTGTTCAATGAGTTTAGGACATTCTGTCTATCCATATTTTTACACCTTAACTGTTTTACACATTTACAATAATAACTGTATATTATAAATTAATTATAATGTATAAAAAGAAAAATGTATGTAGCTTCTCAATCATTTGAACATTAAATTAAATACTATTTTTTTTTGTTTTCTAGCTATTGAAATAGACGAATTGCCTCATACAGTGGCTCTAGCGGGTGATTATATCAGTGTTTCAATTACTGGTTATGATGCTCAAACTATTTACTCTGGTTGTGTAATATGTGACTTAACACTACCAATTCCAGTAACTACGGTTCTTGAAGCCCGAATTGTTGTGTTTAATGTAGACTTTCCAATTGTCCGTGGTCATCAAGTTGTATTACATTATCAAAGTTCATCAGAATCAGCTATTGTGTGCAAACTTCTTGCAGAACTTAATAAGACTACCGGTGAAGTGATACGTAAAAATCCTCGCATGATAAAAAAGAATACTCATGCTCTTATTAAGGTACAATTGTCAAGACCAATATGTGTGGAAGTCTACTCAGATATCAGACAACTGGGTCGAGTGATGCTAAGGTCTGCTGGTAATACTATAGCAGCAGGACTTGTTACTAAAGTTAATTTTAACAAATAAATAGTTGAATATATGTGTATATATATTTTTAAAAAATCTTGATAATATATATATGTTGTAAATAAAATATAATATGTATGGTTATTTTTTTGAAAATAATAATTTTATGGGAATCAATTTTTCTTTTTACAGAAAACCATTATATTAATATTTTGTTTATAAAAGTATGAATGTTATTGTGGGTTTACAAAAAAAATTAATAATAATTTATTAACTTATTTCTGTGATATTATATTTTTTTTTTGTATTGAAGATGAAAAATAAATATTCTTCTTAAAAAATATAAATAATTATAAATATACCTTTACTATGTGAAAGTTTCATTATCAATTCCACTAATGTTAAATTCTAGCCTCGTTTAAAAGTATAAAATATTAGGTAATTTTCATTAAAATATATCTTTCTATACTTTTTAGGTTGAGAGCAAACTTTAAACTTACTACCCGTGTACCTGGGTTCCTAAAAAAAATTGTGTAATAATCTGAGTAATAATATATTACACACACGTGATAACAGTAGCGAGGTGTATTTACAGTTTAAAAGGTGCGAAAATGCACGACCTTGGCAACCGTTAGCTTTTTTACTTTTTATTTTTACGTCTTATTACTTTATAAAATGCTTAAAACCTGTTCGATCATCGATGGTATGCTCCAGATTCCAGAAGTTGAAAAAACCCGTACGTCTATCGAATAAATGGTTCCAGAGCCAACCCGTTACAAAGATTCTATTTTCAAATTTATATATAGAGTTATAGATAAATTATAAATAGATTCTAGTTTGTCTTAAGTAAATTATTTAAGACCTACTATTATTTATCCCTCTCAGTTTAATATGATTCTTTATGTGTGCCTCAATATCTCCCATTACGCCTAGTAACTAGTAATATTGTCTGTAAGTGAGATAATCTCGTTTGCTTCACTTTATACCTTAACTTATCTTCTATTATTATCTTATTCTCTTCTCTACTATTTCTTTATATTTATTTCTTAACTTTAATTTGAAATTTATATTTCCTTTTTGATATTTATAAACTGATTATTATAGACATTAGGTATTTTTTTTTTGATTTTATGATTAAATACATTGTATTTAATAAATGTTATAGGTCTATGTCAATTGTCATAACTTATCAGTTATCACTCTAGTATACTTTAAATTTTGGAGTACTTGGAAAGTATAATATAAATTATTTATTAATCAATATAGAAATCACGGTCCGAAGACCGTGGTAGATACTATATCTATCATAGATGGTAGATAGCGCTCTGAGAAAATACTATCTAACGATAGATGGCGAATAAGTAGGTTTGTTTTTTTATTATAACGTAATTGATAAAAATATTACTATTATTTTGTTGTACTTCACTTTACTATCCGACTGATTTAGTAGTTGATAATCATCTGAGCGGTGAATATCTGTGTAAAAGTTATTAATGCGCAATGTACTTCACTAATTTTTAGGTCTACCGTCTACGATTGAAACGCGACTTACTAGAATTTTAAGTGTTGATAGTAATTTGTTTTATGTTTTAAACTGAATGTTGTATGTACTCATATTTTTACGACTGGCGTACACATTTTATAGCAAGAACTAAGGTTTTTGTACAAATGTGAAGAAGTAATTATAATATTTTGTATTTAATTTCGGTATTATTATTGTTAAATTTAATTGAAAAAATTCAATTCAATGAAATATTTAGTTATTAATTAAATAATATTTTGTTATTCTTTTTTTTTAGCTCTATAAAAATAATTTAATGTCCAATTTGTAACTCAAAGTACAAAATACCACAAGCACAATGAGTGTTGAGGGAAGTAATGTATATCAAGGGTTACAGGTCCACAATTCTGTTGTACAGCCTTTATTAACTGGTAAGATTATCGAATAAACTAAATAAGTTAATTTAATAGAAGTATAAAATTTATAGTATAGAATATATTCTAGTTTTTAATAACATTATTTTGTTAACTACTTTTTTCAGACCTTTATCAAATAACTATGGCCTATGCATACTGGAAATCTCAAAAAACATCTGATACGGCAGTTTTTGATTTATTCTTTCGCCATAATCCATTTCAGGGAGAATTTACTATCTTTGGAGGTTTAGAAGAATGTTTAAGATTTTTGGAAAATTTTCGCTATTCAGATAGTGGTAAATATTTATTAAACTATATATAACTATAATATTAGAGTTTAAAAGCCCAATAAGCTCATAATAAGAAACTTGGCAAAGAGAATTAAAGTTATTTCATTTTAGATCATAGCATTGGTTTAAGTTTATTATAAATAATATTTTCATTACAGAATACATAAATGTAATTTTTTTTATAATATGCAATATGAACAATAATGTAAATAATATCGGTCCATTTCATTTTAGCCAAAAATTGAGATTAGCTGTTTTAGATGTTTAAATTGGCTTTTAAATAATTTTCCTCTAATACACGATAACAAAATGAGGCTTAAATTGTTGAACAATGTTTATAATGCATTTTCCGCTCAAATTTTCTATGTCATTATTTAACAAAAAATAATTGATGAGCTAAAAAATAAAAATAAATCTATATTATATAAAGTTAGTTGAATGTTCTTTAAACTTAAGAATATATTTTTATCCATGTAAATTTCATTAACAGGTTTTACAAGTTGTTTACAGTTTAATTCATCTGTTGAATGAAACACAATAAATAATTAAAATAATAAATACATTGATTTTGGTATTCAATTTTTAGCTTTCTCAAAAAAAAAAAAATTATAATAAATGTTAACTTATATATTTGAGTAAAATATTGCTATTTTACAACATAATACTATAACTAAACAATAACAATTCAACTTCATGTAGTTAAGTTGCCTATAATTTTTAAAACCTGCGTAGTTATTTTAATAGAAAAGTATTCATATAATAATATTGCATATTTTAGAATAAATTATTAAAAAGTTTGATTGAATAGTTTATGTGATTTAACCCGTTTAGCCTCTTTATTTGTTAAAAAAAATTGTAAAAATAAATATTATATTTCAGTTTAAAAACTAAATTAATATTATTGATAATGCTAACCATGGTAACGAACCGATAACACAAACTGACATAATGGGCCATGGGAACGTATAATGATTATATACTTTGTAAATTAATGTGGAAATTGTATATAATATTTCCTTATGTACAATACTTCTAATTTGTATTATTGGTAGCCTTGATTGTTATTGAAAATAACGATTTATTATAAGGTTCAAAATAGGTATTTTTTTTGTAAAATTGTATTTTAAAACAATTATATTATGTACATTTATCAGTTATTGGTTAAATAATGAGGACAATTAAAAAAAAAAAAAAACAGAATAAAAGTAAATAATTAATTATAAAAATGTAGTTGCAGGGTATAGACTGTGAATTATAATCTAATCTTTGTATTGTCAACAAATTAAAAAAAACGGTCGTTATAATTTTGTATATGCCAGGTTGCATATAAAATTTATTGATCATTAGAATTTCTATGTTAGGGGCGTTATTTTTGTATGTAAATATGGCTGCAGTCTGCAATCATTTTAATTTGGTTTCTAAACTATAGACATTTTTTAATATTTCAAAGCATTTTTTAAAAGTTAAACAAAATATCTGCCCATTCATTGTACTTAATGTGGGTTTATAGAACGTTCAAAAACAATGGCTAGCAAAGTTTACTCTACACTTTTGCCGTTCAATGTGTACATTTAAATTAACATTATTTTAAAAAGTAAAACTATAAAATTGTTATTATTTTCAGAATAACTGAGTGGATAACTTTAAACTTCTATAGTTATATCCCTTTAAAGTAGGCATAATAGGAGAGTAATTTTTCATTTCTTTACTCTTCTTTAGCGATGAACTAACGATTCGTCCCGTCAAAAAATATTATGGTCTCCCCAACAATGGTAGGCGCACTAAAATAAACCATAGTAGTTTTTGATAAATCATAAAAGGGTACAAAATGTTGAAATACCCGACAAAAACGTTCTGTTGTGTTGAGTCAAACTTATTAGTTATTTTGTATAGTGTGTTATGGAATGGATTAATTATGTTGTATAATTTTTGTAGTGTTCTACCATACCTTTATATAATTCTACATGCTAGGCGACACTAACATAATATACAGTAATAGACCAATAATGAGATTTAGAAAATAAAAAGAAATGGAAAAATTAAGCAGCAAAAAGATTTAATGAATCAATAGATGATTAGTGGTTCCTTAAACATAATTTAATTGCCCGTGATTGGTCCATTAAATTTTAATAAACCAGTATATTTATATATATATTTAATGTAACTCGGCATATGTCTTTTATTTTCAATATTAATTATTTTCCTTTACTTCAGGTTTTTGTTTATATTGGGTGTACAGTTTTTTTTTACGATTAACGACATAGAGGCTAGAAAATATAAAAATGTTAAGTTTTTAGATAATGTACATGTGTTTCAAAAGTGACACAAATAAACAATTTTTATTTGAGTTAACGCTATTGTAATAATTAGGTAAGTAATCCTCTAATAAAATATTTTTAAATTTGTGTTTAATTTTTGACTTGTGTTACATTTAGAACACATGTGCGTTATATTATTTTGTAGTAATGTTATAGTTGTTAGAGAAAACATTGGTATGGTAAAATATGTAAATGAATGATAAATAGGAGGTACGTAGAAGGGATACAAAATAAATTATATAACTTCTGTCAAATTTGTATTGGGTTTTTAATTAAATGATTATTAAAGGTGTAATAGCTACTGTTTAATTTTTAATTTTTTTTTAAATTTATTTATTTATAAATTGACGCCAATCGGATTTTTTAATAATAATACAAATAAGTACATATAACAGTAATATAAAAGGAACAAATATAGTACAACAAAATAACTTGGACAAATAAATCATAAATCATGTAAGCCTCCGTACAAAACTAAACAATGTCATTGTATTCACGCATCATCCTAATTAGAGTTTTTTAGCAAAATTTGTTCTGCTGAAAGGTAAATAAAATTAACTCTGAAGCCTAGTATTGCTGGGTACAAAAATCACAACATCACCACTCAATAATTTATCTATAAAATTAACCCCGAATTTCTTGCGTCGTTTGTCCAAAGACCCAAGCTTGAGTACTCGATTTTGTTGTGTTAAACTTTATTTGTAAGCAAAATCGCTTATTAAAGGGTTTGTTTTGTTTTGCATTGCTTCGCCGTGAATATAGGCAATGTTTGGAGTTATTAATTTTAATTTATATTTTGCTAAGAAAAATGTAACACCCGTTGGATAATTCGACAGTTACAAGCACAAATTTGTTTAACTAGTTTCACGGTTTTCTTTATATTATGATAATATATTTAAGTACAAATAAATTACCACGTGCTTGAGTAAACCCCGCCTACTTGACCTATACAAAAACAATCTCTATTATAAATTAACCTAATAGAACAAATTTAAGAGGACGTCACACCTATTTAAAATTTGGTATTGGCAATATTTCCATCCCTGATAAAATGTCTATATTTTAAAAGCAGCACCTCCTCCGATTGATTAATAAATAAAATATTTAGTAATGATTAGTTTTTAATACATTATTAATATTTATTTAGGAATGCAGGGTAGGCGATTTTTCGAAAATTTTAATCAACCACTTAGGTAGGTCGTAGCTTAAGTGAAGTCTAAGTTAACAATAATATTTTCTATGTTTTCAAAATTTTAAAACTTAACGATTACTACAAAACAAATAAGTTTTACAAATAACAAATTACGTGTATCACGCATTAAATTATGAACGCGGAAAGCATTTTAAAATGTTTTTCCAAACTGAAATTTCAAATATGACAAACCAATTTATGTTATCTATATTCAATGCACGTTTTTCTTAAGTTGGACAATTATTATTTGTATATCCATACATTTATTTAAAGTGATTTAAATAAAATGTACTGCAAGTAATCAATAATGTTTATGCCCTAAACATTTCTGTCAAGTAAACAAAACACATTTTTCTAATGGTTGTCTATATTTTCTTACTAGATAAATCATTGTTAAGAGTATGTTTTGTAAAATGTTGCCATTGTATACTTGTACGTATGACCTAAATTACATAATTATGAAGTATTAAAAATGAGAATGAAATGTTTGGCGAAATTATAATAATTATCGTAAAATTACACTGAGTACAAATTAAATGATTCTACGTAAGTTTTTCTAGTCCAACACAGTATTGTAATAGTGTAGTATATTTAATTAGGCGAAGAATAATAGGAAAAGAAATGAACAAAAACTAAGCAAAGATTGAACGTTCAGCGATTTGTAGAAATTGTGAATGATCAGAATGGAAGGTTATGTGTTTAATAGTCAGTAAAACAAAAAAAATCATGGTATTTTTATTTTGGTTGTTCCTAGTTAACAATACTACATGGCATACAATAAAAAAAAAACCAGAAAACAAGTGTATTTTAAAATATTAATTAAAATGAAACTAGGAAAGGAGGTATAAAAAAATAAAAACAAATGATTTTCGGTGTAGAATATTATTGTAGGTATTCAATAGGTTACCAAAGTTTTAAAACTTTTTGTCCAACTACACAGATAATAGAACGGTTTAGGACTAACTAGTTTACAGTCTAAAATAACGAACATGCTCGTAAAAATATGAAATTCAGACCAGATTCCAATAATAATTTTGACTAACAAGTTGTAAACATTGGATTGGTAGTGTTATATGATATATCTATTGTTAAAAGTTTTAACGATTCATAAAATGTAGTTTTTTAAAGTACTAATGTACTCTATTTCTTGGCACTAAGTATACAGTATTATAATACAAAATTTAAAATACAACCAAGTATAATATTAAACATCTGTGGATCGTTATAATTATCTAATTTATTACGTTTCTAGAACATGTTGTAATGTGACGATGTTGAAAATTATATCTTATCTTATTAATTTTTACGAAAACACTTTATTAGTCATTGAAATATAAGTGTTCTATCCAATCTATAACGCTTTTTAATATGTTTACAATAATATGTCATACAAAATAGATTATTTTTTTTAACTAACTGATAATATAAACAATTAATTACATTGTTTTCTGACTAATTCTTTTATTCGTATTGTTACAATTTATAAATGTAAATATATTAATCGAAGAAAGCTCTAACACACCTCTTATAATGGATAGTTGTTTTCGAGTGATGCTTTTTTTTAAATTAAAAAGAAATGTTATGTAATTAAAGTAATTTACCAATAAATATATTACATGGATTTGTACTTTATCCAGTTTACTTTTTTTGCAAATCTACGGGTTTAAATTCAAAGATTAAGGTAGGCTATTTAGTGGTCTAGACGCGTATAAGTTACAGCAAATGTAATTAAAACTACGCAATGCGTATAGATTTTTATTAAATCCGTTGAACATTTTTGTTTTAATTTGGAATTGATATTCTTAATGGTTTTACTTATAAGATATTAAAATATTTATGATTACATTTGTATATAATTGTACAAATGCATGACTTTATCATATATAAATATATTTTAATATTAAAATGTTTTGGCCTTTGGTTTTACTTCCCATAATAGTCGTTATAATTAATTTTTAATTGCTGCGCGTGTAAATAATAGATATTTATCTATACTGTTAATTTCATATTTATTATGATTATAGTTTATTTAGTCGAAGTTTTAATTATTGTAAATCTAAATAAGCTATAACTAATACATTTTAGGGTTATTAAAAGATTTATCGATTTTCATTTTATCTTGTTTAAGTAATAATAATTAATTCCTTTTTTATAAATGTTTATTCTTGTTTCAGTTTCAATATCAAAGATCCTTTATTAATTATTAGCTTAAGATAAAATGTATTGTTGCATACTAGATTCAACGTTTATTACAACATTTTTTTAACCCTAAATAAAATAAAAAATGTACGACTTTTGTTTTGCAAGTTGTTAAAATCTTAAGTGGTGATATAAAAAATAATTGACGTGCTAGAGAAGATTTAGGATACGCGAAAAACAACTAAAAACTTCATGTATTTTGGGTTTTGTTCCCAAAAAAGGGGTCAAATTTGTTATACAATGTTATGATTACAAAATATAATCATTGGTTTGTTCTTAAGGGGCTTATAAGACATAATTGTACATTATTAGTTATTCATCGTTTTTTTTTTTAAAGCACAAAGTATGTAATTAAAGTATAGAAGATTAGGTTCAATATTATTATATGAATACCTACCATTTATGCAATAATTTTGATGTAATAATGTACTTTTTCAATGTGATTTTTAGGCGTTTTTAAAAAAAAATTGTTGAAGAAAATATGTACTTATTATTTTTTTACCTTTTCAGATATAGAATATTTAAAAACCACTTTGCCGTCAACAATTGAACAATCGTTTTTTACATATTTGAAGGAATTGACAGCTAAGGATGTGACACTTTATGCAATTGATGAAGGCTCAGTTGTGTTCCCAAGGTAATTTGTTAAAAGATATAAACTGCGCATTACCTTAGTATTTATTAGCACTAATATAGAGGTATAACTGGTTTTGGATACACGTGTTTACCTACGGTAGAACTGAATATTGTGTTGCTGCAAGCTTTCATTTGACAATATAAAATTAGGTCATCGGTGATGGAATGAAAAATTTGCATTTCAAAACGGTCTTTTACGCAGATTTAAATCGTTGAATATTATGTGACAGCTAAATAACAATGACTTATCATAATTTTCATTTTTTAAGAAATAACACTTTAAATTCCAACAAAATAATTTTGAGGTGTGGAGAATTTTATTTATATTCCGCATTTTATTTTACCTACTCTTCTCTAGAAACTGATTTATGAAAAGAAATATTTTACAAAAAAATGTGTTACAAAAACATTATTGAAAACAATTATAAACTTTAAAAATACACTTTTTAATTTTATAAACTTTTTCTTTTTAATAACTTTTTCGGTAAATATTTTTAGTTTAAACATTTACCTGAAAATTGTATCTAAAAAAATGAGTGATTATAAGATTTTTGATTTATGGTTAATTTTTAAAAGTTTTTTTTGTTGTGGAAATTCGAATTTTTGAGTTCAACTCATACTATTTAGTACTATGGCTATACTTATTTTGTTTGTACGTTATTTCTCTGCAGAATGAAAAAAAAAATTAAATTATCAAAAATATTGTCGGTTATTTATTAAGTTGTTAATCCGCGTGAATTTGAATTGGATTTTACAGAGTACCACTAATTCGAGTAGAAGGACCACTAATTGTTACCCAACTTCTAGAAACGACACTATTGACTCTGGTCAACTTCTCTAGGTAAAAAGTGTTAAACGTTGAATTAGTTTGGTTTTTCTGTTTTGCATGAGTTTAAAATGCTTGTGTTCTCATCATTTTCCAGTTTGATGGCCACAAATGCAGCGCGCTATAGAATGGCGGCCGGTGACAATGTGTCTCTGTTGGAGTTTGGCCTCAGACGGGCTCAAGGTCCTGACGGTGGATTATCGGCTTCCAAATACGCCTACATAGGTAACGTGTACTTTGACATTAAATGATGTTTCGTTTGCATACACATAATAACTTAAGTTACGGCTATGTGTATATGTATAGGTAGCACACTATCAATTATTACTATCGCAAATGTGCTGGGTACTGGTTGAACTTGTTTATTGATTGCATTATAATATGCAATGCCAGGCGGTGACTAGCACTGGATGAATATTGTGACTAGATACGTTTTTTTTCTTATTTTTATTACTAGCCGGTAATCAACACTAAACTTGAACTAAACTCATTCCGTGCGGCGCTTTTTTATCACGAATGCCACGAATAGCCTACAATTGCCTGCACTATATAACATTATAACATATATGTATATATATATATATATATATTTATTAAAGACAGTTTTTCATTTTCTGACAATGTAGCGAATTTTTTTGAACTTTATTCAATCGGGTATAGGCTAGACACGATTTCTTACACTATGGTGTTTGTTGGTTAAGTTTTTTAACATTATTATTTCTGTCAATTTCGTAAAAAACTAAAGCATATAAAAACAAGTAACTTTTTAATTAATCATTATAAAGAGGTGTCAACCAAGCTTAAAACAATTCGACCTGTTCAATATTATGTAAATATAATAATTAATATAGTACAACGTATAGAGTTGACATTGTATGAATGACCTAATGAACAGAACCATCAGCTTATCCTCCGCTACGTTTATAATATTTTTTTTTTACATATGATAATACCTAATAACTATTTTTATGGCTGTGTGTTTCTTTCAGATAGACATCGTAATGTATATAGTGTTTAATTTAAGATTACGGTTTTTTATTACCAAACACTTAAATGTTATTATGCTCTTTATTGTCATTGGTTGTAATTAAATAATAATACATATTATATTCAAAATTAAATATTTATTCTCTTATTTTAGCATCAACAAAACAATAAACACTAATAACTAATAAGTAATATTTAATAAATAGTGTTTTACAAAAAATTCCGAATTAGGGATTAATTAAATTGTTATTTTGTGTAAATGATATAAGATAATACAAGGAAAAAACGAAGTATTAAGTACAGGAAAAGTAACTTGACAAATTATGATTAAATTAAAGCATTTTTATAAAGCAAAGACTAATAATTATGTAATACTGTACACATATTTCAATTTATAACTATTTTGAATTATATAATTTTTTTATGTATGATGTAAATTAAGGAAAAAATGAGTGTTTAACGTTTTTTAACTTATTACATTTCAAATTAATTTTTTTTAATGTTATTTGTTTTTATAATATTTTAAACATTCTGCAATAAACATTATTCATCATTTTAAGTCTATAAAAGTTGTTTTTTTCAATAACATGCCGAAAAAAATGCCACAGAGTACAAATATTTTAGACATTTTTGGTTCCTTATTGTTTAAAATTTGTTTCCATTAGTTGTTGATATGATATAATGATATATTAAGATTATTAATATTATTAAATTTTCGGATTCTTTAAATTGATTATAATGTAGGAACATGTTCTGTTTCAAACATCATAATTAAAATATGTATTGACATTATTCCATTGGCTAATTGTTTTTCGTTATTTTATTTTTATTTTTCACCAATTGTTTTAAAAGTGTTATTAGTAAATGATTATTTTATGTATCGTTTTAGGTGGATTTGATGGAACAAGTAATTTACTAGCTGGAAAAATGTTCAATATACCTGTAAAAGGAACTCATGCCCATGCATACATTACATCATTTTCTAATCCTAGTGAATTGAAAACTAAGGTATGTTGCCAAAAGTGAATTAATAATGTTCCAATTATATTTTAATAAGAGCAATATAACACAAAAAAATTACATTGTATTATGAAATTAGTTTTATTTATGCTATTCATTAATATTGTTAAAGACCGTTATTTTGTTTTATTTACAAAATAATGTATGTACAACGTACATAGTGCATTACAACACTCAAATATTGATTAAAAATTTAATTTAACTGCACTGTGGTGTAACTTTGTTCATACATGACCTTTGGTGACAGTTTCTGATTAAAAAAAAAAACCGATGGCTAGAATATTTTGTTGTTGAATTAAACTTAACCAAACTTAGTATTACACCTGATCTTTAAAATTCTATACAAATCCCCACTGACTGAATTACCATTTATTAAAAATATATTTTGTCTCCATTCTTATGTTTTACAGTATGAAAACTTAATTAGTAATTAATACTTTATACTATTAATACTAATACTAAAATATTAATATTTTAGCTTAATATTAATACTTAATACTAGTACTAAGGTACTTAACATTAATTGATACATAAACAATGATTAGCTTTCATAGTTATTATTACTTTTATAGACTTTAAGAAATCTGAACAATGGCAAAGAACAAGATTTAATTGATTTGACCTTATCATGGAGAGCTAAAGCATCAAAGCTTTTAAATATATGTGAAAGTCAAGCATCTGATGGGGAACTCGCCGCTCTTGTATCGTTTGCAATCGCTTTTCCAGAAGGATTTGTTGCTCTCATTGATACATACGATGTCAATAAGTTAGTATTTTTAAAATGCCTATTAAAATATGATAAATTCTTTATACTCTATAGAAAATTCAAAATAAATTCAAGTTTTAGGTTTACAATAACTTAGTTATTCAAATATATAGCAATGTTTGAAATCAGTTTGAACTGTTTTGAACAAAAATACTAACTTGTATTTATTTACTTTTTATTATATAATATATAATTAAAAAAAAAATGCATTTGATAATAATGTTAAATTGTTAAATCAGTGACAGGAAAGACATTTTTAGCCTGGGGGGTCAACACGCATTCACTCTGTTGACATAAATTGAAAGCTTTCATTTTGTGCTTTTTTATTCTTTGCTTTTTTGTTTTTAAATTAAACATTAGTGTGGTGCATTTTATTTTTGTAAAATGTTTGCATTTTTATTAATTACTATTAGTTATAATTTTAACTCCCTTAATTGCCTATATTATATATGTAAAATACACATATTTTATTTAAATGAATATAATTATTTACATTAAATTTTTTATTTTATTTAGTTTTTCTAGTAATTATTCCATCAATATCACTTTTTTGGTCATTAGAATAAAACAATTTTTTTAAATTTCTGTTTAATTTTTACTTGGGTTAAGTAAATTTCCTTGTTACAAAGTACTTATGTATTTATTCTTTTAATACAATTTAGTATTTACTATTTTAATTTTTTTACTAAATAATGGTAATTTTTTTTGGATAATCTAGTTGTTTTAAGAATAAATAAAACGTTTTTGATAGAAGTTTTTTTCAAAAATAATTTATTCTAAATAAGTATGAGAAAAACTATATTAGTTGGTGTTTTTTTAGTCTTTTTGATTTTTGATCTTTATGTTATTTCTGAAGAACCTGTTCAATTCTATATAAAACGAATAAACATTTAAAGGAACAAAAGAAAGTTTGTCAGTTTTTTCTTTTCTAAATATTACAGGTGGCATTACTTAGGACCAAAACAACTACCTATCATTTCAAGTTTTGGGTAAGAGCTCCCATCATCCATCCGCATGTGTTTGTCCGAGGGAAAAATGCTGATTGCTTTATATATATATTTGGTTAATATTAATCTTATTGTTAATGGGCAAACTTATATATCCATATCCATACTTCACTAGTTTAAACCCATTATAATTATTTACATTTACAGCATGTAAAAATCCACAAATCATTATTGGTTGTAACGCATGCTTGATTAGGTTCGATGGTTCGCACTGGTTCAGTTTAGCTATAGACTGTTGTCTTATAGTCTTAGTCCTTTAGTTAAATTAAATAATATTAATAATATATAATTTTCTGCTACTTAAAAGGTTTATTTTAATTTTTTTATATTTTTAGAAGTGGAATTTTGAATTTTTGTGCTGTAGCATTGGCTCTAAACGATCTTGGTTACAAAGCAATTGGAGTTAGAATTGACAGTGGAGATTTAGCATATCTGTCAAATAAGTCGCGTGAGACTTTTGTCAGTATTGCGAAAGAGTAAGTGTTTAATTTTAACTGATGTACTATTGATGTAGAGTGATTATATAACAGTTTACAAACCATATGTTATTATAGATTCAACTTGCCGTGGTTTGCAAACTTAACAATAATAGCTTCAAATGATATCAACGAAGAAACTATTTGGAGTTTAAATGATCAGAAACATAGTATTGATTGTTTTGGAATTGGAACACATTTGGGTAATTATTATATGTTTAGCACAATAAATTCAGTTGTATATACAGCGTGTTTGTTCTTAAATGCATATTGTGTAAAAAAATAAAAAATTGCTCTTTGGATTGTAGTGACATGTCAAAGACAACCTGCTTTGGGTTGTGTTTACAAATTAGTTGAAGTAAATGGGCTGCCACGTATAAAATTGAGCCAAGACGGAGGTAAGATTACAATGCCAGGCAAGAAGGATGCCTTTAGGCTTTTCGGCGGTGACGGTTTGTATTAGTTTAACGATTCAAGTTTTACCAGTAAAAATTTACTTAACAACTAATCTACTTTTTTATTGTGAACACATTTTTTTTTAGGATATGCATTAATAGACTTGTTAGTAATGTCTGTTGAAGATCCACCAGCTGCGAAGACCAAACTTTTATGTCGGCATCCATTTGATCAAAAGAAACGAGCTTTTGTTGTACCTTCTGCGGTAAAACCATTGCAAAAAGTAATCACTGCCCGTTAAATTTTTGTTCTATTGTTGATGGTAATTTTTGTTATTCTAAGGTATATTGGAATAACGGTCAGATAACACAATATCTACCAGACTTAAAAGAAATTCGCGAACATGTTCAAGAATCATTAAGAACAATACGGCCTGACATCAAACGAAATTTGAATCCTACACCTTACAAGGTAAACAAAGATATCAATTAACAATCAAAGGGTTCAAAATCAATAACATGCGAAGTGCCAAAAAAAAAAAAAAATTTAGTTAAGAGGGCGTCGCACCGCCCATTTTTAAGGAGTAAAGTATAGGCAATTTTTTACAAAATCTTAATTTACAGGTTAAGCTGTGATGTGTAATTATTAGTTCAATAACTAAGACTCAATTTTTTGGACTATCACAGCATACTTGAAAGCGATTTAAAATTTTTCTTTCATCTACATGTTTAAGCAGACTGAAAATAACTCCCTTAATTTTGGTTTTAGAGTAAAAGCACCCATTACAAAATTAAAAGAGAACAATATTTCGGAGGGCAAGACGGTGCGTTTTTTTCATTATTCCAAGTATAACGCTTAATACATAGTTAAGAAATAACGAATATTTTAACATTTTTAAAAAACTGTAACTTTTCAAAAAATGGTTTTTTTTAAAAAAACTTGCACCGTCTTGCCCTCCGGAATATTGTTCTCTTTTAATTTTATAATGGGTGCTTTTACCCTAAAACCAAAATTAAAGGAGTTATTTTCAGTTGGCGTAAACATGTCTTTACCACTGAAAATCACCGGTGCGACGCCCTCTTAATCCTCCTGGTATATTTTACTAAAATCCAAGCCCAATAACATGTAAAACGTGCAATCTGCTTTGATCAATTGTAATAGTTGAAACAAATTTGTATAAATACCAACGCTTTTAGTTTTTAACAAAACAAGAGTAACTCAAAATCAACTTTTTGGCACGTTATTGATTTCTAGTCTTTACTTTATCTTTCTTCTGTAAATTTTTTTTTTAAATATTAATGTGATGTCCATTATAATTATTTTACTTTAGGTTTCTGTGTCCAACAATTTGTACGAGTATATGCATGAGTTGTGGATGCAAAATACTCCAATCGGAGAGTTGTCTTGATGTGTAACCTAAATTTATATAACGCAGTTACCAATTTCCATAATGTCAATTGCATTATCATCAGTCATAAACTTCTTCTTTCTAGCAGAAAACGTAATTGACATTATCATGCATAGGTACTTTTAAGCAAACAACTTCCTAAACTTAAATGTATTATTTCTATTATTCACGCATAATTTGAACATAATCTTTGTTCATTGCTATACAGTATACACTTATTCAAATACTAATAATAAGAATAAGAATCAATCACATCAAATTTTCATCAAATTTTGTCGCAAACACTTATATTTTACATAACTTACATTATTATATGAAAGAAAATAATATTTTTTATTTATTTTAATCCTACGAGCACAACATGTATTAGCAATTACAGTAATATCTGTTATCATTCAAGTAGCTATATTGTAAACCAAATTTTACATTTTTTCAAAGTACCTAATTAATATTTTTCGTTTTGATGATATTTGAATGTTACTGGCTGTATTAATTTAAACTAAGTTTAACTTTAAACATATTAATAAGAACAAATAGGAACTTGTAATCAAATGATTTCTAGTCTTGACAATAATATCTCATAAAAAGTATTTTATTTGTCTTTCGTTATTTTGTTTGTATTTATAACTAAAAAAAAAAAAATTTTTAACCCACCTAATCATTGTTAATATAACAAATAATATAATTTTGCATTCCTTTATTGTAGTTCTATTGTTCAGTTTTTAATTGAAATTGTTGTTATTTAAGTTAAAGTATAGAAAGTATCAAGGAAGGTATTGACACAGTACTTATGTTTTTGTTTTTAATTGTAATGTATGCTTTCCTAATCTATAGGGATGCTGTATAAGAGTATATAATATATTTTATTGTTTATAAAAAAAAAAATGTAAGAAGTGTTTGCATTTTTTGTTAAAAGTGTGTTTTTGTGTTCGTAACGTAACATAATGAGTTAGTTTTTATAGATATATATTTTATTATTTTAAGATGTATGCCAAGAAAATTATATTTTTCTCTTTAATTGTTTGTAATGTCAGAAAATATTACACATGTTATATTAGTATTTTATGTCATATGTGTATGTTATTGATGATTTATTTAATTATATTTAGCAATATTATAATAAACACAAATAGTTAAAAAATCTTATAACTATATCTACAACAAACATTTTTAATTACTGAAATATGATGGCCACTTGTATTTTAAAAGCAGTAGCTTTTCTTGGTAATTTTACGATGTCTCATTCAATAGCTAATAATGACGTTTTTTAAGTTATTATTATTGAATAACCAAAACGAAAAAAGGCCCAAGTGTCATTTTAAAAGATCATCAACCATTTTGGTCACAAATAATTTTTTGGTTATGATGAAAGGAAAATCGCGTACAAGACAATAACGGAAAGGGTTAAAGGTCAAATAATTTAATTTATGAAAGTTTAAAATTGCGTCAAAGACAACTTGTCTAAAAGCATGAGGATTTAAGTACATACCATAATATTCGCTTTCATATGTTATCTATACCCTAATCAAAGTTGTCGATGGACAATCTTTTAGTAGAGAAACATTTTATTTAAATATTTAAAATAGGTGAGGAGCGGGGGAGTGGGTCAGTGTGTTGGGCACTCTGTTTGCCAGGCGAGAAGTCATCTGGTAAAAAGGAACCGCCATCTCCCTCTCCAGCAACAGACTGACGACACATACGGATAGCGAATTTGTCTAGAAACCACCTCATAATTGTAGCATTAGGCCTTCAAGGCCCGTTATGCTACATGATGATTTAAAATAGGTGCGGCACTAAATACGCAATGAGTTTTTAATTAAAGTATTATTTATTCTCAAAAATATGTAGAGTACAACGATTAAACAATGTGACATCTTCAGATAAGAGTATGTAATTGTTTCAATATTTGTAGTTCCTATTGATGTAATAGTAGTATACATAGAATGAGAAAATAAAGTTTAAAAATTCGAATTTAATCCAGTTAAATACACTGAATATTCCAACTGTAAATAATAATATTTTAATATTATTAAATGGTTATAATTTAAAATAAATATGTTATCGTTGACGTTTCAAAAACTAAAACTAGAAATAAAAATCACACACGAGATAAATTATAGAAAATAATGTTATAACTGAATTATCACAATTATTTATTTTAAATAAAAATGTATAGGATGTACTTAAGTATTAAGTATAATAGAATACTTTTAGTAGTAATAAGGTTAATATAAAAATGTATGAGCAGTTATATTATTATGAGCGAAAGTATACACTTAAATGTTATTTCAATAAAACAACCAATGTATACAAATTAAAATATTTAAAAATAAACAAATAAATAATAAATTACAAACGGATATTAATTTTGACGATAAAAAATAATTCCATATAGCGTATATAAATGCATTATAATATAATTTTCTGGTTGAGTTAATGAATAGATGTATAGCTCGCCTCATTATTTTTAACGTTTAGAGTTAGAGAAATGATTGATTTTTAGCCTGTGGCTTCTACAATAATAGTATTAAGGCCCTTAGGTCCAATTGTTGTTTTGAACTGTTCGGGTATAGGATACTCTGAATAATCACCATCTGCTTTGGGAACCATAACATTCACTTCCGATGATTTGGATGTCACTATTTCCGTGTCTAATGAACTTTGGCTCAAGTATATTTGACAACCATCAGTTTTATCCGCAGTAATTGTTGGTACTTTACCCAATACTTGCATTTGGACAGATTGACAGTTGATAAATTCAGCCGACGACACAAGCGAATCAAATACTATAGACGATTTCTTACAAGAATCCATAACAATAGAGTTGATTTTGTTCTTTACGGTAATTGTGGAGTTAATACATTTGAAAATGTACACAACGTTGTTCATCTCGGCACCATCCACGACGAGACTGGTATTGTTTTTCTGGTTTTCAATTAACCACTTTTTGCCATCCCGAGCAAACACGGGAGGCTTTTCTACGACTGGCTTGGGTGCTGTAGAACCAGACGAACTACCAATTACAGCAGGAGCCGGCCCACTTACTCTCATATTCGGGTTCTTATGAGTCTGCATATCCGCCGATACTTTTTTTAAACCTGAAAATTTAATTATTAAGTAAGTAATTAGATCACTGAGAGTATAACGATAATTACCTTTAGTAATATCAGCTCCTCGATTAATTTCTGCAAACAATGCATTACGATTGGTGGCATCTGGATCAGCTGGTGCTATGTTCAAATCATCCATTGGAGGCAATCCACACGGGGGAGGTGGAGGAGGACCACCTGCTGGTTTGGCTCCTCCTTTAGCCCATACAAGTCCTGTTGTATGATACTGTTTTACATAAGCTTGCAAATCGGTTAAAAGTTGCACCCAAGTTCTAGCCCATTCAACGTGAGTCTTATCTCTGAAATTATATTAATAATTAAAAGTATGAATGGAAATTTTAAGTCAATATTTACTTTTCTTTCCATTCCTTAAGCACACGGTTTGTGTAAAATTGGCCAGTGTCATTGCTTTCCTTAACATAAGGAGCTGGAGCGGGAGACTAAAATGTTAAGCAAACAATTTTAAATATATAATATACGTAACCTATTAATGATTACTAATATATTTTCAAAATTAAAAGTATAGATTTTACTCACCACAGCAACCCAACCCAATGCGGGTATGCTTTCACTAATTGCGCTTAGATGATTGAAGTATTGGGAGCCACGATTTTTTTCTCTTAAAGTTTGAATTTCTTGGATTTTTGAACTAGTTGGTTGAAGAAGTTTTTGTTTATCTCCGTCGTTCGGAGAACTGTGTTCACTGGCATACTTAATAAATTGTAATTCAGCCCTAGATTTATAAAACATTATATTAAAATTGAGCTAATAATTTCAACTATGATTAGATAAACATTAAAATGGTAAGAATTCTATCAGCCTTCTATGGCCTCGCTTTCTCTTGTAATATGTCCTCTGTTTCAATTTACAATTATAATTATTTTGCAAGCCCCAAAGTATTCTTTATATGCATATTAATAAACAATTTCAAACATAAAGAGTGTTTAAAAGTGTCAAACCTATTTTATGACAATTATACAAATTTTAAACTCAAACTATACATTTTGCGCCTATTTTTGTGTGTAAATGGTGTTATTAAAATTAAATTATTATGATAAATGTTTAATCATAATTATGATAAACAGCCAAATCAACACTTACTGGAAAGCGCTGTGCACAAGAGCGGCTTGCGTGGATACATCGCCTCCAATTTTCTTAGATAATTGGACAAAAACAGCCAAAGGACCCTGAATAAGATCTTCAAATGCTTGTACACTCATCTTGAAAAATTATATCGTTTCAGACTAAAAACAAACAAATTGAGTATAGCGTAAGATGTTACATTTTGTGTGGGTGTGTTAAAACAGAAATCTAAAAATAGTACTAGGTTATTAAATGTCGTTTGACCTATTTTATTTCTAAGCCTTATAATTTAAATAAAAATACACAACAGTTAAATATTATACAAATAACCAAAATCTAACTTGCCTGTCTAAATTTGTATATTTTACCCACTAATAATTAACATTTAAATAAAAATACCTGTTTTTGAAAGTTGATATATGTATTTTTTTTCAAATTTAATTTGTAAAATATCATTGTTTACAAAAATATTTTTATAGTATTTTAGTCAAGGTGAGAAGATTAGCCAGAACTGGGAAGTGATAAAGAAAATCTGTTCGATGTGTACTTGTACACAATTTTAATAAAACAGAGATATTATGATTTTTAAATGAAATAGACAGTATTTATAATGGAGATATTTCAATTAATGTTGTTTAAGATACAATATCGTACATTTATTTTGAAAGTTAAATTATATATAGTTATGTACAAATAAAATGTAGAGGGGTACTACATGGTCATAGTTTTATATGTTATATTGTTACTGTAGTAGGTAATAGTCAAGTAATTTTGCAATTCATGCCTTATATAGTATGTTTTGGGAATGTTTTAAAGAGCTAACGTTATTGGGATTTTCAATACTATTTATCTCTTTTGTAAAAATTAGGGCGATGATAATATTGTAAGCCCGTGTAATTAAAGCTAAATACATTGATGACTCACCTTAATGTTATACAAGGATTCCACCGGTCGGTAGCAGCAGACGCTACAAACCCGTTTTTAGGGCAAGATACTCTCGCGGTATAAGTTCTGTAAAGTTAAAATAATACTTTTATTCAGTATACAAAATAGGAAGTTAAAACGAAAAGTAGGATGATATAAAACTATGATATATACTTGTCTGTGGAAATAATAGGAATAATCCTGACTCGAGAGACCTTACGAATGAGTAACGTTATCTGTCACCATTTGTTATTGCCGAATCACTACGTTTACGAGATGATTCAGCCGACTGGTGTTGCCAACATACGTTTGGAATAAAGATAAAACTATAATTTAGCAAGTGGTACCAATTAAAATAAACCATTCAAATTTGAATATCCAATTTTTATTAGTTTGTGTACAAAATGTTAATTTCGCGTTTTCGCACAATTGGTTTTTACGGTATAAGGTCTATAGTTGTAATAATATCTATGGCTTTTCCATATAATACTATGTTACGGATTACAAAGCATATTATAGTTTTTACCAAATTAATAATAATATTATACCTACCACCTAGGTTCCATTAAGTATATTAGAGTTTAAATGCACTTTACTGAACACATTTTATTTTTGCTAACCATGTTTTTGTACACGGATTACGAATCTGAAGTAAATAGCTTATTGAACTGAGAATTATCGTCACGCTAGACACCAGCAGCACCATCTGACCAACCAGACTCTAGCTGTAGCGAGCTTTGGCGGTCAACGAAGCTATTGAAAAACACAGCAGTTTGTTATGTTAGGTATACCTCTTAATACGAATTATTAATCAGTTTATCTCATAGACCTTATACTACTAGACGGAGCATGCATGTAGTTCCAGCAAGGCAACGTGATTACTTTTTTTATGATGTCTTATTATAAATTCATTGTATGCTAGTGAATGCTACACATCTTTACACAAATATTTATTGAGTCATCTTCAGATTGCTCAAAAATGAAAACATAAAAGAGACAAAACAAAATAATACTGTACAATTCATTTAACAATAATTTATACTTCTCGCAGTGGTATCACTGCTACGACAATGTCGTGCTCGCACCACCCGCCCGTATCCTACCCGGATGCTCCGTCTAGTAGTATAAGGTCTATGGTTCATCTCAATAAATTACTTTCTCTGTCTATCTCTAATACTCATTATATAACATTAAATACATTTCATTGATCCGATGGTGCTTCGCAGTTAGCTCCCTCACACACCACCTCTCAACTAGTATGTTTAAAATAAAAAATAATTTAGAATGTACAAAATTTGAAAACAAGTGGACATAATTAAAAACCTTTAGCCAATTTTACACTTATATATACAAAGAGTAGGTAGTGTTTTGTAGTATTTCAGTATAATGTACTTCAAATAATGACTGGTCCATTGACAAAAGTGAAAAATTCAGATGGTTTTCAAAACCTTAAGGACGTTTTTTAATGCGTAAATCGAAATACGTTTTTAATTCAATTAATTTAAACTACAATATGTTTTATAACTACTATTTTATATGTAGGTAGAAAAATAAAATACATTTTTTTAAAATTTATACTGATGAAAAAAAAATTGGATTTTTAATTTGGTGCCCCCCTGTGAGTTGCGCTCTAGGCATCTCGTTTATACAGCTTTTATTACACTTTCGGTCGGGCCTGTACTTTCAAGCAATAGGTTATAAACTAACGAATCCCTGATGTTATTACTCTTTCGTAAATTTAGTTTACAGTTTTACCAATTGTTTTTTTCTTAGACTTCAGATGAATAATGTATTTATTAATAAAAGGGCTATCGGTTTTTTAAAAAATAAATGGTGTATAATCACGCGAACTAAAAAACAAAAGAAAATAGTATGAATAATTTAAATAATATTCCTAGTAAAATTAATAGTATTATCCAATATAACAGTTGAACCTATATTTTATTATAGTTGCATAATATTTTAAAAAATCATGTAAGTAAATTGAAGTCACAATTATTTCAATTATTAAGAAGTTGAGAAAAGGATTGTACAACTGTCGAATTTTTTTCATGATACTTTTGTTATGAATGTTTAAGCGTTAAACTGAGTGATGACCAAAACACTTAAAGTGACTTACTATTATAATTATGTATTATAAATTTAGGTCAAATAACCAAAAGGTTAATGAACTCGAACGTTATACATTATACATACTATTACTTATTATATGTACCTATAAATATATATAGATATTTAATTATTTTGTAAAAGAAGTGTTTATTTTAGTAAAATATTTGTAGTACGAGACAACAATTATTTAATCTTTAAAAACTGTAATTTTATTGTATTATTTGTATTAAGTTTATTGTTGTTTACAATGTGTATTTAATAATAATAATATATTATATAATTAATATATACAGGGTGGGGTGGAGCCGACTGACGAGTTTTGAGGGGCCATAAATAACGATTAGTAAAACTTAGAAAAAAGCAGTTTGTATTATTAAAATCAGTGTGAAATAACTTAAAAAAACTCTATTTTAGGGGTAAATATGAGTGATGCAAATTTCAAACAAATTAAGGTCTTATATTAGACCAAAAGAAGTTCATAAAAAAAATGTTGAGATCGGGCCGTGTGGTTTGACTCAGAATGCTCCATACATATATACATTATATAATGTGATATAACATTACATTGACAGTAAAAATTCATGAGGTATAATAATACTTTTAAAAGAATTGGTATTTTCAGTTTCTAGTTCTTAGATTATTATTTCAAACAACTATTGGATATAGGCACAATTTCAATTTTTAATTTGGGGGGGACTGGAAATTGTTTTTTAAATATATATAAGTAAATATGTTTTTGTATTTTAAAATTGTATGTATAACATAATTTTTTTTTGGTGGGACTAAGCTCACCCTAGCCCCCCTGTGTTTGCGCCTATGCTATTGGACCACGTACAAATATTACATTACTTAAAAAGATAACACACATTCACATTAAAATGCATCATCGTAGGCATATTATAAGACAAGTTATGTTCACGTAAACGTAATATTGTCGGTCATCACGCAAGTGCATTATTTTCCAGTGTCGATTTTACAAAAAGCTTCGACGAGTAGTTTAAGGCAATTCTTTGAAAACTAGTAATTAATAACTATAGGGTCGCGGATATGGCGTATACTTAACGCTTTCCCGTAACATTTAAACTTCATTTCCCCGCTGTAATTATTATTATTATTATTATTATAGACACCATACCACCCTATATAGAGGGTGCTGACAATATTGTGTTGTTAGCAACGACGACCGGCGGCCGGGGTCATCGCCGTTTCTCGCTATTGTGGTCAAGATTTGACATCATTGTCAGCGTCGATTATGTCATACCTATCGTACATCGAACACGGCACGTTGCGCTCACGAAAATTTCCATTTTGGTGAAAACAGACACATAATATATTATGTATACTTGCCATGCGCGTTATAAATGCAACGCGCCCACGTTCAACGTCGTAAGAATGTGCCGAAAGGCAATAAGTTCGGTTTCGGGCCGACCATGTGCTACGTCAACTGTAACTTGCCCAGGGGTAGGCGCATACAACTTGTGGAGTTCGTGTACCGAATAATTGCAGTGTAATTGGATTTTTTTTTTTTTGTTGCATTTAGCGTTGCCGATGAATCACCACGAGATAAAAAAATTTATTAAGGATGGCGACGTGGAGAAACTAGAAGACAAACTGTTGAACGGCGAAGGATACAAACTGATTGGACACTATTCGACGAACCCCAAAGTGAAACTATTTCTGCAGTCTGTTCCCGTGTACATGGTAATTGTTCGTATTTATTACATTTAATTAAAAGCCTATGATAAGTTATGCACACGCATATATGTGATTCAAAAAGAGGCATCTTGTAAAATTTCGGCATTTTCTAAAATTCATTTAGTGTGATACTTTTTGAACATTTCGAGATCAGATACGTCTTTGTTGCTAAAAAAATCATTTAAGTTATTGCACTTTGAAGTTTCCGAATGTTTTGGCGTTTTTCTCGAAATCAATTATGCCGACGAGAAAAAAGTACCTTTTTGCTTGCTCTTCGCCTTTTATACCTATTCTATTACATACTGAAATAATAATATTTTACAAATCACTTGCTAAGATATTTTACTAAACCTATAAACCATAATACAGGATAGCGCAAAAAAAGTATGTTTTCTCTAATTTTTTCATTAAAAAAAAAAAAAACAAAAAAAAGTATTAACAACAGTAAAAATATTATTAATTAGCTGTCAGCACTATTTAAGTGCAGAAATTATTGCAGTAGAAAAAAATTGTTTATCGTTAATCTATCTAGTATTCAAAATTACTCTGTTTCCTAAAGTATACAATTTTATTAGAACAGTGCTAAATAAAGTAATACTTCCATTTAAGTATCTAATATTAATTAATAAAGTGTAGGTATTGTACATAGGGAATTTGATAGTTTTAAAAAATATTAAAGAGTTGATAGTTTTTTGGCACAATTTTGAAGGTTAAAAATTAAAAATTAATCTAAAGGTAGATCACATGTGTACGTAGAGTAATATCATAGTAGAAATCTATCATGTCTTAAGTATTAATTCAAAACAGAAAGGTCAGGGGAACATTGGCTTAAAGGAATTCCGTAATAGATAAGTGATAAAAAAGTGTTTAGATGTGATGAGAGCTAGATTTACAACCGGGTTTTCAGGTGCTCTGCTCTTAATTTGATTGTATGTAAATATATTTTATGAGTAGTCGATGAACGCTTATAAAGATAAAATTATGTACCTAGTTGTGTTTAAGGATGGCTTAGAAAGCATTTACTTTCATTTATATACTTATTCGTAAATAATGCATTTTTTATTTAAAACATACAACTAATTTTGTTTAAAATATTATAGCTGACTTTCTTTAAACATCAAAAACAAGATTTCACCACAGAGATTTTTCCTAGCACCACTTTAAAATGAATGACTACCTTTATACCAATGATTGTCTTGATCATATTCAACTGTAAGACTTAAGAGTTAAATAATCGAGAGACAATCATATTGATATATAATTGATATTGATATATATATATATATATATATTTAAGCTGAGAACAGTTAATAAATGTAAAAAAAATGTATTGATTCAATCCGACTATTTTGCTCAAAACTATGGCAGGTCAAAGTTAAAACATGAATATATGTTATTTACTGCAAAGGTTTCCTAATTTTATTTCAACCAAAAAAAGTCTTTTTAAGATCATCAAAGAGGATGAGCAACGAGATGAGAAACTACATTAGAAGGTTTATGTACCAATCACATCTGATTTTTTATGGGTGAAATTTTAAGTATAAAGGATTTGGTCTATTGGTGTCAAAGATCCATTGATAGCTAAAGCCAGAGTCGTATAAAAATAACTGTAATATTATTCAATAGTTTTAAGTCTTTAATAATTATTTTTTGATATAATCAATATCTACTATTTGTTTTATTTTAATAGGTCATATTATTATTATGTTATGCCTAGTTACAACAGTATGCTTAGAACAAACAATGTTTTTGTTCTATAATAATATTATGTAAAATGGATAAAAGGGTACTATTATCCAAACATCCGCGAATAAAAAAGGAAATAAATTGTTAAATACAGCCACTATTAAATAATAAATAATATATTCATACTACATATTATACAGGTGATTCCTTTATCATGAGCCACTCAATATCATTGGGTTTCATAAGAAATACATTTTTTTTTAATATTGTTTTTATACAATGTGATCTCAATTAACCTCATTTTTTTTGGTTTTCCCCCGCTCACGACTTAGTTTTTTTGATAGCAGCTTTTGAATTTTAAACGGTAACGCATACATTTCATTAGCTTTTTAAATTGTGAATAATGTAATGAAAATGTTGACTGGTCGATAACCAATTTCGGATAACTATTTTTGAAGTTATTGAAGTTTCAAGCTTAGGGCAGGAGCAAAGGTGGAGTGTAGTATTATTTTTATTTGCGCTCACTTTCCAACCGTACTTCCCCTCCCATCCTAACTTTTAAACTCTTATAACTTTAAAAATAGTTGTCCAAAACTTTTCATTATTATCAACCAGTCAACAATTTTAGTACATTATTCTCAATTTAAAAAGTTAATGAAATTTATGTGTTACCATTTAAGTTTCAAGAGTTACTATAAAAAAAACTAAGTTGGAAAGGGGGTAAAAACAAAAAAAATGTGAAAAATTGAGATCACATTATACAAAAACAATATGAAAAAATAATATTTTATTTCTTATTAAACCCTATGAGATAATGAGTGGCTCATGATAAAAGAATCACCCTGTATACCCTTATATAACATACTTTAAGTTGTAAATTATTATTATAAAAATTAATATTATTGAACGAATTTTGAAAGATACTATATAGCAACCTGTAACCTATTTACCTATTTTAGAGACTGTTTAAAAATAATATATGGTATTTATCGATTGGCCTCTTTTGAAACAATTGCTTAGTCTACATTTTATACATAATTTATAGTGTAGACAAGAGAGACCATATAATTATTTTAGTATACACGCTCATTTTTCGATCTAAATTTTTAAGCGGGAACAAACTGGTAGTAGAATGTTTAGTAGGTAATTTTAAGAATCGAACCATGTATCTTTAAAAATAATAATTCTGTTTCAAATTTTCAAAAATATACTACCTACTAGAACCTACCATACACCAACTTTTTTTTTTATAATAACAGTTTGAACTGAACGATTTAAAATTGTTTATATTATTGTATACACATGTAATGTGAAATTCGGAATACTTACAATCTATACAGTATACATAGAAATATCCAATTAAATTGCATTTGTTAATTAATTATTATGTGTGAACAACATACCTAGTATCTTTTACAAGTTATTTTTTTTTAAATAAAAAAACAACTATAAAAAAAGAAGATTTTTCTTTTTTCAAATGGAAATGTTATTTTAGTTAATTTCGAAGTTGGTTAAATGTTGACGTTATATTTTTAGGCACGTATCGACATGCTACAAGAATGTGCGTGTAAGGGTAGTTTAAGGGACATGCAAGTGTTGCTGCAAAATGGAAATTCGTCAAGAAACACATACAAAATATCTCCGTCGAAACTAGCGTGTAGCAAAGATCTAAACGGCGTAAGTGTGTTACACAAGGCAGTATATTATGATTTTCCTGAAATAGTTGAATGGCTGGTGAAAGATTATCCGCAAACCGTTCATGTCAAAGACAGCGTAATTACACAATAGTTATATTACAAACCAAGTTACTGCAAATAAGTAATCATACAATTAGAAAGCTATAAAGAACCTTTAAGCTTTTGGTTTTAATTTTATAACTAACATTGAATTTTACTTATTTGCAGGGCTATAAATTATTTAACATTTTAAAAATATATATAAAAACTAAAATGTTGTAAATTTGTTTATATAAATTAATTGTAGACGATGCGAATTCCATTGCATTACATATGTTCGTGTTCTGAACCATCGCGGATTTGGGATTTAATGTTAAAAGCCGGCGCTGATCCAAACTCTTTGGATATAAATAAAAAAACTCCAGTTTACTATTTGGAGTGTAGCGAAAGTATTCATTTACCTAATCCAACTAAAAACGATTGCTCAGAGGAAGGTAAAAATTATTAAGATTTAATAAAATTGTAGTTAATTATCAATAATTCATTAGTAAAAAATGTTGAATAATACACTTAAACATTTTTATAGTTTAATAAATGTACAATTTAAATTTCTGCTTAAACGATTTCAGAATAAATTATAGTCGTCGTTTTCTTTTTTTTTTAAATGGTATACTATAAATAAATATAAATAAATATATATTGTTTGATTTGAGCAAAAGTAAAAGTAATAAACCGTTGTTAGAAATATAAATTTGTACATCAAACTATTATTTACTTGAATATTTGTTCTTTCGAAGTCGAGTTGGAAAGACTAAAATTATAAGCAATTTTTTTTATTGATTTATTATTAAATAGTACTACTATTTCTTATTTACTATTATGCTCACAAATTTATTTTGGTAAATAATTTTTAGCTTTAATATAGTATCTTAGTAAAAGTGAGCAGACTTGCGGGTAGTGTAGTTTTAAAACAAAGGCCAGAGGTTCCTCTGTAATAAGGGCGATACTGAGGGTAGTTGATTCCTTCCGAATTAAAGGGATTCATAATTAAAATTGCCAGAATAGCTTTTCAAAAAAATGAAATAAAAACAAGTTTAATCGATGACCTTAATAGTGCGAGTGCACTTTGAAAATGGTTCAATGTTGTAGCTGGTGGTTAGTAGAATTATAAGGAAAAATTAAAAAAAACATTTATTATCAGTACCTTAGAATTATTATAAATTATAATAATTGGTAAATGCACGAGAGGGGAGGCGTAAAGACTTTAATGTACAAGTAACTCAATTCATTACTTCATTATCTGGGTCAAAAGCTGCATGACCCATGATCACGCGCCTATGCTGTACCTAGTATGGTGTTTCTTAATCACTATTTTTTCCGTTTGTTGCAGAAATTCCTATTAAACCGTCTAATATAAGGATTTGGATTCACGAACGTAACATAGGCCACCTCGCAAGGGTAATTTGGAGTGGCTATGGTGATAAATTATTAACTGAAACAAGTAAACACACTACGGTTAATAAATTCCTGAAAGCTGTGCCATATATTTTAGTAAATGTTTTCGGTTTATTAGTGTTTTTCGATTGTATGATGACTTATTAATTTATAATATAATGTTCGCAGGGAATTATTAGAGAGATCCATAAGGCTGTGATTGATAATAATATAGCGTTGTTAAAAAAATTAAATCGCGATCCAGTTCCAAAAGAAGTATTAGCTAGCAAAGATATAAATGGCTTGACGCCATTGCACAAGGTTAAACATTAATACTGGTTTATTTGGTTATACTTTCTAGACATAATACGATAATTATTATACTAATAGCCATTTTTTTCTAGGCTGCTGGTTTAGGTCGACTAAGTGTAATTGACTACATTGTAACCAAAAATCCCAAAGTTGTTAATACGAGGGACGCAGAAGGTCGGACACCGTTACATTTTGCCTATTGTGCACCGCCAAAAAACGTTACTTCTGTGTATAATAGACTTGTGAAAGCCGGTGCTAATGAAAATTTAATAGATAAGGTTGGCATCGTGTTGCTTATAAATAAATTATCAATACATCTATGGTTATTATCGATAATTAATTTGAGAAAACGCGAATTTGATACTTATTAAATTAATTTCAATATTTCCATTGAACGAGTATCAAATAAATGCTATTCAACCATTCAACCATCTCGTACGCAGGGTTTTTTTATAGGACGTTTAAACAATTTTGTTCTAATATGGTACACGGAAATTATTATTATCAATTTTTTAATGACTGTCTAAACAGTCTTCATAACTGAGTTTGGTGTAATTCCATATGGATTCTATGGTATAAAATTCTATTAAATACAATTTGATATGAATTTTTTAACAAACGATAAAATATTGTGCAAACGTAATTAGAGAAGTTTTTGTCTAATAACAAAAATAGTAATATATGATCAATGAAAATAATAAGGTATTTTATCAATCATTTGATATTTAAAAATTGCACATCATTAATCAGACTATTTTAAAATATAATTTTATTGGTATGAACCATTGTAAATGAGGTATATATTATAAGTAGTTTATCATTTAAGAAGTGTTATGTCGATATATACAATTATAGATGTGTAATTAAGGACAAATTCTAACAGCTATTAAATAAATATTATTACAAACATTAATATAATTTTTATCAAATTGAAATGTTGTTTTCGTCATAGTGTATTATACCGTGTGATTTATTTCTAAGGGTTAAAAGTTAAAACTTGTATGGAATTTAATCATTGTAATTTGTAGTGACATATTATTATTTTCTTCATAAAAGAATACTCAGCTCCACTGAGAATTTTTCAGAGGGACTCAGGAGTATTATGATAATGTACAACATTTAGCACTTCTAATATAATACTTAACATTCTTTTATCCTTCTATATAGTTACAAATTCTTTTTTTTTTTTAGAAAGGAAAAATTCCAAAGAGTTACAGCACCAAAGCAAACGGTATTCCCGTCGATTTATTAACCGTTCTACCCAAAGCTCCAAGAATCGCTTCAGAATTTCCGTCCTCTTGGGATTGGAGCATTTTATACGATATTGCTCAAAATGAAAAAGCGAACGAAGAATCAAAAGTATTAAAACGTCTACGACAGTAAACGCAATCGATGGCTTATACATTTTTTATTATCAATTTTAGCAACCGAAAAAACAGGTTCGCTCGAATTTTGGTACAAAAGACACGCCTCTAAAAGTAGTCGATAAATTCGAAAACATCAATATAGATCTCGCAGATAATAATGGTGGCTTTTCTTTGAATGCTCCGCCAATGGATCTGGAAGAGATAGATGACGTGGAGCTGAAATCCAATGGATTAACTCTAGGAGAAGCTAGACAGGCTCTTAACAACGGATCACTAGATAATTTTTTATCGGACGGCGGTCCTCTCTATAGAACTAATAACATGAAAGATACAAATAACAACGTTGGGTCTAATATGACTCATAATGATGCATTTGGGAGTTCCAGTGATATAGCTCTAGTTAGAAACGATTTCTGTATTTTTCTGCTGTGTTAAAATTAATTAGCGCTAAGTAGCAATACTAGGGGTTTTGGAAATATAAATTCATTTTTTTATTATCTCAAAAATCTCAACTAATTAAATTATTGTGTCTAAGAAATAATCACTAAAAATAGATAATTATAAAATAGAATATATGATTTCAATGTATTTAAACTAAAAATCATAACACACATTATATATTTATTATTAAACTATTAAAATGATTAAATAAAATCCCATAACATTGGTATTGGCCTAAATAAAAGTAAAAATTTAAAAAAATTGTATAATGAATTTATTTAGTTATTAACTTTTGGATAAGTTTTACATTATAAAACTATTAACAACTGCTTAAACTATAAAAAAAAGCAATATTATAGAATACACATTATACAGAATATATGAGTAGGCTAGAATCAAAACTTACAAGATCCAAAAATAACATTTTTCAGAAAATTAAAAAAACTGAGATAAGGTTTCCCAAACAACAAAAAATGTATATTACATTATTTTAAAGTAGTTTAACAAAAAAACACTAATATGCCGTCAAAATATACAAGTTTAGCCGATAAACTTTTTTTTTTAAATGAAGTTAGGAACATGTGAGTTTTGACACCAAAAGTCAAAAATTCAAATTTCCATTTTGTTGGATATCGATGGTTTTTAGATCGCTCATCTGGGATAATAGGTATAACACTCTCCATAATGCATTACATTTATTTATTTAAAATCACAATTAATTGTTATATTATTAAAAAATTAGTATACAAAAGAACATTCAGTGACATCCACATTAAAATATTATTGTTCTGATTATATATATATATATATATATATATATATATATATCATATCAAAAGACTTCCAAACAACTGAAAAGCGCTCATCATAATAATTTGGATCATAAAAAGTGTAAAAACATAACAATTCTGTCAATGACGTTTAATTATCGAAGAAATGAATAATGATTCCGGGTTTAAAATATTTCGGTACCAAAACTTATATGCTTTGATATATTCTATGCTCCAGTGGAACTTGTTAGTTATGATTCTAACCACCACGTTTAAGGATACATATACAAATGTTCTTATGTTTTTAAAATATCTGTTAACACATTCAGATTCAACGTCAAAAATCCTATACTGACGTTAGATATTGATCAATGATTATTATTAATTTGAATCACTGTAATACAATATTAAATGAACTTTTACATATAAAATATAAAATGCCATGCCAACATATTTTTAATATCAATTTTAAATGATTTCGATTTTAAAAGACATTTCTTGAACATAAATTTAATTTATAACTATGGGAAAATTAAAAATGTATTCCATCTATGCTATCGATTGTTGATGTAAGAGTTTATTTTACTTCTTTATCGGTAGCTCAATATTGGTTGGAATAAGTTTCTGAAAATATTCCAATGTCATAAACATATTATATGACTCATATCATTTTTGCTATCATTAATTTGAAATATACTTAAACGATTCATTTATTGACTTCACTTGTATAAACAAAAAAATAATGTAATAAAATATTGAGATTTGAAATATATAATTTATTTTTGTAACATTTTAAATGAAGAACAATTTATTATTTTAACAAAAAATTACTTTTCATCATAAATGACTATATTAAATTTAATACGGCAATAATGTAATGTAGAAGAAAGTTCTTATTTCTTTTTGCAAAATACAAAAATAAAACAGAAAAACTTACAAAATAATGGAGGAGTTAGGGTTCAACGATTTTAGAGTTCAATCTACTGATTATTCGTAATTTGTAACAATTATTCTGGTTTTTTCGCTATTTCACATTTTTTTTAAAATTAATTATTTACTAAATATTTTTTTAACCTTTTTAGGAACGCAATGATTCGGCAAAAGCTGTTGTGGTAAAAGGCAGTTTGAATGAAATTGCTAATTATATTTTAGATGGCAAGCACGTGCGACTTTTAGGAATGAAATCAGATGATCCAGCTATTCAAGAATTTTTGGATAAAGTACCATTTTATGCAGTACGTAAATATTTTTTTTAAGTCATTGAATTAAATAATAAAAAAAAAAACTAAATGCAAACTATTAAGTATGTAACACTTGTTTTTGTATTTTATTTATTAACTGTGGACTTACATGGTATTACAGAACAAAATAGACCAGATTCATCGATTCTGTTCAAATGGTGATCTGAATGGGTTAATGGAGGTTTTAGATAGAAGAAAGTTTTGTTTAGCCCGTGAGTGTAAGACAGGGTTGGGCTTAACCCCTTTACATATTGCAGCATTATACGAACAATTAGATGTGTTCGGATATTTAGCAGCTAGGTTTCCTGAAACTTTAAAGTTAACCGACTTTTGTGGACGTTCTGCAATGGATTACGTAACTTTACTGCCGGATAAAACTCTACTTAATGCTTTATTAAAAACGGACAATACTTTAAAGGTGTGTATAATTATTAATGGAATTTGTTTATAATATACATATTACATATATGCATGGACGTATGGATTATTGATAAACGGATTTTTAAGAAAAATAATGTACTTGGTAATTAATTTTATAAATATTTAAAATATAAGTATATTAAAGTAGTTCTTTTAGTATAATATGTTTAGCCTGTCTAATTTGCTTAGATGGCAAATATATGAGAGTGTAAATTGAGCAATTGCCAAGACAATAAATAATTTCATTAAAAAAAAAAAACCAAAAAGAATACAGAGAAAATTGTTTTAGATATAAAGAGTACGTCATTACTAAGGCGCTAACAGGCAAAAATTGAGGGGAGCCACCTATGATTTTAACTTGCAGAAAAGCTAGGAGGAGAGTTTTTCCCTTCCCTGTGTCCACCCTTGATCATTACCTAATTTATTACCGAGTTTGGTATAGGCAATTTTTTGTAAAATCTTAATTTTAATTATGGATAGGAAATAGGGGAGATGAAACAAAAAGATTAAGTCTGACAAATAAAATAGACTAATCGAAAAAAAAGCTTTCCACAAATTAGATATTTCTTTAATTATTATGACTGGTTTTCAAGTGTTCTTTAAAAACAATGTGTTATACATAAATATTTCAACTTTAACTTAATTTATTATTTTATTACAAAAATAATTGTAATTTTTTTTTGTTAAAAATCGATATAATAAATAAGTGAAACTATTGCATGTGAAAACATCAACGGAAATAATAAGCATTATTAATAATTATACTACAAAATTATAATTTTAAAGATTAAAATAAATAAAAATACAAAAATAATTGGCTTGAGGAAATGTATTATTTAAAATTAAAAAAAAATAACTTGTAAGAAAATGTTGAACGACACAGCAAGGGTAATTTAAAGATTAAAGTTAATTTTTGTTTCTCATATTATTTTATGTCTAAATACATAAATTTTCAGATTTTCGAGAAATAAATGTATAATTCAAATAGGTAACTTAATGGGTATGATGGCGTAGTACTAATACCGGATGCACTCTTTACAAGAGCCATTTAATAATACAAGTGACAGCCACTAATATTATTTTAAGAGGGAATATCGTAGATCTTTTTAATATCTAACACGTTTAATTGCATGTTAGAAGCTTCTATTTTTAATATTTAGGAGTGATCTTAACTCGTGATCAAAATCGATTGTGTTAGTTTATAAATTTCAGCTATTAGTCAGAATAGTGTATATGTACATTATTTACATTTTATTCGGGCTGGTAGAACGATTTTTTATTGGACGAGCATAACATTAGACCTCGGTTAAAAAGATAGGGGGTTAAGAGGATACCACACCACCTATTTATTTAAGAGTAAAGTATAAGAAATTTATCAGTAAATCTTCACATAAAGCTAACATTTGTATACCCTTAATATATTAACAAACGCAAAAGTTAGTATAAGTTCTAATTATAACTGCAGTTATTTAGCTATTTTTATACAAAATTATGTCTAAGTTCTAGAAGAGATATTAAGCAATCTTGAGGATCTTACAAAGTTGAATTCGGACCAGATAAAGTTTCACAATTTTGTTACAGCAAAATCATTTATTACCAATTATTATATTACTTATAGAAAAAAACATTTACGCTAAAAATAATATCCTGAAACTTACACGAATTAACCGAAAAATAAATTAACATTTTTTTTTTTTAATTGCCTAAAGGTATTTTTATTTAAACGACTAAAAAAATCCTTATATATATAAATCAACAGGAGTATTAATACATATATTTGAGTAATAAATATATATATATTAGGATGGTCCAAAAAAAATTGTTCTATTATTTTTTGTTCTTTTATTGAGAATAAATTATTTGGATGAAAAGATAATTTTTAATATTTTTTTTTGGTTTTTAAACCCATTCCTAGATGTGGTTTGGGCCGATATTATATCAAAAGTTTATTATTTTTTTTTTTTGTTAAATAAAAAAATGTTTAAAAAAAATAATTTATATGACTATTATCAGCATAAAAAAAAAGAAATAATGATATTCACTTGATAAAAAAATATGAAATTGCTAATGCTACTGACCAAAATAGATGGAAAAAACTGTCCTAAACAAAACGGATAAAAACATTTAGATAAAATCTATAATAGAAAATAAATATAACTTTTACAAACCTATTTCGTTTGTAGTTTTCTTCTATTAATTTTTCGAATAACGTAAAGATATTTTGTAACAAAGTTCTTTTTACCGAATTTTGTTATAGAATTAGAGTACAGAAATAATAAAATAATACTATGAAGTTTTAAAAATAGACGCAAAATAAAAAAAAAAAGAAGGAATAACTTTGACTTATTATATTATACATATATGAACTTTCATATTCTTTTTTGTTCAATCATTGGACATTTAAATTGTTGTTATACTTTAATTAATTTCTCCTCCAAAAAATAAAAATATCAAACGTTTGCTGTTTTTAAAGCTTGTTACGTGTTTATAAATAATAAAGCTATGGCGTTCGATTCCATTTTTAATGTCCTGTGTTTCAATATTTGACATTATAATTTTTCGGGTCATGTCATATGGTATGTAATGACCATCGATAAACTTGATTTTTGATATCTGCATAGTATATTGTACATTTTGGATGAATTATCGAAGTTTTGAATTTACTATTATAATTCGCCTGACTGCTGGGGTAAACTAGACTGTAGTTAGATTAGTTCGGGAGACGACAGAAACATGCAAACCACTAGTTGTTGTTATACATTGTATCCATAGTGACTGTATGAAAAATTCATAGGCGTTCCAAACCGACTACCACGCGTTACAAAGTACTAGACAGAAAACCGAACCATTCGAACCAGAGAAGATACGTGAAGCCTTGGGCTACGTTGTGCAACATAGAGGTGAAGAACGTACACATTCGGACATGGATAGTAAGTTTAAAACAATTATAGCGTTTGGGGAACAAATGCACTTTACCGGGCACTCTTTTTTTAAAATTTATTTATACCGCGTTTGAATACTGAAAAGAGTTATTATTAATGTTCATGTAGGGTCTGCCAATAATTCGGGAAAAATACTATCTTCAGTGATGAGTGCAAGTCGGTACACCGACGAAGACAGAACATACTTGACTCAAGGTATAATGTCAATATAGTGGCGTTACAACACATTGTGTTATCTGTATAATAATACATTTCTACATGTTTTTTTCTATTAATTAAATTACTGAATAATTTAAAAACAAATAAATAAGATTATTATAACTGTTGTGAGACATAAACATACAAGTTAACTGTATTGTGTTTACATTAAAATTTATTGATTGTGGTTTAGTTTAACACACGACAAATGTGATTTTTGTTACAATAAAACAACATAATTTATTTTTCAGCCGTTGGAAAACCTTTATCATCTGGACTGAAAGAACTAATCAAACGTAGGCCGTCCAATCCTACACTTTACTTAGCTGAACATCTGACCAACCATTGTGATGATCAGCAATCCGACGAGGAAACAGGAGTAAGTTTGAAACATGGTTTCAGAAAGGAATCCGGAGTAAAAGTTACTCAATTAGAAACGATATAATGTAATTAGGTATTAAAATAATTTTATTATACCTACTAAATTGTATTTTTATTCAGTCGAACTCAATAAAAAATAAATGTATTTATTTGTTCTTTTAGTATTTCAATTTGTTCATTAAAAAAATGTTTGCTCTTATTTATAAATAAAATCAAAATATTAATAAATAACCACAATTAGTTTTAATAATTTCACAAACCCTTACAATCCAACGTGCTTGACTATATTCTCCTTTTACACGAGAATTCCTATTTTCTATTGGCTTTCAATTGTATTAGGTGTTTTTAAATTCTATACATTTGCGAAAAAAAACAAACTGAGTTTTATACTATTATATACGATGAAAAATATACTCATTATTATACATTTAGTTTTTTTTATAATTATTATTTTCTGAAAATTAAATTTATAGCTACAAAAACATTATTAAAAAAAAAAACGATAGCGCCTACTTCCTTTCACTATTTTTATCAATTGTGTATTTTATTCTTTTTAAGATGATTTCGATGATTAAAAACAGCTTTTAATATCTTATTTACAATCGGTAATGACCGTATCGACTATACATTAATCATTGTTAGTCAACGCTATTATATTTTGTATAGATCACAGAAAAGAAGGGTATTGCGCATCCTCAGCCTTGGGACTTTTTCAAATATTATCGCACGGCTTTTCAAATGATAAGTCGCGTAAGTTGTGTAATGTTTGTGGTTTAAAATTTGCAATAAACCCACTCATTTGTGACTAGGATGAATATGGAATGAGTATGCTACATTACGCTGCGTCAAGAACACATAATCGAAATGCATTGTTCCATATGTTAGAAGAGCTCGACACAAACATTGGTGTACGAGACGAGGCATATAGGACACCGAGAGATATAGCAGTTATTGCTCAAATCAGGGAAAACGTGAAAACTATTGACAAGTACATAGTTCACATTATAGCCAGAGGTAAGTTTCAGGACAACTTGAATTTTTTTTATAAAAAGCTAATTGAGTGGTGTCGTGACGTGTTTTCGGTGTAGGTATTATTTAAAAATATATTCTATGGTGTAATATTATAAATTTAAAATTTAGACCAAGAATAATATTATTATTACCTTTATCAAAATACAAGGGGATTTATGTGAATATTCTAAAAATTATGAATTTATAGATATTATAAGATTATTAACGTGCAGATATACAGTGTATACTAAGTTTAGGTTGGGAAATGACACTTTTTCCAGGTCAATTAAACATATATATGAACTTAGCCTAAAAAAAAGTTTCATAAAACTAATAACAAAAATAAAAATAATAGCCGTTTTCATAAAAATAATTCAGTTTTTAACAATACTTTATCGGAATAATAAACGTTGTAATACAATGTTTTCCTATTTTCTCAGTGGAAAATACTTTTGATTTATAATTTTTTTTCAATAGGACAGGCTAATAATTACACATTTATAATTAATTTTAAGTATTTAAATTGTATTTTTAATAAAAAAAAATCGATTAAAAACATTCGTTAACTTATGTCATTAATTGTCATCGGGTTTTGATTGGCAGATATATGCGTAACGCACTATATCATAGACACAAAATATGTTTCCAGTAGTGACACACTATCTAGTTCAAATTGACCTACCAACTTGGGACACACTTACAATTAATAAAATTAAAAATAATAAAACGTAATATGGGATGAAATAATTTATAACAAAAACAAATTAATTTTTAGGATTAATAGGATATTTCTATTAAAAAAAAATAGAGTTAGGTATACAAAATATAATTTGTTTATAATTAAAAATGCCTAATTAATTGTGATTAACACCGGGTTTTGGTATTCTTAATGATTTTAGTGTACTTAAAAAATTGACAGAATGGAAACGAGTATTACACGAGTATTTTTTAAGATAAAGGTTAAAGAATATAACAATTATATTCTTTAACGTTTATCATTTATATTTAAATATTCGTTTATGTAATTTAAATTATAAGAGATCATTTAAAAAGTTGTACCTACATTCAAATTCTGTCTTTATTAACCTATAAACAAAATATTTGCTTTTACTATTTAATATTAATAATGCATAGGATTTATGATTGTCTCGTTAATGAACTAGAAATTTAAATTGAAACATTCACGTTATTATGTATAGGAGAACAAAATAAAATCATAGATTTATTGATGGAGGGCTACGATCATATATTAGATGTGGAAACCGATACGGATATCATGACATTGGCGACAGAGAGAGGACACTCGCACTTGGTAGATATGTTAAGATACATACCAACATTTGAAGTAAATAATATATTGTGGTCAATATCTACGCAATTATCATTGTGTTTTTAAATGTAACATTTTGTTCTGCACACGATAGGAACAAAGAGAAAGACTTCATAGAGCAGTTAGATTAGGAAATCAAAACCTAGTAGAAGAGATGTTGCAGCCTATGGACGACCAGTGTGTCATGTTGGCAACGGCAAAGAACGAACGCGCTCGTTGCAGTTTACATATAGCGGTTTTAAGCCAGAACGAGGAAATAGTGCGGTTTTTAGGGGAAAACTTTCCAACTACTTTGAGCGTCTATGATAATGTAAGGCATAATTATTTAAAAAAAAAGTTTTATCCGGCGTTCTACGATTTCACATTATATTTTCATCTATTCCAACTCTGCAAAGTCAATCGAAATGCAATTACACTAATTTTAATGAGTTTGTACTGGAATATTCGAGATGGAGCGTATTGTGATCTAAACAGTTCTCCACTGAAAGTTATTTATTTCATTAAAAGCGCGAAACTGTCCATTACTGACAGTGCTCGTAGAAAACAAAATATTTACCTACAGATTGTACTAATGTGTTCATCAAATTTTGGTCAAAACTCGTTTGCGCACACGATTGATTAATTGAAATATTTTTTGATAGATTATTTATAATAATATTAATAATAATAACCAAAATAATAGTAAAAAATAAGAATAATAATTAATAATAATAACCAGACTACATATTATGTACTTTGGTTGTATTTCCCACATTTTAAATAAATTGTGCATGAAGAGTTGTATATGTTTTAAGATCGAACGTACAGCTTTACATTATGCAATGGCCATGGACAAAGTGGAAGCAATAAGCGCAATTTTAATCACTTCTGGAGCCAAGCGCTTAACAAAAGATCTGGTATGTATCTGGTAAACCACTAATTAACATTTACTACGTTTGTATGCAGTCGCTAATGAGCATTAACTTAATTCGGTAGTTAGGTACATATAAACGTGTATTAACTTAATGGGCATTAAAAGTTTAATTCGATTTGACAAATCCAATTAAGTCATACTCCAGTATTAAAAAATATTATAATAATAAAAAAATATAATATAATATTCCAAAAACCATGGGATAAAGAACGACCATATTTTTCATCATAGAATATAAAACATTCGAATTAATTTATATCTATACGTATTTAATACTAATATTTGAACTACGACGTTTACGGGATAAACCCGTACACTAATGCGCATTAACTTAAGTTGAATTAATGCGTATTAAGTTAATGCGCATTAGCGACTGAATATAAACGTAGTAATTAATATTTATGTGCTATTATTGTAGAACATGTCATACGATATAATGTGTTTACAGAAAGGCAAACAACCGAGTTACTATTTCATGAATAAAAAGGACATACACAAATTACAGGATGAAGAAGATGAATTACGTTTACAAGTTTAAACGTTTCCTCACATTTTTTATTTAAACTTGTTTATAATATTATAGTTATATCGAGATCTTAGAACGTTGTTTGTGATGTATGTATTTTCTATTATATGACGCTCAAACAATTATTATAATAAATTAAATATTTTTATCTATTATTACATAATAATATGAACGATAGTCAAAAAGTATAGAGTGAATTATTAATATTTAAAACTATTGTACTAAGGTCATTTAGCCATAATACAGAAACTTTATAAAAAATAATAAAACACTAAAAATCTATGCGATATTTTTAATGAGCATCCGAGATACCATATCGTCTTGTTATTTTAGTAAAAGGTAAGGAATATTTAAAACAAATCATTATTCCGCTCAATAAGTATTAGGGTTTTACAAATTATAAAAATACCTGGAATTGAATACTCTATCGAAAATTAAAACTTAGCCTTATAACGAAAACATAATTTTAGTGTTGTATTAATATTAGTATAGTAGTGTTATATTTAGTGTATAATAATACAGCGGTGTAATTAGGGGAAGGGGTAGATCCCTCCTTGAGATTAGAAATAGTATGGAAAAAGTAAATATTTTAGCCTTATACCTTTATATAAACCCCGTGCAGTCGTTTTCCTTTTACACATATTATATTCAATAATCATTTTTTGTATACCTAAGCAAATATCAAACTAGAAGAAATTCAATACAGCATTAACTATATTAAAATAAATTCGATGCGAATCTATACGGATGCGGATTATAGTTTTTACAAAGGCGTTAAAAGATAATAATAAATGATTATGATACATTTTATTGTTGAAAAATATTCTATAATCAATGTATTCAAATCAAATTTCCGTTGTCAATTTTAAATAAAATATTTCCAGTGTACTACAAAAGAACCTCTGGTGTATTGACATGATCGCGTATTTAACTTAAATGCACTTTAAGTTCCGCATGATTTATTCACGATTAAAAGGACTAGCTAATTATTTATAGAAAAATCAGTAAAATGATATGAAATATCAGCACTATATATAAATCATTTTTGATGCTGATAGGAAGCGTCACGTTTATGTATGGATGAAGTGATTGAACGCATAAGCGTTTAAGACGGTTGCTAGCAGGCATTATAGGGGTGGCCCTTCGACGATTGTGGTGTGAACCAAATAACCTATCAACTCTAAAGACGATAAATCATCGTAAATATTTATAAAATCAAGTAATCAGAATTCATTAAACGATTCGATATGGGATCATTCGTCATACTTCATGAAAAAACAGCATAATGTATATTTTAAAATAACTATCTTAATATATATTTTTAAATATTATCAGTTATGAATTGTTAACTTGTTTGGTACTCGGTACTTGTCGTGTACATGCATTACACAATACAATGTTACCGATTCATTAAACGTAATAACTGAAAGAGATAAGAACAAAAATTGTTACATGTAAAAGTCTGAAAATTAAATAGCAAAAATAATTATGACGCTAATATATTTGTAAAACATAATAGTGTCAAAACAAACCAATTCGAGAAATGTTCAAATTAACAAATAAAAACCATTGCAGTGAGGTAGGGGCATAGTAGGGACGGAGCAAAGTAGAGTGCGTGAGGTCACAGGTCTTTAGTAATTATTATAACTAAAAGTGATAAAATAACTTTCAAATAAACGCTTTGTTACGAGCTTAGTAAATGGTAGAAATACAAGAATTTGTATTTTCAAGAAAATCACATAGAGGAAAGGGTTTATGATATTTAAAGTTTGTCAATATTGATAGATAGTTCTTTATATTAAGACTATTCCCTACAAATTTGGAACTAGTTCGACTATTTTGAAAAAAAATGAAGAGTACTGTAATTTTAAGTTAAAAAATATGTACACTTTTTTAGTGTTTTAGGATTTTTTAATCTAACTTTTTTTTTAAATTTTTGGCTTATTGTTTTACTTTTAAGGTACGATTTCCCATCTATTGAGTTGTTGCATGAATAAATCAGTTCAGTGGTATCTAAAATATCGTAGCGGGTGCAGACACAAAAACAAAACAAAATACATTATTGTTAAAATAATACCTTTTTGACTACGCATCGAAGTTAAATACATAATAAACAGCCCTATATAAACCCGGAACAAAAAAGTATTGACAGCATATACTATATGCCATATAGTCTACGATACAAATATCTCTTGATTGTTTCCTACAAAGGCCATTAAGCTAATGGGTGGATCGGTGGTTAGCATTGGGGTTTGGTCCATTGGGAGTTAACCTTATGCGAAGTATTTTAGGAGCACCGTAGCGCTGTTCGTCCAAAATCATTACTGTCTATTGCACTTTTCTAGTCTGCTGACAATGACAAAATAGTTTCGGGATTGTCGAAGGAAAAATATAAAAGCTTATTATAGAAAACACTTAAAACATGTTTATAGACGTGGATTATTATTATTACATCGAATGAAATACGTGTACAGGTTTCAATGTTTGACGGGAAAAGCAAAAAAACGTCTTTTTGGTCGGTGGTACCAAGACGATGACCATGGAAATTGCTGGCCAATATAAAGAATTTAACTATGCATAACCAACATATAGGCAATTTGTAAGGTTTTGCAATATGCTGTTTAAAAAGAAAAAGCGCATAAGAGGAAACAAAGCGGAAACGAGACTACTGTGTGTAGTGTTCATTGTTTTGTAAATAACAACGTAGGATAAATTACCAAAATAAGTATTTTTGCCTGCTAAACGGTGAAAGCTTGTAAAGATTTTATATTAAAACATTAATTTTATTAATTTTGTAATAATTTCATAAAAAGGTACATGGTACATCATATTATGTGTTTTTTTAAATATTTACATGATTTGTGAATATCTATTTAGATATTTATACACTTTTCAGTGTTATTTTTTATCACCAAGAGAGTGTCAACAATTCATAACAACGACCTTACAGTGTGTTTTCAATACAAAATAAACTGTTATTTTAAAAACATTATTGACCCAGTTTGTTTTTAAAAATGACCACTAATAGGTGCGATTACACGTGGCCGTTTTTCGCTCAATCTCAGCAGATATTCGACTGGGATCAATACAAGTATAAAAGTCATCCTTCTAAAACAAAAACGGCAAACGAGCAACATGCAGCGGAAAAAATCGAATTCCGCAACTCGGAGACTTTGAAGACAATACCGAATTCGGAAAAGTTACCATTCGATTTCAACTCTCGTCCGAAACTCATTGTTGGCGACCAGCAACCAATCAACCATTACCCTACGGAGGCAAGTAAAGATGTATAAACTCGTGTTGGGAAATGCGAAAGTTTTCAGTGATTTGTTTTTCAGTTTTTACAAAAAGATTTCCACAGTTGTTTGTAATTGATTGGTTTTACTGTAGCCAATACATTATTTAATTCCGTCGGTTCTCCGTTTATCCTATTAGAAATATTGAATAGCCTAACCTAACCTAATCAGAGGTTTACATACTATGTATAACACATATCTTATACTACTGCTGTATAATAATACTGACTTTACAATCATTTGTTATTTTTATACTAAGTATAAGTGAATAATTAAGGTCTGATCACAGTCATGAAACTTATCAGTATAAACAATAAAAAGCTTACTAGAGAGTTATTTTGCATTTTAGTAATAAACAAAATACACCATGCATATTTGTGAAGACAGCCATAGCATTTAAATCGTTTAAATATACTATTATAATAATCATTTACAATCATTATCCTAGTAGATAGCTTACACTTTAAAGCCCTTGATCAACAAAACAAACACGTTATTATAACCTAATATTTATTTCCATAAGTTTTAAATATAAATATAGAGTATATAGTTCTCGTAAACTATATTACTATGTATTATTTAGAATGGTAAATAATAATAATAATTTATATTTATTTATAATAAAATATGTTAAGTGTACATTGTGAGATATAAATTCGTATTTGGTCTAAAAGGTTTTCGCTGTTGATAAGACAGGATAATTTAATAAAACTACCGTTTTATTTAGGGTTTATTAATATTTACCACCTTTAGGCTTATTAATTTTCTGAAACAATATAAAACAATTTTAAAATTGAAATGTGCTAGTTAATTGGTGTATTGTGTTGTTAGGTTTTCGTACCACTATATACCATTGTAAAAGCATATCCTGTTTGCGTGCAAATAAATAAATAAACAAAGCCTTATTATATTTTCATAAAGTTTCAATATTTAATCTGTTAATTATAAATGTAATTTTACAAAATTACTTTAAATGTTATCATTACTACATAATACCGGTTAATGCCTTACCCGGTAATCTGAATATTGCAATATCTTTTCACATTATATTGTAGTATAATATATTTTACTCCAAGTAAAAATTGTAACTTTTAAACAATAGTTTTTTGTATTAATGAACAACAGGAACTCAAACGTGAAAAGAAAACCTTAGAACGGATGTTTAACCATCTTGATGTTAAAACGAGGCAGTAGAAACTAGGATGAGAAAAAGTAATAGGGCAACATGGTACATTGACTATGTTTATTACTTTTAGACAAAGCCAAGTCTTTTCCATTAGGTATACGATTATTATGTGTACGATGGTGGTTAAATGTGTGTATCAACGTTTTCTTTTCAAGTCGAAAGTCATGTTATTACTTACATCATACATGTACCTACGGATGTTTTAATAATTAATATTGTTCAATATTACTGTTCTTTGTAATTAATCCGGCTGTTTAGTAATGGATTATTATATTATAATCCTTTTAGACCTAACCTATGAAGAACCCGAAGAAATTTAAACTATAAAGAATCATTTAAAGAAGTATGAATTGTAAATTACCTGTTTTAATATTATTTAGCTACATACTTTATGCATTTATAATAAAGTTTAAACTAGGATAACACGTTATTCTCGAATTTACAACCATTCAAAATTATTTTGTTGTTATATGGAAAAAAATTTGAAACAAAGTTTGCATACAAAAGTCACAAACTACTTCTTAATAACTTATCAATTATATTTTTATAACTAACAAATATAACAATAACTAACAAAAGTTGTACATTCTTAAAAATAAATAAATAACAAATTCTGTTTATAATAAGTTCTTTAATATTCGACCCTTTGCTAAAACAATAATTTGAATTATTAAATATTATAGACGTTGATAAAGTACGAAAAGGACAAAGTAGAGTCGAGATACAAGGTTCAAAAGTCAAGACCCAGGGTTTTTAAGTGCCCTCAAATCAGTTTCGATGATATTTCAGATGACCGAAGGGATATAATATGTAAATTTGTCTACAACACTACAAAGTCAATGAACGAGCTTACTTCTGGAGTTCCGGAGTGCCGGAGTGTGTCTGTAGACTTCCCTTTAAAACCATATGGAGATCCGGTAAAATTACTACTATTTTGTTGTTTTAAACATGAATACGTTTGATAAAAGTGATAAAACTGTAGTCAAACAGAATATTTAACAACGTATATCTGCGTATTTACAGAGGCGTGCGGATCATTGATTTTTTGACGCGGTACCTCCTTATCCCAGAGAAATCACAAGACATTTTTAAAAATGTTTTTAACAATTTATAATTCAAACTACAACTTCCATAGGAGAGTGGGTGGTTAATAATTATACATGGAGTGGTTCAAATCGTTAAAAAATTAAATAAAACAAACGTTTTTAACAAATACTATAAATGCTATTACCGGAAAGTCAATGGTTGGGGGGGGGGGGAGTGAGCCCGAAAAAAAGACCTTCTGGTATTATCATTTATAGTATTTGCTTTTAATAATTTTTTACGAAAAAAATCATCTCAATTTGCCTCATTTATTTAAATTTACCTACTTCGCCTGATCCTTATCTAATTATAAACTTTGCCGTTATTATACTGTGTAATAAATAGGGTATGTATAAATGTAAATGTGTCATTCGATACTTAGACATATAATACCCTACGGGTTAGGTAAGTGTATTGTGTTACAAAAAGAAACACAAGTATGGCTTAAGAACAAAAGGACCGCGGTCTTTAGTTTATATATACTGGAAAAATATATTTTAAAGAGTCAGATTTTTATTTTTTCGTCGCTAAACTTTATTATTTACATCAATGGGAAAGATGGGTTTTCAATGGTATAAAAATCGTATCCAACAAATGGAAACCGTATAGTTTAACTTGACGTTTTTGAGTACCGCATAGTGAACCAAAAAAAAAATGTATTTTCCATGAAAAAATAACTACATTTACAAATACTTGTTTAATTAATTATTTTCTTTCCTTTGAAGGGTAAATTCAGGTCACGGCCAGTTTATCCGGATTTAGCGCCTTTTAGAAATTATCGACAAATTAGTGTTGCCTGGGACGGACAACAGAGACGAATTTTCGGCGGAAGATCTATTGATTAGTAAAAACTGAAGTAAAAAAGACAGCTGAAATTTCATTTTAAATAAAAATCCTTGATCGTTATAATGGTCAAGACATAAATAATATAATAAATTAGGTAATTATCATTCGTAAGATCATGGTACTCTATCCTTAGTGTGTTATGATTTAAGTCAAAGTAACTTTAGAGCTCTCATACAACTATCCTTTACAAAAGATAGACAAGTAAGTATATAAGTTATTGTGTTCTTTATTGAGCTGTGTGGTGTCTTATGTCTAGATGGTACATGGCGATAAAAATGTATCATGTACAAAGGAGTGAAAAATAATTCACCATAAACCGGGCAACCAACAAAGAAACATCTTTTTTTTTTGTGTAAATATCAACCGATCGATAAAGATTAAATGGGTTAGATGGACAGATATATTATTTTCACCCATTATCGTCGTACCTCCATTTCTTTAAAAGAATATATTGCAATATATTTGTAAATTAAAAAAGGCTTCTAGGTTGGCGGAATCGCGATTGAGGTCAAAGGTCTTTATTATTTATTAAAACTTCTTTGGCATTCCTGTCTAGCCTATAATTTAGGGAAATGACTTTTGCTAAGTATTAATAAAGCTTCGATAACATAAAAAAATCGTTATTTTATAATCCAAATTAAAGTATACCTTTTTAATATATTTTAACCACTCAATTGTATTGACATACATATTTTACACTTAAAATTATTATTAATACATAACTAATACGTGTCATAAAACATCATGTGTAAATACGGTATGATCAGAAATTAATGTATTGTTACACTATAGTTAGTGTTGGGACATAAATCCGGATACTTCAAATGGTTAAATTTGGATCAATGCAAATATCCAGTTATCTATATATTTAAAAATGAATTGCTGTTTCTTGGTAAGCGCATCACTTGAGAACGGCTGGACCGATATGACTATTTTTTTTTAAGTGTTCGTAGTTCATCTCAATGCAGCGAAATGGCAACGTATATGCTGCATTGTACCACAGAGTAGGTTATGTGAAAAACAATTTAGGAGCCAATTACTGGAAATCAGCTGTGATGGACTTGGTTCATTTGCACTCTATACCCTCCATATAGTGATATATCACTATTTTTCCGATTGAATGGATGTAAGCGTTATAAACTGTTCTACCATGAATATTGTGTTTGCTTAAGTCATGTGTAAAAAAATCACATTATTCAAGTAACAAACTGTGATTTTATTTCAGTTTAAAGATCATCATTTTTTTTATTTCAAAAAATTCTATGTTTGCGTTGCAAATTTGTTTAATAAAAAGATATTTACATAATCCAAAATTGCTCAATTTAAATTGTGTAAATAATATTTTTGAAATCAGCCTTGTAACTAAAAAAAGGCGAAACCCACTTCCAAATTTTAGATTAGTTATAATTAATTAAGACATTGAGAAATTTAACAAAATTCTCTGTATCTTTAGGTACTTAATACTTAAGGTTTTTGTTTGTATATTAGATATAGGGAATAATAAACCAGTTTAATTTTACACAAGATTAGTGTAGATGATAAGTTTTATGGAATTCCATATTTAAATAGTAAAAGTAACTTAGTTAGTGTCAAATTGCATAATTTTAATGAAACAATATTGTTACTTATACTTTTTGTCATAAAAATCTTATGAAATTATATAAATAATCATACATATTATAAAGTGATAATACATTTTTATGTATTTATAAATTCCCATTCCATTATTCAACATGCAACAGAATATTTAAAACACTATAAAAATGCTCTGTGAAGTAAGATGAAACGAGCAAAACTAAATATTCTTTATTAAAATATTGTGAAATTTAATTGTGAATGTCATTATAAGAGTGTTAAAAATGTATGGTTTTCGACACCAACTCATTTTTTGAGTTACGGGCCGAAAGGGACTGAAAACAATGTGACCCCTCTTTCAAGGTGAGCACATTATTTTTTTACTTAAGTGTCGAAATCTTCAATTTTTGACTTACCGAAAATATGAAAACGGGGGGCTTATTTTGGGGTCCCCCAGATGTCAAATCACCTATTACTTACCCTTCATGCTGGAACTTCCTGTATATGGACAAGTACCAAGTCGTGAGGGTATGAATTCAAATGAATTATTAAAAATTACAATATTACATATTTTAATTCGATTTAGATGTTTGCACCAGTTTGTTCATTGTATTAGCATATAACTACTACAGAAAAATAAATACTTGCAATAAAACGCCTAATCCAAAACTATAATAATTTAACAGCGCACCATCTTTTACTGAAAACTGTATCATTTTTGTGATAAAGTTGGTATTCCTCAATATTTTATTATTTTATGACTTTCCGGTAAGTAATCTACAAGTTTTGCTCGAGTTTTTTCTAGGGTAATCAAACCGTAACAAAAATTTTTTTACTAAAATATTAGCGATTTTTTTAAAAATGACTGCAGAATTAAGTGGTTTTTTACCTTCCACTTGAGTGACTTGATAATAAATATTGTAAAACAATCTGCAAGCTTAGTCTTATACCAACTTATTTGTAAATCGATTAAATCGTTCTTAGTATTGTGGTGATTTATTTTGGCGTTTTTGTGTGTGAATGTGATACTTATATGAGCTATACTATATTTCATAAAACAATTAGCTGATTATTTTATTATATTAGCCACCAACGCAGACTAATATAAACTCTCTATCATAATCCATATACGTAGGTCTACAGATTTTAGACGGTCTGGTATTATACATTTTTTAATCAAACCTAATAACGTATTGTAAATTCCACGGCTTAGAGATTGACAAAATTTAATATTTTTTACTAATGAACTTTTATAGGAAATGTGCAACAAAATAATTTGTTTTAAATGAAAATTAATAACTAAATAATTAAAACGTTAATGAAGCGTATCCAATTACTATCTTTAAATCCATTTACTATGTCAATACAGATTAAACACTTAGTGACGCAAATGAAAAACCCAAATAAATATGAAAATCCTTAACATTTTTAAAACGATGCAACATTTATACAATATATATGTACATTAAGGTGACCAAAAAACGAGTAATATGAAAATTTAAATGTTTTAACTCCCTAATAAGTGGTGTGAAAGCCTTCTGGAAATTTTTAAGGCGTTATTAAAGTATAGACCTCTAAGTGTTGTGCAAATCGTTTTAATTAATATTTTGAGATTTCTGGTAAAATTGTAAAAATCGTTTACTTTCGTATAATAATTTTTTTCCAATGTATTATGAGTCCAATGTATTAATGTATTATATATATATATATATATTTTTTTTTTAATATTGAATTTATATCGCAGAATTTTATTTTATTTTCAGTTTTAGTATAAACTACTGACTAATTACTGGAAATAAAGGATTAACATAAAATACATTTTCTCGTCTTCAACATTGTCGATATGGTTCCTTTTTGCCTTTTGCATCACATATTATTTTATAAGGTAGAGTATAGCGAATTCATAATGGCGAGACATCCACGGCGAGGCATCTCATTATGGCGGCAGCATTGGGCTTTCGAGGCCTGTTAACCTAGTGTTCGAAACTGATTAAGTGTACAGATTCTACCATTGCCCTTCGTGTCTTTTAGACGGTCTTATTCTTGTTGATGGCGATATTAATAAAACAAACAATTAGTAAAGTTACATTTGAAATGTTTTGAAATCATTTCTGTACTTTAGTGGAACACTTAAAAGGCTCTAGTTTTTTATTAATATATTTTATACAAAGAGACAGTAACAATGGAAAAACTTCTATACAAGCTTTATATATATATATATATATATTAGGGTGGCGCAAAAAAATCGATCTTCGAAATGTTAATGGGTTAACATTTAAATTTGTTCTATACATCAAAAAAGAGACTTGGTGAAAGTTTGAGATAAAAAAATTTTTACTGGTCGCTCAACGCATTTTAAGTAAATTGACCAAAAATTTTCAAAAAACCCAAAAATGACTTAAATTATAACATTTTTGGTCAAAAATCCTCATTAGCACATCTAAATTGCAGTATTTTTCGCGTTGAGTACAACTGTTTGAGTTTTAAAATCCTAAGTTAAAAATTAATTACGTAATTAACAAAAATTCGTAATTAAAAGGTTAATTTTCAATTAAGCTTAAATTAACTAAAACAAATTTTTTTTTTAATTTTTAATACTTTATTTTGTTGAACGTTATGTATGTTTCTAGTAAAAAAAATTTTTTTACTAATGTTAAAAACTTATACCTTTTTTGTCATTTTTTCGTGCACCAAAATGAACGTTTTACTGAAAAATGTGTATTATGTGTCAAATAATAAAATACTTATCGTTATGAATTTTGGCTGTTATATTTGATTACAATTTATTTAATTTATATATTTTTAATTATATATAACACAATATTAATAAAAAACTTTATTATTATAATATAAAAGTTCAGAAAAAACTTTTTCTAAATGTTTATTAAAACTGATTTGTTGCAATCAGGAATCTCATTTCTATGTTTTTCTACTACTTTAAAATATATTGTTTTTGTTCCTCATCTGTCTTTAAAGAATTGTTAAATTGTGTCATTAAAGCAATTTCTCTTTCGACTGGATCATTTACAACAAATAATGATTGCACTTTATTATATGCAGACTTATAATTTTTATTTTTAGACCAAGTACTGGGATCGTCATTAAAAAAATCGTCACTAATATTGAGCGCCGAAACAATTGTTTTGTATTTTTAGTTACAAATTGCTGTAAACCATAATTTTTGTTTATTGTTTCAACTGAAAATCGTTTTTTCGGATTTATTTCACCTTTTTTATTAAAGGCTTTAACTGTTTTAGTTTTGTCTTCATTTGATAGCCTGTCATCAAAAATGCTAGTCTGATAAGCGTTTCACTTAGATACCATAAATATCCAGAAAACGCTTTAACCGCCTCGGCGCTTATACACTTTTAATATCGCTGTATTGTCTTAATTGTATTAATAGATTTAGATCATTTTTAGGTGCTTTATTAGCACATGAACTAGTAAACCAATATTTAATATAAACTCTTTAAATAAACAAATTGAACTGCTGAATACCTTTCAATTCAGGAGCTGTCAATTAAAATTGTTTTTGAAACATATACATTCTTAAGCAATAAATAATTTTTTATATTGTGTTATATATAATTAAAAATATATAAATTAAATAAATTGTAATCAAATATAACAGCCAAAATTCATAACGATAAGTATTTTATTATTCGACACATAATACACATTTTTCAGTAAAACGTTCATTTTGGTGCACGAAAAAATGACAAAAAAAGGTATAAGTTTTTAACATTAGAAAAAAATTTTTTTTACTAGAAACATACATAACGTTCAACAAAATAAAGTATTAAAAATTAAAAAAAAAATTTGTTTTAGTTAATTTAAGCTTAATTGAAAATTAACCTTTTAATTACGAATTTTTGTTAATTACGTAATTAATTTTTAACTTAAGATTTTAAAACTCAAACAGTTGTGCTCAACGCAAAGAATACTACAATTTAGATGTGCTAATGAGGATTTTTGACCAAAAATGTTATAATTTAAGTCATTTTTGGGTTTTTTGAAATTTAAAAAAAAATTTGTTTTAGTTAATTTAAGCTTAATTGAAAATTAACCTTTTAATTACGATTTTTTTGCGCCACCCTAATATATATATACAAGCTTTTAATCCCTAAAGGTACAAACTGGAAGAAAATGATGAAAATAATATGTTTACTTTTAATCGTTACAATCAATTTTTTTAATACATTATACTATGCGTGTATAATATATGGCTATGGATGTTTATATATATTGCATACAAATTAATGAGTAATTAATACTATGCTTAAACCAACTAATTAGTAGTTAATATTGTACGCTTTTTTTGTGCATGTAAAGAATAATACTCCAAGTAATTCATCCATTTAATCCAGATTAAAATGTCCAATAATAAATGAAATAAATTAGTAATGATCTCAACGAAATGTATTTTATCAAGAATATGTTTTTATTAGTGGTTGACATTTTTATACAAACTGGTCAGCAAAGATGCACAACATACAATATTTTTCACTAATGTTTATTGAGTTGCGTTGAAATCGTTAGATCCAAAAATTATCCAAATAAACGGTGTTACACACAGAAATGGTACCGTGTTTCTTGGCGTCGAAAGCGTCAGAAATATTTTTTTAAATTTTAATATATTTTTTTTTTTTTTGAGGAAAAATTTCAATGAAAATCACGTAACGATGATGGGAGAGTTTCTGAAGATGGGTCTTTAATCTGTTTTCTTAGAAATCACTACAAAGCATTTTATCTTAATACCCACAGTTTTTGGTTTATCTTTAGAGTAAGTTTTAGAGTTTCGGGATTATCAGTAAATTTTAAACAACTACTATCATTATTTCATTAATTAACTCTTATACTAAAAATAAAATCTTTAAAAGAGAAATGCCTCTTGATATTCAATATATATATATTTACATAGACTTGTTACTAGTATTATAATTAGTAGTGTTGACCGGTTGGAAAAATTATTAAAAAAAAAAAAAAACTAAAACTAGGTATGAGTATAACACATTTTATAAAAATACATTCCTGAAAAACATATCGAATTTGTATTGACGTTTAAATTCAAAGCACGATTGACGATTCATCAATATATATATAATATATGTATACATACGTAATATGTTTCTCAGAACTTGGAGTATGACAACTGATTTCCAAATGTTTGCACGTAGTTTATAAGAAAAACACCTCGCTATATACACCGAGAGTAGCTTTGTATGTGTGTGTTTTGCTTATTTGATCGCTGATTTTATAGTTTATTATAAAAGTAAATCTCGGTGAAATTTATGTATGTATTGTACTTAAGAATAATAATCCAGAGTCCATAGAACAAACCACGTTTTTAGCAGCAATATGGATAGCAAATAAATCAGAAAAGTTTCATCAACTTCGTTATTTGCCTTAATTTAAATGTCAGGTTGGGTATAGTCAACATAATAGAAACTATTTCAGTATTTATGTTAACACAATATTATTATGGTTAGAATATCGGTGGTTTTTTGGGGACATGATATTTTTTCCAAACATTTTACACATTTGCACACATTTTATTTGTTGACCGTTGTGCCCAAGGAAAAAGGCTTGCAGAAGGTTTTAATGTGTTCAAAGATTATGAACGTCTGTTCGGGAAAGCCTTTTGAATTGTACCAACTCAACTTTATCCCAAGGGAAATTCGTGACAGAAATGTAGTTTTCTTTTTAGATGGATGTTTTTTTTAAATTGAATATTTCAAAGATTATATTATATTATATATATTTAGTCAAATTATACTACATCCAAAATCGTTTAAAGAAAAGTTATATAAACGATTTACCTTTATGTAGAATTTTTAATTCGGAAAATATTTTATTTGTTTTTATACATTAAACATGAAATATTGTTTTTAATTATTAAATGTACGCAAAGATCATTTAAATTTCTACTTTGACAATTTTCAATAGTAGTGTTTTTCATTTAATGTCCAGTATTATTTTTTGCCAATTCGAAAAAGTTATTCAACACAATGTTGTCGTTTACATAATTATAATAACTTGTATCCAGCCAACTTTTTATACCGTCAAAACAAGTTATATGTATTTTATAAATGTTGCTACAACAAACGGCAAACGCAATGTACATTTTGATAAAACTGAATGGTTTCGTTGAGTATTATCTATATTTATTATATATATATGTATATACAACATCCATTAAATGGCGTACCTACGTAGACTTATAACCAAAACATATAACGTCGAGTGCAAAACTGATGGATGATTCGAAATGAGACAATGACGTATGTTTGTTTCACAACCATATTCATTATTTTCGATATGCCTTAGTAAGCGAGTGTTTGTTAACTGTAAAAGTTAGAAAATCACGGTACCTCTATCCTCATTTCGTATCGAGCAAAAATCAATAATATTCTTCGATATGCTGCTTTTAGTTTTTATTATATCAAATTCTATGTTATATACAATTGATATGTATAGCGAACTGCAAAGGTTATAATTAGACCATTTCTCTGTTCTTGAATTAATTGAAACAATTAAAACCTAACCAAAATCACCTATGAAAAATAATACTATAAAAACAAATACTTAACCTTGTACAATGTAAAAGATAGATTATGTCAGGTAAGAAAAAAAAACAATATTCATTATGTCGTAATTTTCATCGTGTTTTTATTATTATTATTATTATTAAATGTAAGCAATACAGTGTTATACATAATTGATCTAACGCATGGTCATAAGTTATAACTACCGTACATTGATACTTCTTACACAATTCCTACTGACTATAATAGTAATATTAATTATGTTCTGTACACACAGTAAGATTATATAATATTTGTGTATCAACAGTACGTTTTCTCTCTCATATTATGACAATATCGCGAGAGCAATTTTTATCGTGATAACATAATATTCGTTATTTTCTAAATTGAAATGTTATCCTAGTATTTTTTACTTTTTTTTCTCTACCAAAACGATGTATAATTTATATTTTATGTCCACGAATGGTAGCGATAATATTATTATTTAGGCAATAACTTCATAAATACATAACATTTTTTTTATCACGTATCGACTAGAATTCTTGTTGTAAATGAAAAACAAAATCAAATATATTGAAACTCAGTATAGACAATGAAGTATGACTTCATCGTTTATACTTGGTGTCCTGTGTGTTTGTGCACAGCTGTGTTAAGCGGCAGGTTTTTTCACTTTAAACCTTTCTTCGGCCGCCATCGAACCCTTCATGATGTACGCCATATTGAGAAAAAGCGTAGTCCACGCCGATTGTGTTTCCTCGGTCCATCTCTCTATCAACGACGGTTGAATTGCCATAATAAACTGTGGTCCAATTAACTAAAAACGAAAAAAAAATTTAAAAAACCTGCGGTTAATACTTTTGATGATACATTTATTTCGTATTAAAACTGTATTAATAATTTATTCTCATTTATTATTTCTTTATTACTGTAGTGAATTTTAAAACGATTTTGTCTTTGTTAAGACTTAAAAGTTAAAACACTAAAGCGGTGTATACAAACGGCCAACGGGTAATTTATAGTCATTGCCTGACCGCATCAACTATAAAAAGTATTAGGCTACTTATTAGGTGAATATATTTTGCTCGCCACATGTCATTTACAATGACTTTGAAACTTCTCTCGTTCATTACTAGACATTACCCTCGTGCGTTTGAAAGTACAGATGAAGTTTGGTGTACACATTTCTAGGCCGTTCTACCGTGTATTTCACAACGTTTTCCGGTTGTATAAAATATAACGTTTTTGTTCCTAATGGAAATGGTTTTGTATAAATGTTCAACATTGTGGAGATGAAGGAAAAGCGGTAGAACAACTCGAGTGCTCTATTCGTAAGCTTTACATTAGTTCGTGCACGTTATAATAATATAATGTACAAAGAAACGGGTTACATGCAAATGACCTCTGACAGTCTTGTATTGTGTTGTTAGGCCAAAGTGGCAAAAGGGTTCAAGTTTGGATAACCCGGTGGAAACGTTATATTTCGTAGGCCTGTCTATTGTTGTTTAAGTCACATCACATGATTATTGTGGTCTCTATTATATAAGCAATAGAAATCTTAGAACGCCAGAAATAACAAAAGATTAAAGAACTGAAAATAAAGACGATTTTTATGCAGTAATATAAATTAGGGAAACGGAAACTCAATTTAATGATGATTTTTTTTTTATAAATTCTAGATAAAAAACTGCAAAAGTTAACAAGATTGATCTTATGAATGCAGCTATAAGAGCACTACTAATTATTGGTGTATTGTTAGTACTTGTCTGTTCCATTATTTTTATATTATTTTATTAATTATATAGTAATTTGGATAAAAGTCAGAAACTATAGTGATTCGCTTAGAACCAAATTGATTTATATTTAAAAAAAGTAATTTATTAGGACGACAAAAAAAAAAAAAAAATTGAGATTTTTCATGACAGAATTTGTGTTTTAAATGATTGTCAAGAATAAACGGTGAAATGATAACATTGCAAAGACGTTCCTAAAACATTTTGGGTATAACGAAACCAATTTACTCAAGAAAATAATTTATATAAAACCATTTATTCATAATTCATTAAGGACTATTGTCGTAGTAATGTTGGGCATGAGACACTCTATAAAGTTATTTATGAGCAATGTATTTTTTATACTAGGGGGAAATTCGACATTCGTACAGAGACAAAACGTGTAAGACTAGTGACTATAGACAAATATTTACTTTTTAGTTTTCATTCATAAGCCGATTGTTATTCCCCCTGGGAGTATCAACTCGTACTTTGATTTTAATCGAGCTGTCAAAATGCTAACGGGCGCAAGTTTACTGTGTAGTACAATAGAAAACTTTAAAAGTTTATCACTTGTCTTGTACACGCTTTAATTTGTATAAAAGAAAATATTACACGAATATATTCGTATTCACTATAATATTATGTACGAGGCGTTAGCTCACAAGTGCCTCGATCGATCCATCGAGCAAGTTATTAAAGGTCTATGTGTAGGTATATATGTATTTAAGTTTTCAAAATTTTTATCTAAGTACTTATCGGGTTGGGTTGTAGAAATAAGAACGCGCTGCGTATGACTAAAAAAAGATACATACAAAAACCGCTGACGTGTAACTATAATAGGCTACTTGACTAAGGGCCTTCCATTATATTTTTTAAGCCACTTCTAGATATGCTCAACCGATATTTCCTTACACTTATAAGTTATAAATACTATACTAGTATATTGACGAATAGGGAAGAATAGTCAATTTTACTTCCACCTTTCCATTCCTGCTGCCTAATTTAATAATATAATGAAGAACCTAATGCTGTTCAATGCTAATACCGCCAATATTGGCTTTTCTATTTAAAATATTTTCTGTGAAGTAAATAGTACCTATACATTTTAACAACTGCTGAATAGCTTGTACTAACTAAAAGTATACGTATATAGCAGTAAAATGTAAGTATTCGATATTTACAAAAACTTGCTTGGTGTTAATTTATGTATAGATTAAATATATACTGTAATGTCATTAGTGCAAAATGGTGTATCTGTAGAAATCAGAATAACATTTTTTTTTCAACATAAGATAAATAAAGTTACAGTAAAAATTATTAAGTATATAAAACCATAAAACTATAACAATATTGTTGCTCGTGGCTTTAAATAAAAAACTTTTTTTTGTGGGTTCTAAGTGAAAAAAACTATTTTTATATCAATATGAACCTGAGATGGTGTTATTAAATATGAGTAAGCGTTAATCGAGAATAGCGTTAATTAAAACAAATTAAATTTTTAAAAATATTATAAATTAAATTTATACAAAGAATTAAATTAAAATAATATTCATTAAAATGTATCAAAAAAAGATTATATTATTTAAAAATTATAAGTAATGTACTGTCACAGACTTCTCGCGTTGAAACCTTAACATAATCAAATTAACAAATTACCTCTATAAAATATTATGTGGTTAGTGTTTAGACATAAAATGAGTTTCACTTCAAGAATATTTAATTATTAAGTTTATATGATCTTGGCGTATCTCACACAAGTGAAGTCGACTAGCCTAATTTTATCTTCCGTTATTTAGATTCGTTATCATTCCTCTACCCATACAGCTATTGACTTGTGTCTTCTCCTGTTCACTTATTTATTGTTGCTAAATTAACTTACCTTGATTATAGATAAATTAATATTTCTTAAATATGGTTAAATTAAATATGTGTGTATTATATTAGTATTTTTTATATTCTTATCAATTCTATTATTATATTATATTATTAACAAATAATGAAATATTAGCTTTAATGTAAAATTAATCACAGGGTGCTCTGAGTAAATTATATTGTTTCGGACATAAAATAACTAAGTATCGTATAAGTAATTAGGGAGTAAAAAAAATACAAAAGAGAGATGGTATAATATCAGAGCGCTGAGTAATTATATTGGGTTAAAAATGTCTAAATATATATATAATGTATTAACTAAAACAATGTGTTTGATAAAATGGGTATAATTAAAAGCGAAAAGTCATTAAAACAGCAAACAATAAAATACAGGATGTCTTTCATTATCAAGTCAGAATATTAAGAACTTATGTGAACGAGCTATTCGTTAACTCTCTCTTTGCGTTGTTCATTAAAAAAAAACACCCTATACACTGGAAGTTTAAGAAAACAAGCTGATGGAGATAATTAATGATGTATTAAATTTAATAAATAAAGAATAAAGTACAAGTGTTTCGAGGCTTGCAAGATATTTAAATGTATAATAAATATCACATAGCACTATATAAAAAAAAAAAGAATTAAACAGAGGTAAAAAACGCTGTCAAGGTTCGAATATTGATGGTAGACACTGGGCAGTATTTTAGAGGAAGAAATTTAGCTAAAAGAGATAATTTATCATATTTAAATACAATTTAAAACATAAATTAAAATAATGAAATACTATTCAAAAATAATTATCTGAAATATCATACCGTCGCTAAGAAAATGCGAATGAAAGGTCGCCTTTTTTACTATAAGATCTAAAGAGATAAAAAAGTGTCATTACTATTTGCTTATTTTGCATTTTTTAAAAATAAATCACTGCGTGTACTACATATAAAAACAAAAATAAATAGTCCACAAGGTTAATAAATAATTCAATACCTAGTATACGCTGCAACACACGCAAGTATCAATATTGCATAACCAGAGTGCCGACTTCACAAATTTATTCGAGCATCCACATTCCACATAATATAATGTACACATACATACCTAACGCAACGGTTTAATTTTTATTTTTGTTAACGATACTATTTTTTTAGCTTATATTTATACATGAAACTAATACCTAACTTAATAATTAAAAGTGTTAATTACCATAGAACAACTAGAATATAAGTGTAATATTTTCACATACATAATATATTGGTTATTTGATAAAGTTAATATCAGTCTCCATATTAATTGGTCGTGCTTGATTTTGTATTGAACATTTTATAGGTTTTATTAGAAAATAATTGTAAAGGAGCGCATTTTATTGAGAAACAATTTGACTGTAAATTCAGTTAGACAGTTTTACGATTTAATCTACGTTGTCGACGGTCTGGGGAATAATAATTTTAATTGGTAAGTTGATCGATAAAATCGTATCGCCATCCGCCCAAATGTCCGGGAACACGGCCGTTATACCGAGTGGTGTTGTACATTAATAGGTGCTGTACATTATCTCTGTACGCGTTAGTAACCAGCGCATTTAATTAAAATCCAAATATTACCGTTTCGCCGAAAAAAAAAATTAAACAAACGTTATTCATCTCAACGCTATGATCTTTATTGTAGACACGTGTGTACGAATCGTTTAAAGTAATACTATGCCATTTAGTGTAGTATACATGTAGTGTAGGGGAAAAAATATCAATTGTTGATCTAAGGTAAATTTTTTTACACATGACATATATAGTTTTTACTTAGTAACTTAATTTATACTCTTTTTGGCCTTGTTAATATTTGAAAACTAGAAATATTGCCCTATACGATATTTATGTTAATAGCATTTAAGTTTAACTTTGAAAAGTATGGCTAACGGAAATAATTAAATTTTATTTATACATTTTTCAATCGTGAACATGATTTATTTCACTTATTAGCATTTTAAAGTAGTAGACAGCTTACATAATCTAGTTCATGGATTTTGTTTGCTCAACATTGATTGTATTTAATATCAACATGATGATACTGTATACAACAACAAAATTATTATTTATTAAAAATACGAATATTTGTGAATCTTGAATCGACTTGACAAATATGTATAATTACTTGTAATACACTTGTCACAGTATCGAAACAGTGTAAGTTATTTGGGATCTTAACTCAAGTATCGATACAAGTGCTAAAATAACATGGTTTAACTCTTATTATTATTGCTACGGAGAAAAACATTTTAATGAATATTAATATATATATATATATATTTTATTCAGATTTTGTGGTATGTACTTACATCTACGTATTTTTGTTTGGCTCCATAATGATAGTGTTTTTTACCCAAATCTCTCAAAAGAGTTTCCAATTTATCTGGCTCATACAATCTTGCGACTGCCTTTTGAACAAACGCCATGACCCTGCAACAAATTAATAAGATATGATGATATTATGTATATTATTCCTAGTATTGATTTAGTTACATTAATTATTTAAAAAACAAGAATCAATTTGTTTCCTTGAGGTTTGACACTAGAATGCAGTGACGAGTGTAAATTTCTAATACTTCCGAATCCTTTCCCCATATTTGGATAATATATTTGGATTATTAAAATAAAATTGTCCATTAATTATATCGGTTTACCAACAATTATTATTCTACGGTATTTTATACGAATTTAGGAAGTATTCTGCACACATTTAACATTTAAATATACAAATTAATATTTTTAATTAAAAGATTAAAATTAAATTACTTTCTTCACTTGTTATAAACATAGCATTACATAACAATTGGATTTGAGATAAAAAGGAATCGTTAAAACAAAACAAAAAACAACCCTACAGCATAAATAGTTGGTTTAAGAAGAAAACCTTGAAATTAATGGAAATGCCGGAGCTTGAAATTAGTCAATCGTAAACTTCAAACACAAAGGCATACATCGCATTAATTAAATAATTCAAATCAGAGTTTTTCTGCAAAGAACTCAAGTAAGATTGTACATGTTTAAATTATAATAATAGGCTAATCTACTGATAATATTTATAAAATTCATAATAATTTACACAATAGTTATATCAAGTTTGAACTTATTTTTTTTTTTATTTGATTCTTTGTGATATTTTCTAACATCATGTGTATGTACAAATTATGAAAAACTCTATATTTACTTTCTTAATTAAAATTGTAAATTTATGTAACAATAGTTATAGCTACTAGCACTATTATGTTCGAGTTTCAGAAAAAAGTTGAGAGCCTAGATAATCATATAATATATTGGTTTAAATAAGACTTTATAAAATAGCATGATATTCAAAATAAAAACCAGTATGTATAATAATTAATTAAAATATGTAAATTCATACTATAAAAGTATAATATAATATATTTTAAATGCTAGCATAATTATTTACTTTGTAATTATGTTCATATCTAGGATTTATAGAATTTTCAAAACAATCTCCAAATGCAGCATATTATCATTTTGATGTTCTTGGTAACACTTAACAGCGTTAAAAACCAAAATATTTATAAAACGTTTTCTCTAATTCTCTGGTAAGTTTCCATATTTCCTAAGAATTTATTAAGACATGAGATACTATAAACTTTGAAAGACTTTCTACTGCTCATTTTACAGTAGGTAATTATTTATCAAAGACTTGACAAATTTTACAAATTCATATTTTTATTTTTCAATTATTACTCTAGAAGCCCTGAACTATGGAAACAAAATAGTTATAGTATAAAGTAACTTTCTCGGTTGTGGTAAGCTTTATATTTTGTTTTTAGTTGCATATGTCAGGAAATATTTTTGGAGTAAGCAAATATTATAACAACGAAGAATAAATTCTAAAGATGAAATGAAAATTTTTGAATAGCAGTGGGTTTGGAAAACTACAATGATACCGATCGCCATGCCAGTCTACTGATTGTAATAATTGATATTGTAATTAATTTTAATGCGCAGCTTTTCCGCTCGATTAATGTTTTGAAGTACGTTTGTATAGTTGACTTAATGTTTTCAATCAGTGTAGATTGAAACATTATTACAAACACTATTTTAGGGTTCGATACTTTTGAAACGGAAATATTTAGTGTATTATAGAAATAATTTATGTAAACGCGGTCACGCAAACGGCGAAACGTTCATATATTATTAAAACACTTCGGTGGCAAACACAACACAGTGAAGTGTGCTAGTAAATAATGATACAATATGGTCCCTAAACCGAAAGCCTAGATTGGAAATATAAAGCAGACACTTAAATATATATGTACAGCTACAATGTTGTACATTTCTTTGACAGATATTTAAATGAAGGTGACGCGCGAAAAAATATTATTACCATACAAATGTGTTGTAAAATATAAAAGCATAATAATTGTACTAAATAATTTACAAGTCATCAATAAATACTGTCGTATAAGGTATTAACCAATACGCACAATAAACACACACAAAACTATAAGTCTTTTTTGATAAGTGCAATGAGTATTACTCTAATTACGATTCGCAGTATATCGGGCCAGCTACACCTAAACTCGCAAGGAACTTTCGTACAGCCAGCACTCCTGACCTAGAGCTAAGCTTATATTTAACCCATACGCCTAACCATCAAAAAAAGAATTAGTGACTATTTTTAGTTATAATCTAAAGTGAGTCAGTGACTATTTCCCACATTGAAAATGTATTACAAGTAAGCTCAACGACCATATCAAAAAAAAAAAAATACCTTTTTAGAATATACTTGTTCTGTAAAATGTTCTTGTAATTAATCAAATGGTGTTTGAAAATTGTCGGTTTTTTAATTTTATAACATTTTCATAATAGTTTAACCCATTATGTATGAATAGTTAAACACCAGTTTTCTTTGGCTAAAACTATTAATAACTTTGTCAGCTAACCACCAGATTTAAACGTACATTTAAAGCTTTATTCGTATTATTTACTTATGAACTAACGGCGAGGATGACAAAGCTACATAAAACTTATATAAATTCACCAGAGTATAAATTATGATCGTTCTGTACATTTAAAGAATATTTTATTTGATGTGTTATGACAAGTAAAATGTTTTGTGCCACTTTCAGTAATATTGTTTATTTTACATGTCATTTTATATTGACGCAAAATCGATTTTTATAATAATAATTCATCAGAATAAATACATATACACTACTGCCTAATTCTGTACTTTTTTTTTGTGAGATATCACGGCGATACCATCTACCTAATTTTGTCTAATTATATACTTAAGCAAACCTCTAAATATATTATTGCCAGGAATTTTTTTTTTTTTGTAACTCACTACTCATACATTTTTTAAAGTTGTAAATTGTAACTTTTTTTTTTATAATAAACTAGTATTTTTTTACTGTTATTTTTATAGTTATCATACAACAGATTATTCGACACTAAACATAATAATGAGTATCTAAATTCATAAATTCTAAAATAAGAATAATATTGAATTAAAAAAAAAACAAATTATATTAATGATTTCTACTTCTTGTTACTTGTAACTATCTGGTATTATTATGATACCGAATTTTTTAAATTAAGCTTCCCTGCAAATGTGTTTATTTTATCCATACTTTTCGATTAAGTGACCAGGTAGTCGCTTTGATCAATAATAAATGGTAGAGTTATTATGCGTATAGATAAAAAAATATATCTCTGTAAAACCTACTCCTTTTTAGTTCAATCGATACTTTTTTTGAACCATAAAACTTTTTCAGAATCCTAGCAATTATAGACTTTAGAGTATGTACTCGTAAATATTAAAAAGGACAATTTTTGTTGTATTTAAATATAACAACAAAATATATGAGGTAATATGAAAAACCAATAGTAATAACGTATTGTCGAGAAGTTAAAAACTTTACACCTAATAAAAAAATACATTAAAATTTGACGGACTAATTAAATATTTATAACATGACTGACTGTTCCAATATAATATAATAGATATTGGATAACACCCACCTGGGTTTATTAATTAGACCATAATGACTAAACTTCTAACGGGTATACGATTTTTATTTTGACTTAAAAATGTATAATGGCATAGCGGTATACAAAGGCTAGATAAGTAAAATGTATGCGTTGCTAAAAACCACTTGAGTTGGCTGCCATTTTTTATCCGTAACAAGTTTTTAAACTAGGCTTATGTGTTACAAAAACCAAATATATTTTTAATGGTTGACTATAATGATCAATTTGTTTTAAAATTATTGAATGTCAACATAAATCGCTATATGTATCGTTTTGTTTCAATTTGGTAAAAAATTACAAATTGCATAAATGTGAATCGAAGAAGTAATAACGTAACGCAGTTTAAAACATTAAAACGACTCATATAATAGGTTTTAGATGGATCCAGGTTTTTACATCTAAAACTATGTATAATTTATATTTTGCTATGGATATTTTTTAGCTTTATCGTTAAACTCACAATAATAGTATACTCTATAACGCATAAAATGTGTTATCATACAAAATGTGTAGCCAATGTACAAATTTTAAACGTAAAAATAAATATTAACATTTTTAACAGTACTGCGCTAGAGTTATTCTATGTACATATTTATATATATCTTCAAAAATGTCTCTTAATAAACCTTTGTCATAAAAAAAGATAATACTAAAAGTACTAAAAATCCTTTAGGGGAGAATTTTACGCTTCTCGTTAATACAAAAACGCAGGCTAGTTTATATAAATTTAACATAAAATATTCTTGAATTCCATGAGGATTTGACGTATGCTTTTAGCAGAATAAATATAATTTTAAATACAGTACTTGCTGCGACGTCGCACATTGGCAATACAAAAAATATCAATAGAAACTATCGATTTATACATTAAAATTGTATTTCATTAAAAATATCAAGTAAATCAAGATTGATAACTATTGAATAATAATTATATTTTTTACTATTGAAAACTATGAGATCAGGTATAGTAAAATGTATGAAACATACACAATTTCAGAATAATGTTATTTATAATTTATCACATACAATATGGGTACGCTACTGCTTATAAAACATGTCAGTTAATTTTTGTACATTCAAATGTGGTAGGAGCAGATTTTTTATAATTTAATTATAATTTTATTAAATTTTTACAATTTAATAGTAAAGCACAATACGTATTCAGGAAATATTATTTTCAGTCCGACACATTCGCATTAGTTTTTAACGGTCACCATTACAATTTAACCGTGCTAAAGCTAAAACTTTCTCGAAATTAATTACCTGTCAAATGACAACACATTTTTTATTTCGACCGTTTTTAATGGGAACAAAATAGCGGTACTCTTTTATGGATTGTGTAGTCAATAGGCCGTTAATTGACCCACACTTTCGTCGCGATTTTCCAATGTATTGTTTGCAAGACCACTTATTGGTGGGTGTCT